GAGGTAAATCTTGATTATCTCTCATCATTTTGAACCTGGTACTGCAGATTTTTTGCTTTAGTAGGAGGAAGAAGAAACTTCATAATTTTAAAACATGTAATACAATATTGTAAATCATTAGCATGTTTTGGGTTCTCCAGATTTGCAGATTTTTGCGCCATTTGGTGATGGTGCCATGTCTGGTAGGTTGGGCTGATGCAGAGAACTGAAATCCATCCTGCTTCCTTCATTTAGTCCTTTGCCTTACCCCAGCAGCTTAGTTGAGATGGAGTACTCCAAAGTTCACACTGTCAGAGGAACAAAAATGTCCCCTGTTGTTAAGGCAGAACAATAACCCATTCCTGGAAGACTCAGTGGGAAAGGCAAAAGTCCTATTACCTTACTAGAGAAAGGGCATCCAGGTATTGCATAGAGGCACACTTCAGAGCCATCTGCAGTTCTCAGAATAGACAGAAGAGGATGGGCTCATTGCATTACTGCACTAGTTTTTTTTATTATAGTATCCTTTTGTCTTTTTTGCTCAAATTAAATGAATGATGTCCCCAAACCCCTAGGGTACTGAATGACTAAGTCAGTGGGTGTGAGTATGCTATTTAAGTTCTGACTGCATGCTTCCTTATTCTAATGTAAGAAACTTGCCTCGGGGTATTTTGTAGTAGACTTTTAATGAGACTTCTGGAACTGAAATTCAGACAATGTTTAGGGGCCTCTCTCTATCCAATCCTCCCTTTTCCTTCTCAGTGGATAAACTATAGCTTTTCCTCAGAGTTGCATGACTCAAGCTAGTGTATCAGCTGTTCCATCCTCAGGATATTTTAATAGCTCTGGAAAGGTCCATGAGGATGCTAATGATAAAACTTTAAAATCAGGTTGTGAATGATTATTTCCTCATTTGAGGACTGCCAATTTTCCAGGCATTTCCTTGGTGGTTCTCTTTGACCTAGATCATTCTGTCCCTATTCAGATGCTCATATGTTGTCCACAAACTGTCCCTGACCAGTTCCAAACTCTACAGATAATGCCAGTTAGGATTAAACCATTCTGACAGTGGATGATCACAGGGTAATTTATTCAAAGATACCTTTTCTCAAGACTATGTGGATGACGATAATATAGTTGATGCCAGCCAGTGTTATGAAGGAACATGCTTACATAGCTGCTATCTTGGGAAGATGACCACACACATTCAAATGAATAATAATTAAATTGCAAAAGGGCATAGTGACAGTGAACAGCTCCAAGTGCATGAAGGTAGCTTTTAAGAAGCAATTAGACCCTGGAAGAAATTGAGAATAGACAGTTGGAGGCTGTTGTAAACATTGGGGCAGCATTGGGGAGTAACATTTATCTGAGAATAGGAGAAGTAGACAGAATTGTGTGGGAAATAGAGATGGAACAGGAAGAAAAGTGAACAGATGTAAGTGGGGTCAAAACTGGATCCTGAGGCAAAAATGAGAAGTTTGAACTTGATGGGGAAAAGCGGCTTTATGGGTAAGGATCTGATTTTTTTTTTTGTTTTGTTTTAAGAGAAGTTTTTATAAAATGGCTTTTAGTGCCAGGAGTCTGGATTCCCTGCTGCTGTGTGCTAACTACGTTTTTCTTGTATCTGTGCTAATGATGAAAGATCTTTCTGTTGGCTCCTTAATTGTTTGTTCCTTGACAATAATGGAGATGCATTAATATTACTTCACTAAAATGTGTAGCCTGTTCTAAGTACATTATACCAATCGATTCTTCTGTTTTGCAATAGGGGAGAGAATTTTTACCTTTAGACCCAGAAGCAGATTACTCTGTTTTCACGCTTCCTGACTACTCTGCAATAGCTCAGAGTCCTAATGAGGATCAGTCTCCATTACGTCAATCTGCAGGTACTCATGTGTAACTTCAGTATACTCATTAGAACTGAAACAGAGAATCTCTGAAATATTAAAACATTGGTAAAATACAGCTCCACCTATGGGAGACTTGTAATTATATAAGTATATGCCGCCATTCATTACAGCATCATACTAGATGTGGTCCAGGTCCAATGTATACCACCGTACCATGGAAACAGCTTTATTTGCCTGTTCCTATTGAAAAGTCTGTTTCAACATTGCCTGTCTTGAAGGCTTACTTCAACAAGAAGCTTATTAACTCTTCTCATTTCACATTCTATCCCTTTTACTTTTAGAAAATAGTCTTTCACTCCTTCATGATGTACCACCAGCTTTGCTGAGCTATTGCATAATATGTAATGTTCTCCATCTTTCCTAATTTCTTGTTGGTCCCCTGCCCCTTAGTATTAATTTGTAAGCTTCTCAGACCAAAGATCTGAGGATCTGCATGAGTGGGTGCCTAATACACTTTGGGGCCTTCTTAAAATGACAAGCTAGATCTGCTCTGTGTTTTGAGAATGTCTGTAATTTGGACCCTGTTTACAGTGTGTTTTAAGGTATTAAGATTTAGTAACATGTATAGCAAATCCAAAATGCTATATATGTGCACTGTGGCTTTAAAATAACTGTAGGAACCATAAATCTGAATTGCTGTTTGTTTAGTAAATTTCCTAATTCTCCTCAAATCAAACCTTGATACAATCCGTGAAAACAGTAAAGCTCAGTTTTAGGACAGCTATCTAAATTCATAGGTTACTACAGGTGATTATCCTATCAGCGATAAAATCAAAAGTCCTGAGACCTTCCTTCTTTCTTCACAGTCATGTTGTTAGAGTTCACTTCCACACCAGGTAGTTTACAAGAATCATTTTTAAGGAGAAAGAAAAACTTCATCCAGAAGTCCTCTAAAAGAGTGGAAGAAATAAAAAATAGAGAGAGAAGTTCTGAAAAGCATCAGGCCAAGCTGTTTCAAAGGGACAAGACTGAAAGATTTAACATGCCAAAGGAGGATTCTTCTACTTCTGGTAAATTTCATTTGGAAGTAGGGTAAAGCATTAAGGATTCTTCTAGTAATTATTCCATAAAGCAGGATAGAGTCTGCTATTTTTGGATCTTTGCTCTTGCAGATCAGAATATTCTGTAACAGGGGTTCTCAAACTTTTTCACTGCCTGGATCACATCTTAAGAGCGTTTCAGAGATACCTCACCCTCTCATAATCCTAGGATCACCTCTTCACCAGCTTAGTTATATAAAATCCCTGGAAAAACCATGATTGCTTACATAAAAAAGCAGTATTGAGAGCGTAACATATTTTTAGCTTCTTTTAATGGGAATTAGAAGCTGGAAATAAGGAGCATAGCTAGCACCATTATGACAGGCTAACTCTGTGGCCTGCTATAGACAATAGTCTAAAAACTAAGAGAGCCTCACAACTTGGTGGTGGTTCCCTGTAGGAGATAAGATCATTACTATTGTCCTTGGCTGAGATTTGGAGACTTACTCTCAAAAGAGAAAATTCTGCCTTATGGAGTCCATTCTATCAGCCTGTTTCTTTTCAAATGTGTTTTCTCCAAAATAGGAAACATGATTTAGTCTTCCTTGTTTTTGTTTCAGACCTTACTGCCTTTTGAGGCCAGGGTTTACCTGCTGTCTGTCAATCACTACACACTCAATTTTGTAAAAGGTGTAAACTTGTCCTGGTAAAGATTATATAGTTGTCACTGGTACAGTTGTTGTCACTGATCTGTATGAGCCCACTTTTGGGTTGGCCTCATAGTTGCATTTTTAAATTTAAAAAAAATATATTTTGTTTAAAACAAAGGTGCAGTTATCAGTCAGTTGAAGAAAGTGGGGGAAGTGAAAGTGTGCTCTCCAGAGGACAAAAGGTCTGCAGATGTTCAAATGCAGCAGCGCACTTTAAGGTATTGTGTGAATATAGTTGGTAGAAATTAGACTAAACTACTTTTGTTTCTGAAATAATACCTGTTGCACTAATATAGAACCTTAATTTTAGCAATGGTTTCTGGTCTCCCATTTATTTCAGCCCCTTAGACTTAAACTAGATGAGTGCTTGTGGAGACTACTATTTTGTGCTTTTTGTTGGGAGTGCAAGGCAGGAAACTGGGGTAGGGAAGGAATTTTTCTCCAGGTCAGATTGGCAGAGACCCTGGTTTTGGGGTTTTTTTTTGTTTTGTTTTGTTTGGGTTTTTTTGCCTTACTCTGCAGTGTGGGGCACAGGTCACCTGCTGGTTTGAACTAGAGCAGGGGTGGCAAACTACGGCCGTAGGCCGGATCCAGCCCGTGGAATTGCCACCTCCATGACACTGCAGGCCCCACACTGCTGCTGGAAGTGGACGGCACCACGTCCCTGCAGCCCCTGCTGGGGGAGGGCCAAGGGCTCCGTGTGCTGCCCTCTCTTGCAGGCATAGGCATGCACACGCAGACACGCCCGCAGCCAGGAACGGGAACTGTGGCCAATGGGAGCTTCAGGGGAGGTACCCACAGGTGAGGGCAGCATGCGCAGCCCTTGGTCGTGGTCCGTGTGTCCGTCCCCGGGGTCTGCAGGGATGTGGTGCTGGCCGCTTCTGGGAGCAGCAAGCCTGCCCTGGCCCCGGTGCGCACCGCTGCCACTTCAGGTAAGTGGTGCCAGGCTAGAGCCCGCACTGCAAACCTCTCCTGCACCCCAACTCCCTGCCCTGAGCCCCCTGCTGCACCCTCACCCCTCCTGTACCCCAACCCCCTGCCCTGAGCCCCCTCATACACTCCACACTCCTCCTCCACCCCAACCCCTGAGCCCCTCCTGCACACCTCACTCTCTCCTCTGCACACCAACCCTCTGCCCCAGCCTTACATTCATGGCCCTGGATGCAATTTCCCTACTCAGATGTGGCCCTCAGGCCAAAAAGTTTGCCCACCCCTGAACTAGAGTAAATGGTGGCTTCTCCATAACTTGAAGTTTTTACATCAAGATTTGAGGACTTCAGTAACTCAGCCAGGGTATATGGGCCTATTACAGGAGTGGGTGGGTGAGGTTCTGTGTCCTGCAATGGTGCAGTAGGTCTGTCTAGATGATCGTGCTGGTCTCTTCAGGCCTTAAAATCTAGGAGTCTGAGTCCACTCAGTTCAGGCTTAATCATTTTCACCTTTATTTATAAAACTTCAGACATACATGATGAAATAGATAGAGGCCCAAGTTACCAAATTCTGGGCTACCAGGAAATTCTCCTGTATTTTCTGACGATCATTGCCACCTCTGATCCCTGGTCTGGTCGGTCAGACTTATTCCTCCAGTGTCTGCTCCAGTATTTCTCCAGTTTGGTTCTACTAAACTTCACTTGCATATGTAATGTGGACAAGTATAAGAATCCATTAATTAAATTTTTCTCCATTCAGCATTAATGTAACCCATACAGTACATATGTGCAAGCTTTAATGTACACAACCTAGGCTGCTTATACAGTTTTCATGTTGTCACCTTGTCCTTATTTTTCCCCACTAAAAGGCACTTTTAGGATTACAGGATTGTATATTTATTAAACTAATTAACTTTTCCTTTTACCAAAAATCTAATGTAACACATTCCATGAACAAAACATCACTTTTTCCCAGCCAGCTGTAGCATTACTTAAGCAGATTTACGTAAGAGGGGAAAAAATTGGCAAAACAACTCTCATGCCAGACAAAGTTAGGCTGAGACCTTGGCCTAAGTGTTGCTGCATCTAACCTCATTCGCTATCCATAATTATAAATTATGCTGTATAAATAGTGTTTTCACTCTTTAGTGAAAAGACTTTTGACCTACAGAGTTCCAAGCAAACAGTTTTTTCCCATTCTGTGACTTTGAGTTGTTATAGCTAAAATAATTATTCATGCCAATGTGTTTACAATTTAAATCTAACTTCAGGATTTTAGATCAGTAAAACATTGGGAAAATTGCCACTCACATTCTGTCAAATGTCAAGATGATAATATATAGTAAAACAATTACAAATATAACCTCAAAACTCTGGGTAATTAAACTTATTGGATATAAATACTAATAAGGATTTTTGGCATACTAGAAGTAAACCAAAGTTGCATTTTTAATCGTTTCCAGTTTAACCCTGTATATGTAATACAAATACTTAAATTTTTAAGTTGAGCCCCCATTAATAAGAAGTATACACATTTTTACTGTTTGGCAGACTTTATAATCAACTAGCCGAAGTGAAAATCAGAAAGGAAGAGAAATCAAGACAACAAACCTACGCTAAAAACAGGGAAAAGGCTAAAGAGTTTCAAAAGGTAACTGCATCTGGTACAGTATCTTAAACCCCTTGGCCTAGCGTTTCTCTATTTTAATGCCTGTTGTTCTGAGCAGTTCTAATTCCACTGAGCTGTCGGTGAAGTCCCTTTTTAATGAGACTGCTATCTACGTCGTATTGTTAAAAACTGGAGTTCATCTAAAGCAAATGTGGTGAGCCATTCGTGCAGTAATGATGAAATTCTACCACCCTATCTCATGGTGATGAATTACAGCCATGTGACATGTGTTTATAGGCTTTCAGCTACTAATTTTTTAAATTGACATACTAAAATTTTGCATTTTTCAATGAAGACCAGGTTGAAAAATAGCAATAGAGAGCTACGGTCTTTAAGGTGTATAGTTAAATTATGAACGCTGGCCAGAACAACGGTGGGAAAGAAACAAAACTATCTAAACTCTTCCCTACAAATTAAATCTGATTTAGCATCATCTGATCCTGATTTTTCCCCTCCTGTAACTTTGCTTGAAAGAGTGCATCGGTGAAAACCTCCCAAATGAGGAGTCAGTGTTCGAAAGCTTGGTGCCTCTACAGTCCGAGTGTTCTACTTCTAGCTATTAAGAGGTTACACTAGTTTTGTTTCTGAAATGGAACTGCTCACTTGATTTAAACCAAACCATAGTATCAGGATTTAAACTTCTGGCTACTGTTGGCACTGTTCCATTCATTGCAACAAATTTAGGGTTAGCCTGAGAAACTCCCTCCAGAGGGACGCAGTTAGGACATCCACTGCATGACTTTAAGAAATATTATTACTGTGCTTGTTCTGTTATTTACATAAGGTTGCCTGGTACCAAATATACACCGATGTATTTAAACACTGAATACCTCATTGTCTGAATAAACCAATCTGCTGTTGTGGCAAGTATTCAATAGAACATTGATGCTTAGCTGATGCCCTTCCTATTGAGCATTTAGCTATTCATAATACTGCCAGCCCGTTATTTAGGAACTTCGCATCTAAATCAATCTGCTAGATATTTAAACATCTATTTTTACTTACAGAAAACATTGGAAAAACTACGAGCCAAAAAGACACATTGAACACTAGATCCTTTAGGAGACTAATGGGAATAAAAAGTGCTTGACTCCTTTCTCAGTTCAATCCAAGGAATGTATGATAAGGCCAAAGTCACATTAAGCAATATCATTATGTGGCTGTGAAGTACTGAGCTTTGATATAGGTCAAATTCATAATTTAAATAATGTAGCAACCTCAGTAGTTTGTTCCCAAGATTTGAGTGATAACCACTACCAAAGCTTGCTTAATTAGATTTCATCTTCCAGTTTATACTCCATTTCTGCTTGTATTATGACTCAGATTAACCAGATCTAGATTGTATAAAGGCTTTTTAATTGAGGATGGTCTGCATTTAAAAGTGAAGTCAGCTGAATCTTTTTAATAAAGTTTTGTAATGAAACCTGTGCATGTGTCAATTTATTGGAAAATCATAGGATACAGAGGTAAAACAGTCCAATTTGCCTAATTCCTATCAATTTAAAAGGATACACCCTTTCAATGACACTTGAGGGGAGATTTATTTCAAAGGTGAAAATAGTGGTGTCAAGGTTCCTTCCCCACTTTGAACTCTAGGGTACAGATATGGGGACCTGCATGGAAAAACCTCCTCAACTTACTTTTACCAGCTTAGGTTAAAACTTCCCCAAAGTACAAACTATTTTACCTTTTGCCCTTGCACTTTTGCTGCCACCACCAAATGTCTAACTGGGTTTATTATTGGGAAAGTCATTTGGAAATGTTTTTCCCCCCAAAATTCTCACAAATTTTGCACCCCCTCCTGGGGAAGGTTTGATAAAAATCCTCACCAATTTGCATAGGTGAACACAGACCCAAACCCTTGGATCTTAAGAACAATGAAAAAGCATTCAGTTTCTTACAAGAAGAATGTTAATAGAAGTAAAAAGAATCATCTCTGTAAAATCAGGATGGTAAATACCTTACAGGGTAATTAAATTCAAAACAGAATCCCTCTAGGCAAAACCTTAAGTTACAAAAAGACAGGACTATCCATTCCATTCAGCACAGCTTATTTTCCAACCATTTAAAGAAAATCGAATGCATATCTAGCTAGATTACTAAGTTCTAAGACTCCGTTCCTGTTCTGTCCCTAGCCAAAGCATCACACAGACACAGATCCTTTTGTTTCTCCCCTCCGTCCAGCTTTGAAAGTAACTGTCTCCTCATTGGTCATTTTGGTCAGGTGCCAGTGAGGTTATCCTAGCTTCTTAACCCTTTACAGGTGACAGGGTTTTTCCTCTGGCCAGGAGGGATTTTAAAGGTGTCATAAATATAAAGGGAAGGGTAAACAAGTGGTTAGGCCTGTTACTATTAATTCCCATTGAAATTAAACCCTTGCCATTTTTACCTTTGAAAATTTTACCCAATGCATTTTACTGAAACTCTGCAGTTCCTCAACAGAGTCTGACACATAATGATAAACTGTATCCTGGAAAAGCTGTAGAGTCTTACAGTTAACATGAGATCACTTTACCTCTGTGTACTCTAGTGGTGAGACTGATAGTGGAATATTGTATCTAGTTCTAGTGTCAACATTTACAAATGTTAAATAGAGAAGCTGAAGAACATGCCTCAGGCTGTGTCTACATTAAGTCCTGCATTAGAACTTGAAGTAGCAGCTGCTGGACTTGTTAACCTAGGGCAGGGGTGGGCAAACTTTTTGGCCCTTTGGCCACCTCTGGGTATGGAAATTGGTAGGGTGGGCTATGACTGCTCACAAAATTGGAGGGTGCTCCAGGTGGCACTTACCTCAAGCAGCTCCCAGAAACAGCAGCATGTCCCCCCTCCAGCTCCTATGGGGAGGTGCAGCCAGGCAGCTCTGCACTGTCCACTGACAGTGGTTCCCAATCAATGGGAGCTGTGGGGGCAGTGTGCTGAGCCCTGTGGCTGTCTGTGTGTAGGAGCTGGAATGGGACATACTGCTTCTTCTGGGAGCCATGTGGAGTGGGGCAAGACCCCACTCCCTGGTTGGAGTGCCAGATCTAGGCAAGCCCTGGAGGCTGCTTCTCAGCAGGAGCTGGAGGGCTGGATGTGACCCCTGGGCTGTAGCTGGCCCACCCCTGACCTAGGGTTACAAATATGTAGATGCTAAGGTTAAGAATGGTTGAACCTTAGATCCCCATCTGGGGCTCCAGTGTCTACACTGCTTAGGTGGATGTACATCTAACCAACCATCCCTAGCACCCTCCCAAAAGTTGGCTGCCACTGCCCTAGCCCTTCATGCTGCAGTATGGGAAACTGGCTGTCCACTGGGCAAATAAAAGTCTATGTATGTGAGGCTACATCTTCACTGCAAAGAAACAGGGCTTGAACTTTAGGTCCAGGGTTGATGTAGGGTTTTGGGACTGAGCCCTGGGTTTGTGTAGATGGCAGTGGGGGGAGGGAAGAGGGGGAGTTAGGCTTGAGCCTGGGTATTTACTCAAAGTCATGCCCTATCACCTAAGTTCCCTCTAAGCTGTGTATCAGCCTCTTAAGCACTACATCAGCCTCTTAAGCACTGCAGCTGCTCAGAGGTTTTTTTTTTGGGGGGGGGAGAAGAGATACATTGCCCCCAGACCTGCTGTGAGTAGGGGAGGCAGCTGTCCTATGGCCCCAACCTGAGCTACTACAGCAGGGGACACACAGGTCTTCTTCCTAACCCTCTGCCCTAAGCCCCCTCCCACACTCCAAACTCCTCTGCCCCACCCCTGCAACATGAATTTTATATGCCACTCTGCCTCCATACTGGTGCACATAAAATTCATTCCACCTGTTGGGAAAAATTAGAGGCAATGCTGCCCATGTCTCTACTATACAAATACCCTTACCTAAAACATAGGTACTTGGGCTGTGCTCCAGCAGCCCTCAGGTTTGCTGCTGCAGTCATGGAGGTCCTGGGAAGTCACCAGTTCAGTGACCTTTGTAAAAGACACAGCCTGTGTTCTAGCTACTGAATTCCTTACAATGCAGTTGTGTTGGGTTCAGCTCCTGATGTGGTCAAGTTACCTGGGTTCTCAACTCAAAGATGCCACCCAGGACCCAGTTTAAATGATAATGAAAGATTCTAGCTATGTGCAGAATTGGGGTGCTACTGCCATCCCTTCAGCCAGGGGTTCAGACTTCTGCACTGGTGACCCCATCCACATAAAGCTTCTGAGTGCAACCCCCCCTTATATAAAGAAGTGTTTTTAATGTACAGATTATAAATGCTGGAGGCAAAGCAGGGTTTCAGGTGGAGGCTGACTGCTCGTGACCACCCCCATAACCTCAAGCACCTGAGGGGCCCAATCCCCAGTTTGAGAACCCCTGCCTTAAGTAAACTTGACCTGTAGGTAACCAAGTGTCAGCAGCAGCTGCATTGCTGAAAATTAAGCACAGGTGTGTTCAGCTAAGTAATAGGTAACTGAATAGTATGAGGAAAAACTAGACTTTGTACATAGTATGGTATTTATTGAATGACTGCCACTTATTTGCAAGTAAGTTCTCAAATAACTTTAGAATGTGTCATTTTCCAGGGCTCACAATATACAACTGACTCAATCATGAAGCCAATGTAGCAGTTCACCCTGAAGTTTCCTGTCGATTAGAAGGTGACTCATTCCATTAAATCCTCCAAAGCATGTTTTTAAAAATACATGTGACAGTTATCAAGTTTAGGTTAAAGGATTCAGTAATCAAGTTTACTACAGCAGCATCCAGTGGAGCAGTGCAAAGTCAAGACATTTTAAGGTTGTCCACAGCTTAGGGAGGGGTCTCTCACTGACCTAAAAAAAAAGCAGTTTCAGGTAACATTGCTGAGCTTCTGGTGATTAAGTCAGTGCATACAATTAGTCATGTCTCCTATTAATAGATACTTAACCATGTAAGGAAACGATCAATATTCTGGTAACAGGGCCATACCACTTCCTAAAATAAAGCATTACGCTGTCTATATTAGTCTGGGAGCATGCATAATTCCATGGGCTAGTTAACAAAGAGGTAAGGGAGGTATTCTTTGATTCCTAACTCTACAGAATTATAATTTAAATGCTGTCACTCTGCAGTGTTGTAGTGGAGCCTCACTGCCCTTCCAGCTAGCTCCACTGGTTGGTGGAAATATTCATACATCAGAAATGGGTCAAGTTGGGTATCATTCGAAAGCCCTTTCTCCCACTAACAATGGTGTCAAACATGAAAAACGAATACATAAAATCCAATTTTTTAAAATTATACTTTATCACAGGTATGTGAAACATGCAGCCCTTACAAAGTTAAATCGTGGCCCCTGACTGACAGTATTGCCTTATCAGTTAATGCTCAGATCAGAATCCTGATCAGTGTTTTGTTTTGTTTTTTAAATGTTACAGTATTGCACTGGCAAAGAAACAGTCCAATGGTACTGAGTACCAGCTTTGTTTATGCAAACAGTGTTGTAATGAGGCACTGGTTAAGACAAGCTTTCAGCCAGAAATTACTGGAATGCATCAGTAAATGGTAAGCACATAACATACACTGTTAAACACAAGGACTTCGTAACAATTACTTTGGAATTGTAACTTATACTAGTGATATTCTTCAAAACTTCAGCTACTAGTTGGTACTGTCTCCCCACTGATACCTAAAAATGATCAAGACTGAAATCAAAGTGCCATGCAAATGCCTGTTACTTTCTGGTGACACTGATTTCAATTACAGACTACAATATATTTGAAAATGTAGAAAAACATCCAAAATATTTAATAAATTTCAATTAGTATTCTATTGTTTAATAGTGGGATTAAAACTGTGATTGATCACAATTAATTTGAGTTAATCATGTGAGTTAACTGCGATTAATCAACAGCCCTAATAAGTAAATAAAAATGTTGGGTCCATTCAAAAGCACCTGGCAGTCTGGATTTGGTGTGTGGTCTGCTTATTGACTAGCCCTCATTTAGAAGTTGAGCAACTTGCAGGTCAACTTCTAAATGACCTGTATGAAGAGTGAATAAGGAATATTATGAGCCTGAGTGACTGCTATTTAACAAGGATAATTCTGATATCTCAGCTTTACATAGCTGACCTTCCAAAACCTCACCCCCTTTTCTCCCTTCTGACAAAAAGGATGGCTCAGTCTGCATTCTGGATACATCTCCCTCAACAAAAACAAAAAGTCGCTACAGCTCGTATGTTGGAGGTAGGGTTAGTCAAGTTACAAGATGGTATGGAGTTACTCTATCCATTCCCCAAGCCTATGGATGCTACCTCTATAGTGCTACACATTTGAGGTTCCCACAATCAGTGATTAGTGGATTAAAAATGAACATCCCCTGGTTTGGTTCAACCTTCACCCTCATCTGCAAGTCTGCTTTTGCTTCGAAGGTTGTTACCTAGAGCTGGCTTTTGGTTGCTAGATTGTCATTTATGAACGGATTGTTGTTGGAAGTGAAGTATGTGAAGATAAGGTAATACAAGTAAAACTTCCAAGGTTTTTTGGGTCCAGAGTTGGTCCTCAACTAGCAAGAGGAAATCTCCCATAGACAAAAGGGCTTAGAATAAAAAACATTTACAATTGTTATTTCTGTTTTAAATGTGAATACTTAGGGCCAGACCACCAACTGACTGAAGTGACACGTACACTAGAAGTATGGGATTCAGCATCAAGCTGCTTTCCATCATACTTTAAATATTAATTTAAACCATTTCTTCCAGTTCTGAGGTCAGAAGCCTGAAGAACTTAAAATGTAACCTAAATTCTGAAGCCAACATAAGTTTTCCCATTAATTGACAGTTGCATTGGATCTGTAATTTGGAGTGTTTAGTGGCACACCTCTTACACCTGATCAACACCCTAGCTGCACTACATCTATCTCCTCAGAAATAGGCCATGTAGCACACTAAGTGCTCATGGCATCCCACAGAGGATTTCAATATTAGGTCATCGCGTTAAGAGCAGCTGGTTTCAGAGCCATGCAAACCCTCTTTGAAATGACCTTAAGTATAGTGGCTGCTGTTGCTTATCAGAATTGCTTGCACACATCCTTACCTTTGCAATACAGCTAGAAAGTTTTCCATACCCATGTCAGAGCCTGGTCTTCATTTGGAATTTGCGGTCAATGATTTGTCAGCAATAGGCACTAAAGGGTTCAAGTGAGAGTCACCAGATTTGGTTAGTATCAAGCCATAAATTACAGCAAGGTGAGAGTTGCCTGAAGATAAGCCAGGAAAAGCACTCTATTCAGAGGCAGTTTAGCTAATGTCAGTTTTCTTTAGTTACATTTAAATGTAGGAGTCCTGTGATAAACTGCTCTTCAGTGAACCATCTGAGGAGCTTCCAACGAAATCAAAACAGATCTTTATTAGAAATATTCAATAAAGTCAGGGATTTTTGCCTGTAATCCTGATAAAGAACGTACTGTCAAAGTGATAATTCTTCCATAGTTAATATTTTAAAAATATTTTTTAGATAGCTTTAGCTGAAATCTGGCTATTCTTAACAGAACAAACCTATGTAAAAAGGTTCTCAGTGAGGATTTATGCAAAAACAGACCGTGACATGAAAGAGTGCTCTTTGATCCCTTACATTACTTGTTTCCAACAGATTTAGTGCTATTAAAGTAGCAATGCCAAAATCTGATGGAGTTACTTTATGGTCATGTCCACAGCACACCAGAAATGGTATTTCCTAGTATCCTTGGTAATGACCACCGATTGGAGTTTTGAGTAATACTTGAGCATTAAAACCTTTAATGGAAAAGGCCAGAGTTGTTATATGATGATGCGGAAGGCAACTTAAAGCTCTAAAAATTAAGCTGAGAATTGGAACAGTCGTCCTTGATGGATCGAAGCATTACAAGTGCTTACACCTCATAGTAGACATCAGTTCTTCCTTCACACAGCCTGGAACTTCAGGTTACTTTTTATCTTCAAAATTGTTTGAGGCACTAAATCACAATACCCACGCAAGGTACATATGCAATGCCAGGTACGTATGTAAGAATTATCCTAATTTCAGATATGGGTAACAATTCCAAATTGATTTTGCCCAAGTCAAAAATGTTATCACAATTAGAGATGAGGATTGCCTTAGCCTTTGAGATTTAGACTACACTTCAGCAGTGTTGGAATAAAGTAGAAACACTCACTGACTGCTGCAGTTTCAGCATATTAGATGTTCTCAAAATCTTAATTGTATTTTGAGTTATTTGCAATTCTATACCTTCCAAATTGAATGAAAAATGTTTCGACTGTTGTAAGTATATTACCTGTCAAACAAGTTGGTGTCATGATACTGTGTTTCAAACAATTCTTTCGTCATAATGAAATCTGGTCTGTCTAGTGTAGTGAAGTCCCTCTAAAAAGAATAAAGTAGTGAGTGCACCACTGATTGTCAGTCTTCTACAGCTGGTCAATAGCTTACTATATGGATAAGTTAAAATCAGATACATTCAATCCATACAGATGACTCCAGTTTGTGTCAACGGAAATACCAGGTTTAACAAGCACACAGCAGCATGAAAACCAACGATGCCAAATGCTGAATTACTGTAGCACTGGCTTTTGAGCATCCCATCAGAAGAATGCTGTTGGATGCAGATACCTTGCAGTGCGCAGTTAAAACAGTTTGTAACAGCTTCCACCATCCCAAAATATCAGCCCATTTTAAAATTACATTTCTGTAAGCATTGAATTAGAAGTTAATGATCTAACAGTAGTAAACTCCGAGCAAAATTCCATTTTGCAAGCTGTGAAGTAACCAGAAGCATAAGAGGAGTTCTTATTAAATGAAGCTAGTAAAACTCTGTTTCCAGGATTATAAGAGGTATTTGTACTCCAACTGATGCATTTTTTAAAACAGAACATTTAGCTAGTTTTAGTCAAGACACTGCTATCTGCAGTAATTCTGTGGCAAGATCCCTGGATTCTGCAACACTCCAGCACAGTGAATTGGAATTTCTGCAGCAATTTCATTGAATGAAAATACATCTGTTACTTGACACTGATTTTATGCTGCCTCTACCTTTTCAATGTGTTGTACGTTTTTATTCTGAGTGCTTACAGCACTTCAGAAGATGGGAGTTTGGCAGCTAGAGAAGTGATAGTTGACTTTTGGCACATGGTCATGGAAAGTTCAGTTTGGGATACATAAATTCTGCTAAAGTTTAGTAAATCCATTAATGTTGCTTTACTTTCATTTGGATTTTAGCATTAGCAGCCCGCAAAATGAGAGAGATTCACACCTCAAAGCTGTTCTTTCAAATTGTCTACTAACTTAATATGTCTGTTTGTACACTGTCTGGTCTTGACAAACCATGAAGGTTAGAAACAATCTGTTAAAAAGAAAACTTAGTTTTTCCAGCAAAGGCTGGGTGAAGGATTGATTTCACAATTTCTGAAGCTGCAGAAACAGAACACATGAGATCCTAGTTTAAGCTGCAGGGTGACAATGTGATTCAACAAGTTAGTTACAATGAGAAATCAAAGCACAGGACAAGTCACTCACTAAATCTTACCCAGCAATTTGCTCATTTCCTTGTGAGATAAGATTTTCAATCCATGTTGAGTGTTAACTAAGCTAGTGCCTACAGGACAGAAAATATATTGCTCAGTGTCCATGCATAGAGAGTTAAATAGTTACACACACCCCCCGCAATTAAAATCTGTCTTGCAGTTTTATCCCACAGAGCTAACAAATAGTTCAATGGGTAAAGCGAAACCACAAGTTTGCTCTACGAGGTATTTCCAACGACATGAACCTATAGGAGAGGCTCCATCGGGATAGACCTCAACAGTTATGTGGTACTGTAGTAAGAAATACAGGGCTAAGATCCTACAGCTTCTGTAATTTCCAATTAGGACAAGCTTTGCCAATATCAACCAGCCTAAAGATCAACTTCAACAGGAACACCTACTGAAAAGGTAAAAGCCTGCTTTTTCCATCATGTATAATGATTTCTGATCTTGTCCTGCCATTTGATATGAAGTCTTCATCGAACAAAGACTACGAGAATCAACAGCATCAATCTGGCGTTCTTGATCTTTCCTCACAATCCATTTCACTGCCAGAGTTGATACAACTGTGGCTCTATACATCAGAAGCTTTGTAGAAAACCTGATATCACAGCTTCCCCACAGACTGCTGACAGGCCCAAAAACTCTACAACAGCACCAGCTGCTGCTGTACACATGTCCACGTCTTTTGAGGATCCTTCAGTACAGTCTACAATGCTGCCCAAATATTTTAACAGCTGCCATCTGCTCTATGTCCCATCCAGACAGGTTAATACTGAACTGGTTATAATCTGGAACTGGAGACTGCTTGATGATAATGGCCAGCAATTTAGTTTTATCCAGATTATTAATCTGGACAGGAAAACTGACTATACACAAACTGCTATCAATTGCACAAAGTGACTGAAAAAAGGCAAAAAACTCCCTGCTATTTCTTCAGTTAGCCATCTCATGTGTTATTTATAACAGCAATTAAGTTTTCAGGCAGAAGTGTAGTTCTATGTTACTATTTAGCTGGCTATTTTTGTATAGATGTCCTTTGGAGATGCCAGTGAAGTTAAAAAATCCTTCACTTATGTGCAGAGATAGCACTGATGAAACTAAGTGTTCATTCTATGATATTTACAATTAAATTATTTAGTAAGGAATGCTTCTCAAATCAAATAAATTTGATAGAAGATAAGTTTTTACTTAAAACCAAAAGCCACCACTCACTGAATTTTTAATAAAAGGGTGAAGGGTAGAATTTCCTACCTCATGAACAGGCATCTCCTCATTTCTGGTTGACCAGGCTTCTTTGTAATCACTTCACTTGCCTTGCTTCCTAAACATGTGATCCACCTGAAAGATCGAGGTCAGTTTACCACCACACAAACACATAAGCAGCAGCAATTTTTAACAATGGGGTTGTACCACCATACATTTCCTGAAGCACCTGTGTTCTCCTTGAAAAATCACCCATGCAACTACCAGCCAGAACCCTACTTTTGGAGAGCTAAAAACTAGAACCCAGGGGATAAAGTTAACAAAAAAACCCACACACTTGCCACACAGAGCAGTGGCAAACAAACATGATTGTCCCAATTGTAATGCATTTTTCCTTTAGTCTGATACTAAGGTAAGCTTAAACCATTAAACAGCAAGTGTGTACCTGAACTAGAGCAAGATAGACAAGAGCCACATAACCAAGTGTTCAGAAAGGCTGTCATCATTCACTCTTTTCAGAGCAGTTGAACATTTTGCCAATCATCATAACATTTCCTCACAATATCCTCTATATTCCGGAGCAGAATACACTTTTACTTTATGAAACATCTCCACCTATTTCTTTCAATATAGAAACAGATGCCAGTTAAATGAAAAAAAAGCTCTAATTCTTCCTATACCAAAACAATCTGATGGCAAGTTTAATAGGACTAATTAACAATGAGTTTTATATGGCTCTTCAAAAGAGCCAACTAGAGGAATACAGGTCTGTGCATAATCCTCATTATGAAGCCTTTTGCTTTCCAACAAGGACTATTGATCTATTGATCTATCTAGAACTTCTATTCTGATGCTACACACCCTAGCATAATCCAATCCTATAGCATGCAAATCAATTTTGAGTTAATGAGGCATGCAACACCCTTTAACCAGGTAGTTTACCACAAAATTCATTCAAGGAGTCACACCAGAATTTCTTACCAAGACACCAGAAGAAAATGTGATTTGTGACTGCGTGTTCCAGAGTTATTTGGACTCCCTGAAAACAGAGAGAATTCAGTTTGTTATACTCAAATGCCAGTTAAGTGGCCTCTACAATTTAAAATTTACCTTTCCCCTGGAATTGTTATAGAAGTAGTTTTATTACACAATTTGCATTAGGCAGGATGTGGTTCATAATCATCCATTTACATTACTTTTAAACTGCAGTTCAAATGCTGACATTAAGTAATGAAAGAGACAACGTGGGTGAGGTAATCTTTTATTGGACCAACTTCTGTTGGCCAAAGACAACCTTTTCAGCTTACACAAGAGCTTTCTTGTTCAGGTCCTGTGTAAACTCAAAAGCTTGTCTTTTCCCAACAGCCAAGTTGGTCCCATAAGAAGATATTCCCTTACCCACCCTGTCCCACTAGTATCCTGGAACAAAAACAGCTACAGTAATACTGCAAAATACATAGTTATCAAGTCTTTGAAGGTATGGGACCTCCCTGTTCACTACAGAACCAAACCTTGCTAACATAAACCTCTAAATCCTCCAACAGGACTCCAGAAACATAGATAAATGCCCTAAATATGAAAAGCCCAATTTCCAAGAAAGTGATATGAAGAGTCAAGTGGTCTTGTAATCCCCATCTTCAATTTCTTTGACAAAATGCATGCTGCACCATATGTATTTAGATATTAACCTGCACTAGGGATGTAAACAACATTTAAAAACATAACTGTGTAACCAATTAAAATTCTATCAGTTACACAGTTAAATGTTTAATCAGGGAACTAAGGGTGTGGGGGCAGCAGCCAGGACCCTGGGCGGAGTTTAATAGTTACTGGTTAACTGGTAAGCATCACGCTTATCAGTTACCTGGGTTAGACTTTTACATCCCTAACCTGCACCTACCTGGATTTCTTATAGAAAGTCTATGGCTAAACTTGATCTAAACCACAGATCTTGTTTTGCTGCCCAGGGCAGGGGTTCTCAACCTTTTTCTTTCTTTCCTCCTCAACATGCTATAAAACCTCCAGGACACACCAGGACTCCACTCCCAGTTTCAACCAAATGGGGGTACAAGGGCTTGTGCTTCAGCTGCAGGTCATGGCCCCCTGGTTGAGAACCGCTGGCCTAGCGGACAAAAACCCGCATGTCAAAATAAACTGAAGCAGATGAGTATTTTATGATAATCTCAATACAGTGGACCATTTTTCAGAACCTATGTTTGAATTTACCCTTCTATCTGGACAAAAAGTTCAAATTCATTTTAAGACTAGTTTGTCACAGGTCTCATTGTCACCACTGTAATTCATTTTACAGTGATGGAAGCATAACCTGTTACTTCTGTAGCCACGTTGCTCAGTTCAGACACACACCATTAATTGTGCCTATTCTTAGTGTGTAACGAGGCAGTTTCACCCAGCTATCAAAAATTCATCTTTTTAAACAAGATAGTCAACTATATTACAAAAAAATTCAACTATTCACCTAAATTAGTAGTCCATATACTGTTGGCTTTCTTCCCCTATTAGATTTAGCTTTAAAAGGCTCTGTTTGCACAAGAAAGATTGTGTAACCTTGGCACCCCTGCACAGAAAAAAAAAGTTCGCCACCTTTGAATTTGTTTGAGCTGGTCATACTGTACACTAGGAGGGAAATAGTTCAAATGGGTCTACACAGATGTTAGAGGTTTTCAATAAAAAACCCAAACTTTAAAAAACCACACATTTTTACCCAAGTAGACAGGGCCAAATTACTGCAGGCAAGAAGATTAAAATGAACTGCAAGTAGCTTGACAAAAATGGAAGTAACGTAATGTGTTGAATGATCCCTATAGAGGAAAAGGGACATTTTAAAAGCTTCAAAATTAGTTGTCTACCTCAGATCCTAAAGCTTGCTCAAATTGGCTTTGGTCTGCAAGAAGTCATTCTAGGGCACTGGATATCAGGAGCTTCAGTGGAACCAGCACCCAAGTTTGCAGAAATGCACAGCATATGGAAAGATGAAGGAAAAGGTCATTAGACAACACCTACTTAAGTGAAACTTGTGGGAAGGCTTCCAGCTCTTCTCATAGTGGCTTTATAGTAAAAAAGATATGGTGTCCCTTTTCAAAATAAAGGTTTATTTCTGCTTTAAACAAAAATGCACCTTCAAGTCCAGTTTAAGACTTGAGCATGATCATCAACTGACCTATCCCTATCTTGACACTAGCTATTTTCCTTAGTTTCCTTCCTGATTACAAATATGTACATTTCCTCTGTACATACCCTCTCAGTATGAAGATGATCTTCCTGACCGTGACCGCAGTCAGCTTGTGTTTCTCTACAGTCAGAACGCCATAGGAAATTCCCCCCCTTTAAGAACACAAAATCAAAGATATTCTGATGTAAAGTTCACTTCATTTTTCTACTACTGTGATTTATAAAAGTCTGTATTGGTACTTCCACAATATTTCAATGGCAACATTATTTCACCAGCTTCCGAATAAAACCACCTACAATTTAATTAAATCTACATGTTCCAACAGATATACCAGGTTTAACATGCATAACAGCATGAAAACCAACGATGCCAGATGCTGAATTACTGTGGCACTGTTTTTTTGAACACCCCATCAGGAGAATACTGCTGGATGCAGATAGCAAAACAGTGCAACAATTCACTTGATAACTACTTTCTCCAAAAAGCCATGCATTTAAAATTTTAATTTCCCTAAAGAAAATTAGTGTACTAGAATGTGGTAATTTAACAGGAATGCATCACAGCTTACCCTTTTCACCAACCAGCTACATATTTCCATTTTGATTTCATCAATGTATTTTGGAAGTTCCAGAAACTAGAATGGAAAAAAACAAACTTTTCTAGAGTTTTATGTTCTGTTCAGCACAGTTTACATTAATCAAGCAAAAATTTATTTTTGAAATCAACACAATAAATATTCAATATTGGCTCACCTAATGTAAGAGTTTATATATTTAGCAATTATTTCTCTCATACTGGTAGGTTAATAAATGCCAGTCACTTGTTTAAAACTGCATTTGGGGGCCAATTATCAACTAGAAATAGACAGATTGGCTGGCCAATCTGCCTACTCAGAACTGATGCTTTATTCAATTCCCCTGGAAATGGTAGGGGACACTGTCGGAAAAAAAGTTTCCACTATCCAGCTGCTAAAGGAAACAGACTGACATAAGAGAAAGACCAACAGGTAAGACTGTGGAATTATCAATCCAAGAAGTTGGCTGACTGTAGACATTTATGGTATTTGAGCAGCTGCATGTCTTCTCAGAATTTATATTAGGAGGGCCTAAAACAAAGTCAATGTAACTGGGATTACGAGCAAACACTGAATATTTATATTATCCATTTTAGAGTCTGAACTTGATGCAAGCAGAGACTGGAGTTCTCCAGTGTTCACAGAAATTCTGTTCTAATGCAAGCACATTCAAAGACTGTCCCTTCTGAAAAGTAGCACAGCTCATATATTGATGAGTTGTGGGTTGCAAGAGAAGGGTTTATTCTTAGCACTTACTCCAAGATTTTGTCCACAGCAAAAAACAAAAACTGGAGATGTGCTAGGAAAAAAACTTTTTAAACAGTCCTCCATGGGACTTCTCACTTTAGTTGAAAGTAGAATATTTATGCACTGTTCAAATGCAGGTGGTTCTAATAAGTAGTTGGTTATATATCTGGCAGTATTTACTTCAGTTACAAACCTGCATTTCCAATTTAATAGCAAGAGACTACATTAGCACAAAGTTAGGGTTGCTTGGTGGTATGTCATCCCCATGCAGAACAAAGACTGAGCAAAACTCAAAACTTCTGAAAATCAAGAAATGCAGCTATGGTTGCCCATGCAATAATTCAACAACTGTGGGGTTGACAGAGAAGTAGTATGTGTTTTAATGAGGCATTTAATGAGGAACTGGGATTATTAAGTCTGCAGAAGAGAATGAGGGGGATTTGATAGCTGCTTTCAACTACTTGAAAGGGGGTTCCAAAGAGGATGGATCTAGACTGTTCAGTGGTAGCAGATGACAGAACAAGGAGTAATGGTCTCAAGTTGCAGTGGGGGATGTTTAGGTTGGATATTAGGAAAAACTTTTTCACTAGGAGGGTGGTGAAGCACTGGAATGGGTTACCTAGGGAGGTGGTGGAATCTCCTTTGAGGTTTTTAAGGTCAGGCCTGACAAAGCCCTGACTGGGATGATTTAGTTGAGGATTGGTCCTGCTTTGAGCAGGTGGCTGGACTAGATGACCTCCTGAGGTCCCTTCCAATCCGGATATATTCTATGATTCTATGTTGGGGCATTGCTGAAAAAGGGCAGAGTTAAGGATGCACGAAAACACTTTAACTATGCATTTCCTGGTTTTCAGAAGTTTGAGTTTTAGTCAACTCAACATTCTGCAGGGGACAACATACAATCACTTTGCATTAAAAATTTTGTACTGAATTTTAGAATTATTTTTAAGACAGGAAAAAATGTTTGGTAGGAGTTAGTAATCATTTAGGTAGTTGTGGAACAGGACATGCACCATTAGGGGATGCAGAGGGTTGGGGTGCCATGCCTCCCCTACCCGAGCACCCAACTTCTTCCCCTGCCCTGTTACCGTCCCCATTTATCCCTCTCACCTCTCTGCAGCCCCAAATCCTCCTTCCTCCTGCTGCTCTTATAACCCTCCCAGGAAGCATTCACTTTTCTAGCCCCATTCACCCCCAAATATTTTGATTATAAAAACAAAATTGTCACCTATGACTTACAAATTGTGGCAAACTTAAGACAAAAGGAGTTTTGAAGTGAGTGGCTGAAGTGGGGACTTGTGATGAACTTATCCTTATTAACTGAAGGTACGCTCACAGCAATCAAAAGGTTTGTGGATTCCTAAATGAATTCTTTGCTTCAGTCTTCACAGCTGAGGAGATTAGGGAGATTCCCAAACCTGAGCCACCTTTTATAGGTGACAAATCTGAGGAATTGTCACAGATTGAATTGTCACTAGAGGAAGCATGGGAATTAATTGAGAAACTTAACAGTAACAAGTCACCAGGACCAGATGGCATTCACCCAAGAGTTCTGAAAGAACTCAAATGTGAAATTGCGGAACTATTAACTATGGTTTGTAACCTGTCCTTTAAATCAGCTACTGTACCCAATGACTGGAAGATAGCTAATGTAATGCTAATATTTAAGAAGGGCTCTAGAGGTGATCCTGGCAATTACAGACCAGTAAGTCTAACATCAGTACCGGGCAAATTAGTTGAAAGAATAGTAAAGAATAAAATTGTCAAACACATGGAAGAACAAATTGTTGCGCAAAAGTCAACATGGTTTCTGTAAAGTGAGATCATGTCTTACTAATCTATTAGAGTTCTTTGAGGGGGTCAAACAAACATGTGGACAAGGGGGATCCAGTGGACTTAGGGTACTTGGATTTCCAGAAAACCTTTGACAAGGTCCCTCACCAAAGGCTCTTATGTAAATTAAGTTGCCATGGGAGAAGAGGGAAGATCCTTTCATGGACTGAAAACTGGTTAAAAGACAGGGAAGAAAGGGTAGGAATAAATGGTAAATTTTCAGAATGGAGAGGGGTAACTAGTGGTGTTCCCCAAGGGTCAGTCCTAAGACCAATCCTATTCAACTTATTCATAAATGATCTGGAGAAACGGGTAAACAGTGAGGTGGCAAAGTTTGCAACTACTAAACTGCTCAAGATAGTTAAGACCAAAGCAGACTGTGAAGAACTTCAAAAAGATCTCACAAAACTAAGTGATTGGGCAACAAAATGGCAAATGAAATTTAATGTGGATAAATGTAAAGTAATGCATATTGGAAAAAATAACCTCAACTATACATACAATATGATGGGGGCTAATTTAGCTACAACTAATCAGGAGAAAGATCTTGGAGTCATCGTGGATAGTTATCTGAAGACATCCACACAGTGTGCAGCGGCAGTCAAAAAAGCAAAAGGGATGTTAGGAATCATGAAAAAAGGGATAGAGAATAAGACGTAGAATATCTTATTGCCCTTATATAAATCCATGGTACGCCAGCATCTTGAATACTGTGTAGAGATGTGGTCCCCTCATCTCAAAAAAGATGTACTTGCATTAGAAAAGGTTCAGAAAAGGGCAACAAAAATGATTGGGGGTTTGGAACAAGTCTCATATGAGGAGAGATTAAAGACTAGGACTTTTCAGCTTGGAAAAGAAGAGACTAAGGGGGGATATGATACAGGTATATAAAATCATGAGTGGTGTGGAGAAAGTTATTTACTTGTTCCCATAAGAACTAGAGGCCAAACAACGAAATTAATTGTTTAAAACAAATAAAAGGAAGTTCACTCAGCGCAGTCAACCTGTGGAACTCCTTGCCTGAGGAGCTTGTGAAGGCTAGGACTATAACGGGGTTTAAAAAGAGAACTGGATAAATTCATGGAGGTTAAGTCCATTAATGGTCATTAGCCAGGATGGGTGTCCCTAGCCTGTTTGTCAGAGGATGGAGATGGATGGCAGGAGAGAGAGATCACTGGATCATTACCTGTTAGGTTCACTCCCTCTGGGGCACCTGGCATTGGCCACTGTCTGTAGACAAGATACTGGGCTGGATGGACCTTTGATCTGACCCAGTATGGCCATTTTTATGTTCTTATGACACTGCTTGCTGGAGGGAGAAGTGGAAGCTGGAGGGTTCCTGGCAACTGCAGTTCTCAGCATGCCCTGAAAGAAGGAGACAACATACAGGAATCTCCACAAATGTCTGGGTCCCAGCATCAGCCTGTTTCTTGCATTGGGATGCCCCACAGGTGGGCTCTGAGGGGATAGGGTGTGGGTGTCTGGCCTCACTACTGGGCTCTGGGGGGAAGGGGCAGAGAAACAGGAACAGGGTTGTCATAGGGGTTTCCTTAACACACTACTCCTGGAGGAATGTGTGTGTCTGTACTGTTACAGACAGTTGCTGATAGATATTTTGAAATAAATTACCAAAATAATTGAAACTAACATGATTATATAGTGTTATTTTGACAAATAAAATACAGAAATTTTTTTCAAAATTTTACAATATTGTGCACAGAATATTTAATTTTGGGGGGCAGAATTCTCCCAGGAGTATTATATGGACCAAGTAAGCCTTCACAAGCACTTGAATACTGATTATTACAGAGTCAGCAAATCCTGCACAGGGCAGAATTATATCCAATATGAAATTGGAAGTCACAACACTATAGATGTAGGGCATATAAGATAGTATTAGTCTGAGGGAGCAGAACAGGAGGACAAGAAAGATTTTAGAAGATAGTTAGTTTACCAGAAATCTTAAATTGAGAAAGCAAGATATCAGGTTGAACAAGCACAGCAGCCTGAGAACTCCAGATGCCAAGTTATTTGTAGTATTTCTTTGAGCATAAGGATAACTGCATGTAACTGTCTGACCACTACTGTAATCAAGAGTTCCAAGTTTAGTCCCATCTCAGACAGACATTCTAATTTTGGCCAAGTCATTTAATCTGTTTCCATTACTCAACCTCCTTCTACCAAATCAAGTATCAAGCAAGCAAGATTAGAATACATGTGATTTGTATCTTTTCAAAGAGCCATTCAGATAGTTTATTTCAATTTATTGAAAGAAAATCATGAAAAGAAATACAACGAAAGCAGCAACTTACCTCTTGCAGCAGAAAAACTAAAATGGTTCCTCTCTCCCTCCCTCCAAAAAAAGGCCAATTGAACTAAAATGCAGAAATGGAAAAGAGCCAGATGAAGTCTCAGGTTTTTAGCATCAAAGATTAATATTTCTAACCATTACATTTGTAAAAAGCTAGCTTTCATGGGATATTTAATCAGTTCTATTCAGAATTAGAATTTAGTTCATTTGTGAATCACCCAGCAGTTGAACAGAGAAATTCATCATGTGAACTGCAATGTGAAGTCAGGTAGATCAAGTACTATATATGGCACCTGCAATACCTTACCCAGCAAAAACTCCAGTCCCAGATCCAGCATGAAGTTTTTCAAATCATGCTGAGAGGATGTTTCCCATGTTCAAGCCTAGAAAGAAAGAAGTTAAGCAGTTCTCAGACCAGCGTTAGAGATAGTTTGATACTACAGCCTAAAAACTGATCTTGCAGTTTTACTCTACATAGCTAACATAATTCAGTAGATAAAAGTAAAGCCACACGTTTTGTTATGTTGAACACCACAAACCAGCAGAAAAGTTTCTACCAGGATTGAAATGATTCACCTGACTTGTTTATGTCTTACTAATGAGATTCAACTAAGATCTCAAAATGAGAATTATTTAAGAAGCCCATATATGAAGCCTGCAAACTAAAATATAAATATAACAGCTAAAATATACAAGCTTGTGTTCTATTACTGTCAATATCCCACCCTGTCCCCAATTTTGGATTATGTTTGCTGTGTGACAGGAACTTGTTTGTACAATATCACTCCAGACTGGGGCCTCTGAACACCACTATAACAATTTAATAACTATGTCCTATATGTGCTTTAGCCTTATTTGCACAATTTAAGAGGTGACATTTTCACACCTTAAACATTTTTGTTAGATCCACCAGCACTGAGGAAGTCTTGCGTATTAATTTTTTTTAGATAAGAAGTTTGGGGTCATTTAGCTCTAGAATTTGAACAGATTGAGGGATGAAAGATTGAGACTTCATAAAGAAGAGAAAGAAAAGGTATTGTATTATCTACTCAGCATTTCTAACACCATTAATATGTGTGTTCAAATTACTGTCCACACTTACAAGTAGCACAACTCATATTGTTATCAGTTGTGGGTTGCAAAAGAGTCATTTTATTATTAGCACAGAATTCAAAGCTTCTGTCCATGTTAGACAAAAACAAAAGAATGAAGTGCTTCTGAAAGTGATATGCTGTATGGAATATATGCATTAAGTTTCAATCACAATTTTCAATTTATATCACTATTTTCTACGGAGGCAGAAGGCTGTTCAGACATGATTTCTTTAAACTAAGGTTAGGATGAAAGGAGGCAAGGTTAACCTCTGAACCAAGTTAATTTGATATTTTACCTTCCTTTTCTACAGATAGCACTGAGCAAATTAAAACCTCAAAGCTTTATAAGAGCAGCTTCTTTATTACTATAGTTTTATTGCAACATTTACAATTTTATCTCTAGACAGTGCTAAACAAATCATACTCACCCAAAGGAGACAAATTATATATTTACAACCTAGATGATGCTAGATCAATCAATTGCAATAACAAAGTTTCCTTAGTTGGAATGTTGAACATAGTTTTTGTCTGAAGTGAATGTGTTTTTGCTAGGCGGAGCAGCATATGCAGACATGCATGCTCAGAGTCAGGGTCACAGCAACTAGCATTTATGGGGTTCCATGATGTACTAGTTTTCTGATCCATGTAGTATCTCATGTACAGGCCCGGGCCCATCAGCAGCATATTCTTCCTCTTCATCTTCTCTGATCAGATTTGCATGTTTTGCTTTTGTCTTTGATTTTTTCTTGCTTGGAAGTTTGCTGCTTAATATGAAACAGCTGTTTTCCTAAGTCAATGGAAGATATAAAACTGATCAGAATAAAAGCCAATTATAAAGACAACGTTTGAAGTGGGACTTTGACAGTAATTTTTGGAGATACAGAACAGTATTTCCCAAGAACTACCCATGAGTAATTCTCATAACTGTATTCCTCAATTTAGGATTGTTTGCCACCCCAAACAAGACAAAACCATGAATTTTCAAATAATAAAAAAATTTTTTAAATCAAGAAGCAGGGTCAGAGATGGCATATATAATAGTTCATAGATATAGTCTAATTCTAGGAACAAATATTTAATCCAAAAATACTTTAATTTTGCTTGATTGTTCTTTTGTTTCATTTGCTTTAAAATGCTACACAGGGTAGTGAAGTTAACGAAGGTTTACTCACAACTATTGTGGCACCAAATTCTTCTTGATCAGGATCCAAGTTGTGGTCATCTTCACTGAAATAAAAATGGTCCAGAGTTTGGTTAGGTTTATGTAATAGCACAAAATACGAAGACTACAAGTGGTCTTTGATTTTTACCTCCACCAAATCTTGAGTTTCTCTTGGCCTCAATGCTACTACTTGTACCTACATGAGGATGCCACTCCTGCAGAAGTCTGATCTCAAGTGACACCTCACAAAACAATTAGAAACTAGGTAGGACAAGCTTTCAATGATATTACAAACAAGTGGATAATTGGGAAGGAAGAGGTAGAGAGAAGGCCTTCAGAGTAGATATGAGGAAGTGGACAGGGCAGCCATGAAGAAAAGCCAACTGGTACACTGAGGAGATAAAGAGGACAGGTCTGTATTAGGAAAAAAGAGAAAGCCAAACACTGCTTTTACAGCCAAACATGGGCCAAAAGAGGTGAGGGGATAAGGTTCGCCTGATATTACATCTGTGGGTGAACCACAGCTGAGTAACGTGTGCAAGGAATAGTTGTAACCTTTACCCAAGAATCTTTAACATGCATAGTCTGACTGCTCTCTGGTTCTTATTTTGAGCAGGGTAATCTGTCTGCAAAAAATTTTCTACTCTTCAGCTTTCCACTTCTCTAAATGACAGGTTTCAGAGTAGCAGCCATGTTAGTCTGTATTTGCAAAAAGAAAAGGAGTACTTGTGGCACCTTAGAGACTAACAAATTTCATGAGCTACAGCTTCTGCTCAAATAAATTTGTTAGTCTCTAAGGTGCCACAAGTACTCCTTTACTTCTCTAAATGGAATTTTCTCTGAAAATGTAGTCAGAGGCACAACCATTACACATGGTATACTTCTACACATTAGAGACCAAGGCAAATCATCCTGCAGCCTTTATTCGCAGAACTAGGCCTCCCTCCAGTCAACTACACTACCACCGTCACCAAGGGCAGAAGGATTGGGTTCTTATTCTTAACAGGTTTTTCCAATCTTCAGCCACTGAAAATTACCTTGTCACCACACTCCATTTGAGAAGTGAGTTAAGAGATTTTATTATTGATCCCCAAGCATCCTTGCTAATTGTTATGATTTTACATCTTCCCCTCATGGCTGTGTGAAACACCCATGTAAATGGGGGGGAAATGACTGACCACGTAGGAAAGAACAGCAAAACTTTACAGAATACACTTTCTAATGCCTAGTCAGTTACATTAAGTCTCTGATCTTTCAGCTATAGAAAGCTCAGCTATTATTTGTAATAAGTGTAGACAAGTTTCAGACAAGCATGATTTTAAGTTGACTATTTCCCATTCCACTCAGGTTACTGAATCAAACAAAATGCAAGGGAAAAAAAGACCAAAAAAAAGACAAAACAGTCCTCAGACTTGACAGGTTACACTCCATGAAATCCCAATCCAATCCCTATGCCACAAGATGCCAAGGCCTTTTTTTTTTTTTGAACTGGGGCTGGATCTTATGGCTTCCCTCACAAAGTGATACTACATGAAATTAAGGTGTGAACAGTTTCTCAAAACAAGTACTTTTAGTAATTCCCAATCCAGATTTAAACTCTATTAAATCTAAAATTACCAAAGTTTAAAGTTCATAGATCAAGTCTGATAGAAACATGTACACAGTGGATGATGGTCTCACACTACAGTGAGACTTAGAAAACCTGAGTTGAATGCCCAGGTCTGCCACAAGCTTTCTGTGAGACCTTGAGAAACTAGTTTGCTCTGATTCCTCAATTCCTGATCTGTATGGGGATATACTTCCCTGCCTCAAAGAGATAGGAAATAGATAGAAGCCAGTTAAGGAAATAGATGAAAAGTTGTTATAATTTCCAAAAAAATCCAAAAAAGTATTTAAGCGTGAACTTACTTTGTCTCCTGAATAGGAGAAATGGGTCCTTCATCATCTAAGTATTTGTGTTTCCGCATCACCATACATTCATTTTCTAAATCCTCACTAGCATTCAGGTTTTTTAAAGCCTTTTTGAGATGTTCTTCATATTTGAGCATCTTAATGTATTGGAAATATCCCTTTAAAGCTGCTTGCTAAGAAAAAGATTTCTTGTTACATTATGCAAGACCTTGAAAATCAATGTCATTAAGACAGACTGACTTCTAATACCAAACAGACCCTTCAGCTTACATTTAAAATATGCTATACAGCAAATCAGTTTCAAGCATTTAGTACTAACTGATAAATTATGTATGCAGATTACTTGACAGCAATTTCATCTATAATGTTGTACTGAAAGTGTGAATTTAATTCACTGTACTCTGTGCCCAAATTAGTCAATGGTTCTTAAGTGCAAAAACACAATAGTTGCCTTGTAACAACTGCCATTTCAGTTTTTGTCTGCAAAGACTGAAGTTTGTTCTGCCTGTAGAAACCACTCCAATTTAAAAAAACCCCACAGACAAAAAAAATCTCACCTCGTATTCAACAATCATTTTCATGGGGAGATGTTTCCTTCCATATTCTTTTTCCACAAAAGGAAACTGAAAGCCTCTGTCTAGAAGTCTTTTTTTCTGCTCTTCTTGTGAAGCAGTTAGCCGTGGTCTCCCTCTAGGCTTTCCTGTGCTCTTATACCTCTTCTCTTTCTCTTTTGGTTTCTCCTTACATCTTTGATGTGCTCGTCTCCTATACTTCCTCCTCAAGTGATTGTCAAAACTGGCTTTCAAATTGGGTGCAGATCTAGACAGCCCTGGGGATTTAACCAACTTAAATGGTGATCCAGGATCTGGAGAAGAGTCAGTTGAAGTGTCTCTGTCCAATGTATTTGCTGGAGACTTTGCCAAGTGTCTTGCTGAACTTCGAGCTGAGGGTGTAATGTTACACTCAGGTTGGAACAAGCTGCCAGTCGAATCAGAAAGGTCACTACGATAAAACAAGAGTAAATTGTTAACTTTTTTTGAAGGCACAGTTGATGTTTCTGATAAATTACACTCTAATTACAAAGAATTCTCCCATTATCAAACAAAATTTTCTCTACCCTAGTAGCTTTGGAGTGATTAGGTATTCATGATGATTACTATTAAAAAATTTGACTAAGTATGGCTCTTAGATACCACAGTAATGGATGCATTAGAAATACCTAATGCACTAGATCAGTAAACATGCATCTTAATTTCAGGTGAAGCCACAAAGGAGTTAAGTAGAAAACTGACTACAAGCTACGTAAGATTCTTTATGGAAAAAGAATTACCTGAGTTCTATTCTCAACAGGGTAGTAGGTAAAACGTCAAATATTTAGAAGCTGGGACTGGACAATGGGATAGTTCATTCAATAGTTGCCCTGTTCTGTTCAATCCCTCTGAAGCATCTGGCACTGGCCACTGGGCTAGACGGACCATTGTTCTGACCCATTATGGTCACTCTTATGTTCATATTCTTTGTATGAATACAGAGCCTTTCAGAGATTTCAAAGCTTTATTCATACAGCTTTATAGGTGTGAATTAAGCCTCCATGCCACTGCAAGGCAGGGAACTGTATTACAGATGGAAAAACCTAAGTATTAAGGCACAGAGTGGGTTCACAACTTGGCTATGGTCACATAGGAAATCTGACAGAGACCCAGAAAACTTACTTCCCATACCCATGCATTAACCGCAAGACTGCTATCCCTTCCTTGGAAAATCTGTTTAGTACCAGTTTAACTTCATATTGATTGGAAATCGTATGGCAACTTGCTGTAACATGTCTGCTTGAAATGAAAGCCAATCTGTTTGGTCACTCTAGCAGAGGTTCTCAAATGTTGTCATAGTGAGTCTAAGGGGGAGCAGGTCTCCAACCCATGACCAGCTTCAGGGATCCCACATCACTTCCTCCCTAGCATGGGCAAACATTCTATTCCCAGTAGGCATCAAGAGCTCCTGCAGAGCTCAGAGCCCACTTGTGACCTGTGTGAAATGAGTTGGTCCCAATCTAGTTCCAAGGCCCAGGAGAGGTGGGGGCAAAGAGTATGTCCCATGAAGAAAATTGTGTTCTCTTATTCTTTTTGCATATGAGACCTAGATACCACAATGGATGGAGATGTGAGGGGCTGACAGGTGTTTTACACAAGCAAAGAAAGTATATGTGTGTGGGGGAAGGTCACTTTATGCATGTGCATAGGGGCACTGCTGTGGTGAGGGGCAGCAGTGCAGCTGACTGCCAAGCTGGAGGCGGTGTATGCCCCTTTCCCTGCCAGTGGACAGGCACCCTCCCACAGAGCATGAAGGGCTCCCTCTGCACCAAATGCATGCTCAGGCAATGGCCACTCAACTAGAGTGGGGCTGGTGTAATTCTGCCCCATAGCAAGGGACGCAGTGTGCATGGCTGAGCAGGAAGATGGCTCCACGCCAGTTTCTCCAGCTCCTCTGTGGGAGAGGGGCATTACAGCTGCCAGGAGCCTCTGTGCCACAAGTGGAGTATGAGCTTTGGTCCAACCTAAAGGGAGCTGTGCAGGAATGAAGGAGGCAAGATGCTGCTGGGAGGAGGGGGGGCATGTACTATGGAAGCACAGTGGGGAGGCCAGCTCCATCAGCAAGTGCACAACCCTTTCCCCAGTAAGAAGGGTTCAGCACTGCTGCAGCAAGCCACTAGCGAATGTTAGAGTGTGCAAAAGGAGGAGATGCAGTTTGAGAACTAGCACCTCCCTGGGTGCACACTTACCTCCCCCAAGGTACACCACAATTTGGTTTGAGAACCTCTTCTCCACCATATTCTTAAAGTTTAAGAGGTAAGACACTTCTTGCCACAACCAACTTCTGCTTGTACCTTAAAAATTCTATATAATGGCTCTCCTTAGCTTTTTGTTGGTTGCTACCACCCTGCAGAGAAAGGCTATGATACTAGGGCAACTTCATTTCTGTAACTGTTAAAATTGGTTTAACCTGCTTACACAAAAAATATTTAGTTCAGTAGTAAATGCCCACTGTAAAGCTACTTTGAAATAATCTCTGACTAATGGTTTGGATGAAGAGGCTGGTAGCCCCGGCTCCTGGATTATACTCCATACTTGTAGCTTTGCCAGTGACTGACTGACCTTAGGTAAGCCATCCCGTTTTTCACATAACCCAGCTAGAGAACAGCCACACTTCTCTATCTCACAGACCTATCACAGATTTCTTTGCTGAATTCTCTTACCAAAACCTTGTGTAGTCAATCTATCTGCACAATGACAAGTGCTACCAAATCCAAAATTTTGCTCCTACTTTTGCACTAGGATTGCCTACACAAGATACAGGGTGACAGAATCAGATGCCCTATTTATGGAAGACTTTGGATGCAAGGAACTACAGAGGAACAGAATACTGGAACTGAAAGTCACTTCCTTACTACTCAAGTACAAGCACTAGATTGTTACTGGAAAGTTGCTGACTTTTTTTAAAAGCAAGTTTATGGGGTATTTGCAAGCCTTTAAAAAAAAAATTTATATCCAACTGAAAAAAGCCAGGTGGAATTTTAGTCCTAGAGCCTTAATAATGTTGCCTAACCAAAAGAGGTAATTCAAAGGGTAATGATATTGTTTAATAAATCATTAAAACCAGCTTAAAATGTAGGCGAATAAAGACTGAATTCCTGGTACCCCATCACCATATGGTTTGTTTAAATAAAAAATGGCCCCAAAAGAGCAAAACTGGAAGGGAGTTAAGAAAAAATTCCAACAGAAAGTCAATATATTGACTTTATTTTTTATTACTTCCATGGAGGAATTGTGGCAGGTAGATCTATGAAGTCTTTCAAGCCAAAGTAGATATGACATGGGTTAGGAGTTCTAGGGTATCCTGGATAACTAATTACATAGGATATTTAGACAGTTCACTCTTTGGGACAAAGTCTGTCTTCCTGTGTTTGGAAAATACTTGCCTAACACATGTGGGGAACTAACAAAGAAACAGCCCTCCCCCCAAAAATCACTCAAATGAACAGTAGAATCTCAGAGTTACGAACACCTCAGGAATAGAGGTTGTTCGTATCTCTGAAATATTTATAACTGAACAAAAGTTGTTCTGAAGTTGTTCCTTCAAAAGTTTACAATTTAACATTGAGTTAATGCAGCTTTGAAAGTTTACTATGCAGAAGAAAAATGCTGCTTTCCCTTTTTTCGTAGTTTATATTTAACACAGTACTTTACTGTATTTGTTTTTTGTATCTGCTGCTGCCTGATTGTGTAATTCTGGTTCCAAATAAGGTTTGTGGTTGAATGGTCAGATTGTAACTGAGGTTTAACTGTACTGCATATGCACCAACCCAAGTACATCATCCTAAACAGAAGTCAGCAGCATGAATTGTTTGTTTTCAATCAAGATCTCATACACCTGACTTTGGGATTTTAAGAGATTTAGCACATTCAGTCTGTTTTACCAGACATGTAGCTTAGGAGGGGGAAAAAAAACTCACGTCTCTGAATCGCTGTCATCCAGCAAGGCATTGGTTGGGACAGTGGTCAAGTGGGTGAAACATTTGGAAGATCTACCACTGGTGTAGGATTCCTGTGAAGAATTTTCACATACAGAATCTTTCTGTGCAGAGCCTAAACATGAATTCCTTGCAGTTGCATGTTTATGCACATTAGACTGTTGTTCTTGCGGCATACATATTAGATCTTGGGAATCTTCAAAGTGGTCAAAAGCTGAAGTCTTGGCTTCATCAGTATCAGTCATTCTGAGCTTTCAATTTGTTCTAAAATAAAAAAATATTCAATAAAGGATCAATCAGCAGGGGGTTTTTTGGTTACACTTAGGTTATCTTAAGTCAGCAGTTCTCAACCCGTGGCCCAATTAGCACAAGGCCAGCCCATGTGCGGGGTCTGTCAGGTTCCCAGCTGGCCTCACGCAGATGGGGCAGAGTGGGCAGCCAGCCGACCCAGCACTGCAGGGGTCCAGGCTGCCCTGCCCAGTCCCTGCAGCCCAGGTAACACACTGCAGGCCACATATGCAGCCCACAATGTGTAATCAGTTGAGAACCACTCCCTTAACTATTTGCACATCCGAGAGACTGATTCAGGTGAACGTCAAGCTACTTTGTATTAAAGTTCAGAATAACCATCAGCTTTCAGCTATGTAGGGTATAACACTCATTTTCTTCACCTGCAACCAAGTAACTGCAACATGCATAGTGTATGCAGTGACTAGTTTGAAAAACATTAGTATTAAGATAAGAAGGTGGACATAACCCATCCTTTAGGATTCTGCAAAATTATTACAAATAACTCAGTTCTAAGACATTTTGTGCAAAAAAAATATTTTATTAAAAATCTTCAGGGTGTAGTATAAAATATCCTTCCTGCACTGCCCCAATATTGAGCATTCAGGTTTTTTGGAGCAGTAAATAAAAGTTTTTGCAGATAATCACCTATTATATTTCCCAGCGATATTTCAAAAAAGTTGTAATGTTTAAAAAAGTGTCTACTTTTAACAATATTTAGTTGTGTCCCAAAGAGTGCTCTGCAAACATCCAATTAGTCTCATAACAGCACTGATATAGGAAAGTATTCTCGTCTTATGGATGAAAAAACTGAGGCAGAGAGGTGAGACATACCCAAAACAATGGACAATGCATGTTGCAAGCAGGGATTAAAATTCAAGAGTGAGGTTTTCCGAAGCACCTGCTGGAGTAAAGAGTAGACAAGTCCTATTGATTTGTTCACTCCTTCCCTCCACCAGGCATACTGGAAAACCTCATCCCTACTAGATCAAACTCCTAAAGTTTAACCCAATAAGCTGGATAAGTAGTCTGAACATTGTTACATGTACATGTACAGATCTCAGGCGAATATCAGCAGTTGACATTGGCAAAAAGTGTGCCAGCCTTCAGCATCTGCTGTTAACTGCTAACTACTGAAATAAAGAATGTTAGGAGTGCAGGGTTGTGATGCCAAAGGGGGAGCCACACACATTTGCAATCCCTGCAGATAAAGGGAAAAGTTGATGTAGGGAGTAGGATCTGCTTTGGCTAGTTTAAGACATTTAGGGAATTGTATTATTAGGAATTTTCCCTGACAAAGGACAATAGTAGAAAAGTGATCTGTACAAGAAAAGTAAACATTAAATCAGTTAAGGTCAAAAGGTGCTTTTTCTTCTGTGCAGGTACTTTTTACTTTCTCTTGTGATAGCTCAAATAATTTGTAACAATACTAAAAATTAATACTGGCAGTGTTTGCTACTACATGAAGCTTTTAAAAAAGTGTAAAGTTATCTATAGAAAGTTGAATAAACTATACATTAATTTAACTACCTATAATACTCAAGACCCCCCAGAGATAAGATCATTGCAATGATCTCATCAGTATATAACTGTCATTTTTCCACAGAAAAACGACTTCCAAACTGTAAGAAGGAAAAAACTTCCTCAATGGTGTTACAAGCTTTTTTCTTTTTTAACCCCGCAGGGTAAGAAAGATGAAAGAAGGGCATACTGGAATGATGGTGTAGTAGGCAGATGGAGCTCCTGAATAAAGTTTGGGAAGTGAGATGGTGCAGTTTAGTTTAAAAATGTGACTAGGTTTGATATCCTGTTTGTGTATCTCAGCTAATAGAATTTTAAGCATTTGAGAAGAGCTCATCTCTTATTGCATCTAACACAATATTTGGGCCCTACCCAGTTAGGGCAACTGGGTACAACTGCACTGTTAATTTTAGTAGCATCATGCATCTGAAGAAGTGGGCTTTTTACCCACAAAAGCTCATGCCCAAATAAATCTGTTAAGGTGCCACCAGACTCCTTGTTGTTTTTGTGGCTACAGACTAAAGTGGCTACCCCTTTGATAAGTGGTGAAAAATGTTTCCAGAGTCGTAAACATTACTATTGGTACTATTGTACCTAGAGGCCTCTACTAGAAACCAGGACCCCAATGTGCTAGTCATTGTACTCCTAATAAAGACACAATCTAGTTTACAATCCAAGTAGAAGATGAGGTACATCAAGTGAAAACACAACAACAGAGAGGGGTCACAATGTAACAGAAAAATAATGGGCAGTCACAGCACACCAGTGGCATAACTATGGTGCTTTCAAACTTACACGTGTATACAAACATGCAGAAACGTCAGACTTTTTCATGCAGTTCCACAACACCAGTTTTCTCCCTGCCCTAACATGGCAAGGGCCGATCCCTGCTGCAGACAACTAGCAGCATCACCTCTCCTGCCACAGAAATAATAGGGTTAAAAAGTGAACATTTGAGAGTTTTCCCCAAAACCCTCGTGTTGCTGTAACAGGGGGGTTGTGTTTCCTCCCACAAATTGATTAAAAACACAACTCCTTCTGAAAACTGCTGCTGTCTTTCCGCTTCTACAGCACCGTGCAGTCAGCCAGCCTCTCGCTCTACACACGGTACTGATTACACCCACATGTTGTCAGGAGCATTTTAGACGTGAGTCAGTCAAGCAGGCACAGCAACGTGAAGGACTTGCCCCGCGCCCCAGCGAGCCCACGGCAGCGCAGGGAACGGAGGAACCCGACACCCGCCCCGGCCCCGTGCTCTGGTCACTCGGCCGGGTGCCTCCGCGTTGAGGGAGCTCCAAGGCGCCTGGCCGGGGGAGGGGAAGCCTCTCTCGGGGGGCGAGCCGTACCATTAGCCGGGGAGCGGGCCAGACCATTAGTAGGCGCTTCGGCGAGCGCGTGCCTTATCCCATGCTGCTGCCGAGCCAATGGGGGGGGGCGCCCGCCCCCCACCGGCCCTGGGGCAGGGAGGGACCAAGGCCGGAGACACCGCCCAGCCCCCCAAGCCCTTAGAGCGGCGCGGGGCTGCATTTAGACCCCAAGAACTTGCCGCAGCTAATCGATGACCTCCCACCAACCAAGCCCTGGACTCTCCCCGTGAGGGTCCCCGCCCGGCCCGGCCCAGCGCCGCGGATGGCTCCGGATAGAGGAAGCGACCCTCACACAAGACTCACCCTCCGCCCTCTCCACGCTCTCTGGGAGGCCAAGGCAAAGGCCGCCCAACGGCTGTTTGGCTTCTTAAATAGCGCACCTGATCTCGCGAGAGCTGGCTGGCCTGATGGGAAGAAGGGAGCAGAGGGGCTGTCCGCGAGCGCCATCTTAGGAGAGGCACTGAGGGCTGCTGCCTCTCTCTCCCTCCCCAGCGTTGTACGGGTGGTGGGAGCGGAGGCACGAGAGCCTGGTGCGCGCGCGCAGACAGAGCCCGGCCGCGGGGCAGGAGCGCCTCGGAGCCCCTCCCCCGCCCGCGCTCTGGTAAGTAGCACAGCGGCTGAAGCCGGCTGATCGCCCTCGCGCGGGTAGGGAGGCTGGCACAGTTACCCCGTGCTGGGCGGTTCCTTACCCCCGCCGGGCCAAGGGCGCTGTCTGTGTCCGAAAGCGGTGGCTTTGGGGGAAAGGGCGAGGCTAATCGGGAAGTGACCTCCTGAAGGGGGGGGGGAGGGATAGCTCAGTGGTTTGAGCATTGGCCTGCTAAACCCAGGGTTGTGAGTTCAATCCTTGAGGGGGCCATTTAGGGATCTGGGGCAAACGCTGGGGACTGGTCCTGCTTTGAGCAGGGGGTTGGACTAGATGACCTCCTGAGGTCCCTTCCAACCCTGATATTCTATGAAGGTTGTGCTGTAGGGGAAAAGCCTTGCTAATGCGCCACTACCCTTCCTACAGCCCGTTAGTTGCCTGCTTCGCAACCTTGTCCCTGTAACGGGAGCTCCCCTTTTGGCAAAGGTTTAAAAGAGCGTGTGTGAGGCTGTGATTGCTACTAAGGGTTTGCAAAAAGAAAAGGAGGACTTGTGGCACCTTAGAGACTAACCAATTTATTTGAGCATGAGCTTTCGTGAGCTACAGCTCACTTCATCGGATGTATACCGTGGAAACTGCAGCAGACGTTAGTATACACACAGAGAATATGAAACAATACCTCCTCCCACCCCACTGTCCTGCTGGTAATAGCTTATCTAAAGTGATCATCAGGTGGGCCATTTCCAGCACAAATCCAGGTTTTCTCACCCTCCACCCCCCCACACAAATTCACTCTCCTGCTGGTGCTAGCCCATCCAAAGTGACAACTCTTTACATAATCAAGTCGGGCTATTTCCTGCATAAATCCAGAGTAATTCTCATTTGAAACTTTGCTTTTATGTTTTGTAAGGGACTTCACAAAACTGGGTGACTGGGCAATAAAATGGCAGATGAAATTCAATGGTGATAAATGCAAAGTCATGCACACTGGAAAACATAATCCCAACTATACATATAAAATGATGGAGTCGAAATTAGCTGTTACTACTCAAGAAAGAGATCTTGGAGTCATTGTGGATAGTTCTCTGAAAACTTCGCTCAATGTGCAATGGCAGTCAAAAAAGCTAACAGAATGTTGCGAAATCATTAGGAAAGGGATAAATAATTTGGTTAAAAAAATCATATTACCTCTATAAAACATGGTACACCCACATCTTGTATACTGCGTGCAGATCTGGTTTTCTCATCTCAAAAAAAGAATTGGAAATGGTACAGAAAAGGGCAACTAATATGATTTGGGTATGGAACCGCTTCCATCGGAGAAGAGGTTAATAAGACTAGGACTTTTCAGCTTGGAAAAGAGATGACCCAGGGGGATATGAAAATCACAATTGGTGTGGAGCAAGTAAATAAGGAAGTGTTGTTTACTCCTTATCATAACACAAGAATTAGGGGTCACCAAATGAAATTAATAGGCAGCAGATTTAAAACAAACTAAAGGAAGTATTTTTTCACACAGCGCAGAGTCAACCTATGGAACAATCTGGCCCCCTTTCAAGTCCATTCAAAACGTTGCTACTAAAGTCATCTAGTTGGTTAATTGCTCTGGCTAAATACCCCCTCACACTTTTTCATTCCACGCTGGATTTTTCCCCCCACCACCTCAAACACAAGCTACGTATTTTTTTACCCTTTGAGTGCTTTCCTGGCTTTGTATTACACTACCTATCAACTCTAATAATTATTGAGCTGTCAACTCCTGACCTGAGAAGGTAAGGGAATCCTCTACCTGCTGAAGGAGATACAGCTCCTCCTGAGTTGCTTTCTGCACTGTAGGAGAGGAAAACATTTCAGCTGACTTTTCAGCAGAAGCCCAGTCAATCAGACACATCCAGCTTCCCAAGGGTTGTGCCCCCTCAGCTAACAATCCCCCAAACAGCTTGGCTACTGAAGGCATTGGTCAGGAAGAGAAAGTTGAAAAAAGTCAGTAACTTAATTTTTGCTACCTTTATTGGGGTGAAGAATACAGGTTTTTCATAGGGGTGGTGGGGAATCACTGTTCTGCTCCCTTCTGATTTCCTTGTTCTGTGATGAAAAGTCATGTGATCTAAAGCCTAGTGAAGTCAATCAGAGTATTTTATTGACTTCACTGAGCTTTGGATCAGCCCTTAGTGAGCAGCTTTCTCCTTTCACTTGGGAAATTGTTGCTATAAAGTATGCTCACCTCCCTCTCCCCACTCTTTGATCTTTGCTGTGCCCCTGTGTGTCTGCGGACTCAGGAAGACTATGGGCTCACTTTTGAAAAGTAATATTGATGACCATAAAGACTGGAATCATGTTTTTTTAATTAAAACTTGCATCGTGCAGAAGTGGATGGTTAATGTGTGACAGGTTATGCCCCTTAGGAAGCTTTCACAGCAAAACAAATTAAAGCCCCAATCTTATAACTGGCTCCACCTGGGCAAACAGCTGCATGTATGCAGAGCCCTTTGAAGTCAGGGGCCTGATTACACAGACCCAGTTACAGGCTTGGGTCTAAGTTTTTATGGATACAGTGCTCTGAATTCTCTCTAGAACTGCATGCTATGCATGTTGTCATTCCAAAACATATGAGGAAATTAGCATTATAAGCATATACATATCAATCTCACTTGAAGCAAAAAGTCTAGTCTACTGTAGTTTATGTATTCTTAATGTTATGTAAAGCCGCCGCTCAAATGCGATTGTAAGATCTGTAACTTGTAACATTAAGGTCTGCAACCTTATTGTAACTTCAGTTATTGTTACCATAGCCTTTTAAGTTTTGTAACCTTTGCAAGCTCTGTAACCTTTTCAAGTTACCACTTGTATGAACTGCCAAACTTTGTAATATCCCATCACGCAATCAGAGAGAGTGTGAACAAGGGAGTGTGTGTGTGGAAGATAAGGGGGTGTGAACAAGGAAGTGTATGGGGAGACTGGGCAGAGAGGAACTGCAAGGAGAAAGAAAAGGAGTACTTGTGGCACCTTAGAGACTAACCAATTTATTTGAGCATGAGCTTTCGTGAGCTACAGCTCACTTCATCAGATGCATACCGTGGAAACTGCAGCAGACTTTATATACACACAGAGAATATGAAACAATACCTCCTCCCACCCCACTGTCCTGCTGGTAATAGCCCATCTAAAGTGATCAACAGGTGGGCCATTTCCAGCACAAATCCAGGTTTTCTCACCCTCCACCCCCCCACACAAATTCACTCTCCTGCTGGTGCTAGCCCATCCAAAGTGACAACTCTTTACATCATCAAGTCGGGCTATTTCCTGCATAAATCCAGGTTTTCTCACATCCCCCCCACCCCCATACACATACAAACTCACTCTCCTGCTGGTAATAGCTCATCTAAACTGACCACTCTCCAAATTTAAATCCAAGTTAAACCAGAACATCTGGGGGGGGGTGGTAGGAAAAAACAAGAGGAAACAGGCTACCTTGCATAATGATTTGGCCACTCCCAGTCTCTATTTAAGCCTAAATTAATAGTATCCAATTTGCAAATGAATTCCAATTCAGCAGTTTCTCGCTGGAGTCTGGATTTGAAGTTTTTTTGTTTTAAGATAGCTCCCAGCTACCTTCGAGACACCACTGACTTCCTGAGGAAACTTCAATCCATCGGTGATCTTCCTGATAACACCATCCTGGCTACTATGGATGTAGAAGCCCTCTACACCAACATTCCACACAAAGATGGACTACAAGCCGTCAAGAACACTATCCCCGATAATGTCACGGCTAACCTGGTGGCTGAACTTTGTGACTTTGTCCTTACCCATAACTATTTCACATTTGGGGACAATGTATACCTTCAGATCAGCGGCACTGCTATGGGTACCCGCATGGCCCCACAGTATGCCAACATTTTTATGGCTGACTTAGAACAACGCTTCCTCAGCTCTCGTCCCCTAACGCCCCTACTCTACTTGCACTATATTGATGACATCTTCATCATCTGGACCCATGGAAAAGAAGCTCTTGAGGAATTCCACCATGATTTCAACAATTTCCATCCCACCACCAACCTCAGCCTGGTCCAGTCCACACAAGAGATCCACTTCCTGGACACTACAGTGCTAATAAACAATGGCCACATAAACACCACCCTATACCGGAAACCTACTGACCGCTATTCCTACCTGCATGCCTCCAGCTTTCACCCTGACCACACCACACGATCCATCGTCTACAGCCAAGCTCTGCGATACAACCGCATTTGCTCCAACCCCTCAGACAGAGACAAACACCTACAAGATCTCTGTCAAGCTTTCTTACAACTACAATACCCACCTGCAGAAGTAAAGAAACAGATTGATAGAGCCAGAAGAGTTCCCAGAAGTTACCTACTACAGGACAGGCCTAACAAAGAAAATAACAGAACGCCACTAGCGGTCACCTTCAGCCCCCAACTAAAACCCCTCCAACGCATTATTAAGGATCTACAACCTATCCTAAAGGATGACCCAACACTCTCACATGTCTTGGGAGACAGGCCAGTCCTTGCCTACAGACAGCCCCGCAACCTGAAGCAAATACTCACCAACAACCACATACCACACAACAGAACCACTAACCCAGGAACTTATCCTTGCAACGAAGCCCGTTGCCAATTGTGCCCACATATCTATTCAGGGGACACCATCACAGGGCCTAATAACATCAGCCACACTATCAGAGGCTCGTTCACCTGCACATCCACCAATGTGATATATGCCATCATGTGCCAGCAATGCCCCTCTGCCATGTACATTGGTCAAACTGGACAGTCTCTACGTAAAAGAATAAATGGACACAAATCAGATGTCAAGAATTATAACATTCATAAACCAGTTGGCGAACACTTCAATCTCTCTGGTCACACGATTACAGACATGAAAGTTGCGATATTACAACAAAAAAACTTCAAAACCAGACTCCAGCGAGAAACTGCTGAATTGGAATTCATTTGCAAATTGGATACTATTAATTTAGGCTTAAATAGAGACTGGGAGTGGCTAAGTCATTATGCAAGGTAGCCTGTTTCCTCTTGTTTTTTCCTACCCCCCCCCCCCCAGATGTTCTGGTTTAACTTGGATTTAAATTTGGAGAGTGGTCAGTTTAGATGAGCTATTACCAGCAGGAGAGTGAGTTTGTATGTGTATGGGGGGGATGTGAGAAAACCTGGATTTATGCAGGAAATAGCCCGACTTGATGATGTAAAGAGTTGTCACTTTGGATGGGCTAGCACCAGCAGGAGAGTGAATTTGTGTGGGGGGGTGGAGGGTGAGAAAACCTGGATTTGTGCTGGAAATGGCCCACCTGTTGATCACTTTAGATGGGCTATTACCAGCAGGACAGTGGGGTGGGGGGAGGTATTGTTTCATATTCTCTGTGTGTATATAAAGTCTGCTGCAGTTTCCACGGTATGCATCTGATGAAGTGAGCTGTAGCTCACAAAAGCTCATGCTCAAATAAATTGGTTAGTCTCTAAGGTGCCACAAGTACTCCTTTTCTTTTTGCGAATACAGACTAACACGGCTGTTCCTCTGAAACCTGCAAGGAGAAAGGAGCCAGGTGTGTCTGATATAATCTGCCCTGAGAAGGCAATCACGGAGTGCTGTAAAGAAAAGATGCATGAAAGGAACAGGGACTGGGAATGCTTCTCAGTGACGGACACAGAAGAAAAACTCAGTGTATGTGACAGGAGCACCCAGTTCCAAAATAAAAGGAACCAGCCGCGCACACAAGCTGCTGCTCCTTGACTTGCTCACCAGCCCAGATCTGTGACTGCAGGCAGATACACCAGATCTGCCACGCTTTGGCTTCTTGGCTTCCCATGCTGTCTCCGGTAACTCTCCGCCTGTGTAAGCATGTGGGTACATGGAGGTATAAATAAGCTCCTTCCCTTTTCTGTCTGACCTAACAGCTGCATTGTAATAAAACTAATACAAGTGTGACCCTGGGTTGTTTTTTTAGGGGAACAGAAGTAACACTTAATTGAAACTGTGGGGAAAAACCCTACATATCAAAAAGTAGGATGCAGCTGTGCAAGCCCTTTTTAATCAGTAAACCATTATGTTTGTTCACAGATCAGTAAGTCTCTACTGAAGAGATCAGAGTACACTAGGCACTGAGAATTATAAATCAGTTGTCCAGTTTGTGGAAAGAAATAGAAAATGACCAAAGTTGAAAAGTTTGCTCTTTATGTCCCAAGTCTAGAGGAACTTTCTGGGGGTAAGTAATGTAATTTATAGTGTTATGGAAGTTGTTGCAATAAGAAATGACAAATAACTAAATTTTGCATTGTGCTGTTTGCTCCTGTGTCCTAAATAGTGCTGGGTAGAGGCTGGCTTTGACCTGATACAGTTTTTCCCATCTGAATTATTCTAAGACCGCAAACTGTGTCTGTGCATCTATCCCATTTATAACCTTCAGCCCAATGATTGGACACTTGCTTGGGAAATGGGAGACCCCATAATTGAATCCCTACTCTGGAGTAGGGACTTGAACTCGGATCCACCTGTCTGGGGAAGTGTCCTGGCCACTAGGCTACAGACTGTTTTGGAAAGGGTTGCTCATAATCTCTCCTGTTGAAGCTGTTCCACTTTATAAACATAAACTTAATATTCATTGGGCCAAAGAGAGCCAGAACAATTCTTTAACCTCTTGATTAAGGCACTCACTTGGGAGGTAGGAGATGAATGTAGGACTTAGAGGAGGGAAAACCTGAATTCAAGTCTAGGTTCCAGAGTAGGGATTCAAACCTGGATGTTCTACATGAGAGGCAAGCGCCATAACCACTGGGCTAAAGGTTATAAGATTAATGGATAGCCACCACCGTGAACACTTTTGGACATGTACCCAATGGTTCGCAGTTGCTTTTCTTCCAACTGAGACCCAAAATCTACCTGTAGTTTCTTGCTAGTCCCACTTGCATCCCACATTACTTTGCAGCTTCAAAAAATTGCAAGATTGAGATCTTGGCAAGAACCTCCTGGTTGCATGGGAGTGCTACTTTTACCCACTGTGTTCTGATTGGAGCAGTGCCAGGATCACAGCCTCTTGAACCGGTGCTGCCCACAGAGCTGAATGCTTGGCAGGGAGGGGTGAGGAGTTGCAATAGGATTGGGGGTGAGATGGGGTGGAGCACTTGGAGAGCAACCATGATAGGATCAGGAGGCTGAATTTGTCCCTACATCAGCAGCAGGAGAAGTAGAGTGGAAATCAGTTTCCCCTTCCTGGCTGGGCCGTCATACCCAAAGTTTTGTCTTGCTTTTTATTTTCTTTCTCTCTCTCATCAACCTTTGGGGAATGACTCAGTGGAGATCCTTTCAGAGCTTCCTTACTGATCCACTCACCTAGCAGGAGTTAAAACCTCACATAACGCTGCTAAGTAAATTTTGCTGACTCATTATGGCAAATGGCTTTAACTCCACCAGGCTAGAAGAGAGGTGGGTATGTGTGATGCTGCACTCCATATGTTTATGGAAATATGCTTATGAGTGTAAATATAATGTAACTGGAATATGACTTATGAAGAAGGTCTCTTGTAAGGTATCCTTACAAAGCTTATAATCTACTGAGTGTGTTCATCCTATTTGTATGAATGTATCGTTCTTGTGTCTGAAGCTAGAAATATGAAGTGTTACTCTGAACTCTATTTTAACTATGCAAAGTGTGGGCTATTAATGGTGGTTTGGAATCTTGATGGCTCCCATCAACTAGGACAATTGGTTGTAAATGGCTCTGTTTACTTGCAAGCATTCCTGTGAGTCAGGCCAGGAAGAATGAAGGCTTGGGGTCTCACAGGACATGTGATCATGTCACCTGGTACTGGAATCCATCTTAAACCTGGTGCTTTTCCATTTAGAAGGAGGGGTGGGGACCCAGAGAGACAAAAGATTCCGGTCTTGTGCCAAAGCTATATAAGGGGGTGGAACAGAACAAAGGAGGCTGCAGTCATGAGAAATCCCCTAGCTACCACCTGAGCTGGAACAAGGACTGTACCGGGGAAAGGATTAGGCCCAGACTAGAAAGGAGTCTAGTCTGTGAAAGAAGCTTATTGGAACATCTCTGAGAGTGAGATTTACGTGTATTCAGTTTCTTAAATGTAGTAGGCTTAGGCTTGCATGTTTTGTTTTATTTTGCTTTGTAACTTACTTTGTTCTGTCTGTTATTACTTGGAACACTTAAATCCTACTTTTTATATGTAATAAAATTACTTTTTGCTTATTAATTAACCCAGAGTAAAGAATTAATACCTGGGGGAGCAAACAGCTGTGCATATCTCTCTATCAGTGTTACAGAGGGCAGACAATTTATGAGTTTATCCTGTATAAGCTTTATACAGAGTAAAATGGATTCCTTTGGGGTTTGGATCCCATTGGGAGCTGGGTGTCTGGGTGCTGAAGACAGGAGCATTTAAGCTGTTTTCAGTTAAGCCTGCAGGTTTGGGGTGTGTGGTTCAGACCCTGGGTCTGTGTTGGAGCAGACTGGCGTGTCTGGCTCAGCAAGACAGGGTTCTGGAGGCCCAAACTGGCAAAGAAAACAGGCTCAGAGGTAGTCTCGGCACATCAGGTGACAGTCCCAAGGGGGTCTCTGTGACCGAACCCATCACAGTATGAATCTCTGAACAGGGGGACAAGGGGCGGAGACAGGGAAATCCTTCAGAAAGCCCTAGAAACAGCCTGGCCTAAGGAGAAAACATAGGCTGAATTTTATCTTCTGTTGTTGGGTCTATCAATAAAGCCAAATCCAGGAATGGGTTAAGTTTGAACTTGAATAAACCCCCTCTGAGTGACATAAGTTACAATGACATAGCACTGTTCACAGCGGGAGAGCTTTTCCTGCCAACGTAGCTTGTGCTACTTGCAGAGGTGTTTTTTATTATGCTGATGGAAGAACTTTCTTCCCAGGTAGGGAAGGCTGTGCCTCCCCAAACAGCCTGGCCCCTGCCCCCTGACTGTCCCCCTCGGAATTTCTGCCCCATCCAACCCCCCCCCTCGCTTCTTGTCCCCTGACCACCCCCTCCCGAGATCCCCCACCCCTAACTGCACCCCCGGGACCCCACTCCCTATCCAACTCCCCCTGCTCCCTGACTGCATCGACCCCTGTCCGCACCCCCGCCCCCTGACAGGCCCCCCGGGACTCCCACACCTATCCAACCCCCCCACCCCCACCCTCCAGTCCTCATCGTGTAAAAAAAAAAAAAATAGAACCTTCTGTCCTTCAGCAATATGACAGGTTAGCAGAAAAGGATTTATTCCTCTCTGAGGCCCTGATTCAGTGAGGTAATTAACATATGCGTAACTTTGAGCTTGTGACTAGCCTTACTTAAGTTAATGGAATTGCTCATGTGCTTAAAGTGACACATGTGCTTATGTATCTTGCTGAATTGGCACCTTAAAATATGTGTTTTATTTGGTGTATTACTTGCCAAACTCTAGCTAATGTCTCACTAATATATTTTTTTTTTTTTTTTTTTTTTTACTCTATTCTAGTCCTGCAGAATGGGCTTACAGAGAACTTTGCTGATGTCCAGGTCTCTGTAGTAGAATGCCCTGATCTGACTCATGATCCCTTCAATTTCCCTGTTAAAGGTAACATACTGTTCTAACCATAAGCTATGACTGCCAATATTTCGTAGCTGATTCGTCATAATTAGAAACTCTTGAAGATGATGGCAGAGGAAGAATGGTCTTGTGGATAAGCTACAAGGCTGGGAGGTAGGAGAGCCGTGTCTTATTCTTGGCTCTGCCACTGGCTTGATGTGACCTGACTAGAACAAATCACTCAAGTGCTCTGCATCATTGTTCCTCATCTGTAAAATGAGTTTAACAGGTTTAATTCTCTATTGTATGTTAAGGGTTTTGACATCCTCAGATTGAAGGGGCTATGTAGATACTAAGTACTGTCTTGCTATTCAACTTCTTTCTAATAATGAGCTCAGTCTCTGTTTATTTAAACTCCCACCATTGTCCCTACACAAGATAGGTGAAAGCATTTTTATATCTGTACCTTCTGCTGTCTTTGCATGATGACACTATGAACTATGCCTCATTGGAGAACCAGTGTTCCTCAATTGTTGCCTAGCAGATTTGTGTGTGCTTGTAGAACAGTACTACTTTTGAAACAGGCTGGGTAGCTAGCTTTTAGAAGTGAGCCCATACCTTCTTTTCCACTGAATGCATCCGATGAAGTGAGCAGTAGCTCATGGAAAGCTTATGCTCTAATAAATTTGTTCGTCTCTAAGGTGCCACAAGTCCTCCTTTTCTTTTTACGGATACAGACTAACACGGCTGCTACTCTGAAACCTCCCTTATGTATGTTTTTCTTCCAATTCAGGCCTACTTTACATAGATTTGTAGAACCCCAATTTATCTTAGTACTCAGAAAAAAAAAATGGTGATTTAAAACGGAGGTTCTTAACCTGTGGTCCGGGGCCCCCTGGGGGTCTGCGAGCAGTTTCAGGGGGTCCTCCAAAATAAACCAAAGAGCAAGGCCAACATTAGACTCGCAGGGGCCCAGGCAGAAAACAGAAGCCCAAACCCTACCATGCGAGGCTGAAGCCCAAGCAACTTCGCTTCACAGGGACCCCTGTGGCTTGGGGCCCCAAGTAGTTGCCCTGCTTGCTACCCCTAACACCAGCCCTGGCTTTTAATCCACAGGGTATGCAGAAAAACAGTTGCTGTAGCACAGGTGGGCTACGGAGTTTTTAAAGCATGGGTTAGAAAGGGCTCAGAAAGAAAAAGGTTAAGAACCCCTGATTTAAAAGACTTTCTGAACACTTAAAGGAAGCTTTTGAGGAACAAATTCTTTGTCTTATTATGCTTCCAGTACCCAAAGAGAACTTTAGACGGATTCTCTTGACGAGCTAACTTGCCTTATTCTTGTTCCAGGAATCTGTGGGAAGCCTAGAATAGCAGATGTGGGAGGTGTTCCTTACCTTGTGCCTCTTGTACAAAAAGATAAAGTGAGTTAATTTACAGTCCTGGCTTTTTAGTGCATTTGCCAAAGAAAGAAGCATATGTAGTCCTATTTTAAAATACTATCCTGACGAACGAAAGCTGCAGGATTCCATTTGTAAAAATAGGCTTACATTGCGAAAGCATAATGGGCCAAGCATCCTGGCCTGTGCTGAGCATAAGAACATGTCAGAAATCCCACAGCAGAAACTGCATGCAAAAGTTGTCCCTCTTCTGGTACCTGCTAAATAGTATGTGGCTGTTTTTTCAAAAGCTGTCTGACAGAAGCCACAGAGGATGTTGGAGGGAATTACTTAGAGTCCATGGCATGATCTGTATGTTTATGTATTGTATGCTATCTAGCCATGGCCCTCCATGCTGATTATTACTATTGTTTGTAAAAACAGTCTGTGTATGGGGTCGGTATAGGCCAAAGTAGAGTTCACATTAATACTTGCTAATGCATTCTCTTTTGGTAGAGCATGGGACCTGCCAGAATCTGATTTTATGTGACATCACTTAAGGATATTTTCATTTTTTGCTTTAAACAATGTCACTTGCACAGAGAGAGTAATTTGGCCCTTAGACAGGATGGGGCCAAGCTTGTGCAAGAAGACACTGCAGTTCAGCAAATAAGTGGATATGTGCCCAAGTCATTAAGTTTGAACTTGACCAGATGCCAATGCTGTTCGGATTTGGGGACTGTGTTCAAACCAATCTGTACAAATAAATAATAATGGCATTTGGATAAAATCATCAAGAAATTGCTGTGGAATGTAGCTGAGATGAGAATTACAAGGCAAGAAAGTCAAAGGTACATAAATGTATGTCTCTTGTATAGGTTTATGACCTGAACACTGTTGCAAAGCAAATAGAATTGCCTGGAGCGTTCATTCTTGGAGCTGGAGCTGGGTCCTCTAGGATTCTTGGAGTAAATGCTGAGGTCAGTAAATATGTATAAACATGCAGAAGTTCTCAAAAAATTATTTCATTGACCTAGCAAACATTTCTACACTGATAACATATGTAGCACCACAAGTTTGTATGGCACTTTACAAAGATAATAAAGACAAGGTTACTTATTACTTGGATAATAAACCACATTTTTGTGTTTATAAATTCTACAGGGAAGCATATGGTTACTATGGAGTTAAGAGGAAACCGCCTCTAGTTGTTGCTATACTAAAATTTGTAATTAGCTGATCACATTTTTAATTCCAGAGAAGAGGAAAAATATGCAAAAAATGGATGCCTAGGAGCTGAGTGGTAAACTGCTTTAAATACCCAATGCTGGTCTTCATTTTAAATAGCACAAGAGAATCATAGAATATAAGGGTTGGAAGGGACCCCAGAAGGTCATCTAGTCCAACCCCCTGCTCAAAGCAGGACCAATTCCCAGTTAAATCATCCCAGCCAGGGCTTTGTGCCTTAAAAACCTCTAAGGAAGGAGATTCTACCACCTCCCTAGGTAACGCATTCCAGATGTTACTCAAGAAAAAATTGTGTTACTCAAGATGCTTTTGCTTTAAGACTTACGCTGTAAGGTCAGGTAAGGATCAGCAGTTAAAACATGATTTAGTTGATCTGTCCTACATGGTGAAATAGATAAAGAAAGCAGTTTTGATTTGAGGTGAATGGAAAACTCCAGTGTAATGTGAAAAATGTTCTAAATGCTACATCTAATTAAAAGAAGAGTACATGACTAAACATATTCCCAGGTGAGTGAAATACAATCAAAGAAAAAAACTAAATCAATTGAAAGCTGGTATCTTAACAGCCTGATGCACAGTAGGAGTGAGAGAATTTAGCTCTTGGTAGTAAAAATGGTAACTCGGACTTTCAAAGTCGCTACATGTTTTTCTTATTTAAATAAAATAGGAAAATATTTTTATTTTAAAAGTAAGTAGTCAAATGAACCATTTAAATTATTATAGGCCTTGCCTTACAACAACATTAAGGGTGATATTTTCAAGAGCACTCAAAGTTGGTCTAGTTTTGCTTCTATTGAAGTCTATGGAACCTAATAGTATGAATACTTTTGAAAATGCCACCTGAAAACTCTTTCATTTCAATGCTTTCTAACAGAAGCTGAATGCTCAGTCCTGGTCATCATCACTAAACTGGGCCTCTTGCAGTGATATATTAAGTTGGTTGCCTCATTGAGAAACTTTCCCATTTAGTGTTCTGTTATTTATACAAGAACTTGAATCCAAATCCCTAGATAAGAGAAAATGCTTTAATACATGTGTTTCACACTTAATCAATTTTAAATTGAGAGTTTTCTTTAAAATAGTTGTCTTTGCTAATCTATATGGACCTAATCCTGCGAGATGAAACTTCTGTTGTAGTTCTCAGGATTGGGCCCTAACTTGGGATGCTATCTACCTAGTAATAAAATCAACTGACTAGAACTAAGCAATTTTACATTCTCTTCTTTTCAGTTTATCCCAGTTGTTCAAGCTGAGAGTGAACAAAAGCCTGCTGTAAATGCAAGTTACACCGCTCAGATTAATCCTGCAGATGGAGGGTGCCTCCTGGAGAAGTACAGCAAGAAATATAGTGACTGTGAATTTGGACTACTGGCCAACCTGTATGCCAGTCAGGGCCAACCTGGCAAGGTGCATATTTGGATAAAATGTCACTTCTTCAGTAGGTGATAGCTGAAGTTAAACTTCTTTGTTTGAGGCCTGCCTTTTCTTTCAGGGAATACTGATGTTAATATTAATGCCAAAAATCACATAAGAGAAATTATATCCTTCACAAGAAAATGAAGTTGACGTGAGGGAGTGGATTCCCCAGGGTATTGGTACTGGGATATGGAATTTTTCACCCTTAAATCACCCACTGTAATCCAGCCCAGGTTGATAATGACTGAAACTTGATTGGTTTCAGAGGAACAGCCGTGTTAGTCTGTATTCGCAAAAAGAAAAGGAGTACTTGTGGCACCTTAGAGACTAACCAATTTATTTGAGCATGAGCTTTCGTGAGCTACAGCTCACTTCATCAGATGTATACCGTGGAAACTGCAGCAGACTTTATATACACACAGAGAATATGAAACAATACCTCCTCCCACCCCACTGTCCTGCTGGTAATAGCTTATCTAAATTGATCAACAGGTGGGCCATTTCCAGCACAAATCCAGGTTTTCTCACCCTCCACCCCCCCACACAAATTCACTCTCCTGCTGGTGCTAGCCCATCCAAAGTGACAACTCTTTACATAATCAAGTTGGGCTATTTCCTGCATAGATCCAGGTTTTCTCACATCCCCCCACCCCCATACACACACAAACTCACTCTCCTGCTGGTAATAGCTCATCTAAACTGACCACTCTCCAAGTTTAACTTGATTGGCCTTTGTAAACTGAAGTTTGTGGTCTTAGTTCAGTTCTTGGTGGACAAGTGTCTCCCTCAACACAACTGGCACTAGGTGGTCTCAACAGAAAAGCAACGACCGAATCGTGCATGAAAATTTAACAAACCTTTTTATCCCTAGAGAGTCTCTTCTTTCATGACTGGTTTGAGGCCTGTTGGGTGGGAGAGGGAAGCTTACGCCTCTGTTTCATGTGCTGTGCCTGTTGTGTGACTGACTAAAGAACTTCAGAAAAGCAAATTCTTACATGCACAAAACCAAACCTGTTGAATATTTTAAGGATACAAAGGAAGCAGCACCTGTGAGAGAACTTACTTTAACAAAGATTATAGGATACAAGGTTGAGTGTTTCACAGCAGCGTTGAAATACATGGTGTACATAGCAAACATTCACAAAACATTACAGCATGTGATAAGCATGATAAATGTATATCTACTCTCCAGGTTATTGAAGTGAGAGCCAATGGAAGAACTGGACAGCATAACTTTGTGACCTGTATGAGACAAATTATAGAAAAATGCTATGGAGATAAACCAGTCGGGATAGGCGGTACATTTGTCATTCAAAAGGGGAAAGCGAAGATTCATATCATGGTAAGTTGCTCTTGATTCAGGCTCTTTATCTTTCTAAAAGATAAAGATGCAGGACAGTTCAGGATATAAAGACTTAGTGCACTTAATTTTTTTGCAATAATGTGCACTTTCTGAAAAGTGATAAACGGAAAGTACAAAAACACCAAAATTATATATCCCATGACCCTAATACTCCCATCTTTTGTTGGGACAAAGAAGCTGTAGAAACAAATGGAGATGTATAAGGACTTGGTGAAACACACAAACAGTAGAATAGTGTGAAAAATAATTAAATCAATTAAACAATGATCAGAGATATGGTTTAACTTAGAGATTTATAATTTTTTATAAACTATTACAAGTATTAAATATATTTATGCAATAGCTATACAGTTCTTACTGATTGTATTTGCTTGCATGGTTACCAGAATTCGCTTTCCATTTTACAAGCAGAACTTTCTGAAATGTTAAATTTTTACAAGTCTCCACTGATTCTTGTCTCTGTCAAACCTATCAAATGTCAAAGATGAAATTCCTGTCGTCTTATAGTGCTGCTTTCATCTACCTAAAATTCAAAGGGTAACTTTAAAAAAATCTATTACTCTGAAGAATTCTTTTTTTCTCTTCAAGAAGTGGATCTAAACATGATACCAATGGTGCTCCCCTTTGGAGAAAAGCACCATTCCTGAGTCCTCCATGTCTAGAACACTCCTGAAACAGATGTCTTGAATTTGTGTGCCTTAGGCTGTATTCACATTGGGAACAGTATTCACAACGTTTATTATCAAGGTTCTATTATCAAGGCTGTTGATTAATTGCAGTTAACTCACGCGATTAACTAAAAAAAAATTAATCCCAAAATTAATCACAATTAATCTCACTGTTAAACAATAGAATACCAATTGAAATGTATTAAATATTTTTGGATATTTACATTTTCAAATATATTGATTTCTATTGCAACATAAAATACAAAGTGTACAGTACTCATTTATATTATTTTGCACTGTAAAAAAATATTTTTCAATTCACCTCATACAAGTACTGTAGTGCAATCTCTTTATCATGAAAGTGTAACTTACAAATGTAGATTTTTTTTTTGTTTATATAACTGCATTCAAAAACAAAACAATGTAAAACTTCAGAGCCTACAAGTCCACTCAGTTCTACTTCTTGTTCAGCCAATATCTCAGACAAACAAGTTTGGTTACAATTTGCAGGAGATACTGCTGCCTGCTTCTTATTTACAGTGTCACCTGAAAGTGAGAACAGGCGTTCGCCTGTAGCCAGCATTGCAAGGTATTTACATGCCAGATATGCTAAACATTCGTATGCCCCTTCATGCTTCAGCCACCATTCCAGAGGACATGCTTCCATGCTGATGCTGCTCATTAAAAAAAATAGTGCATTAATTAAATTTGTGACTGAACTCCTTGGGGGAGAACTGTATAGCAAGGACTCCTGGAATGGTGGTTGAAGCATGAAGGGACATATGAATCTTTAGTGCATCTGGCACGTAAATATCTTGCGACACTGGCTACAACAGTGCCATGCAAACGCCTGTTCTCACTTTCAGGTGACATTGTAAATAAGAAGCTGGCAGCATTATCTCCTGCAAATTGTAACCAAACTTGTTTGTCTGAGATATTGGCTGAACAAGAAGTAGAACTGAGTGGACTTGTAGGCTTTGAAGTTTTACATTGTTTTGTTTTTGAATGCAGTTATATAAACAAAAAAAAAATCTACATTTGTAAGTTACACTTTCATGATAAAGAGATTGCACTACAGTACTTATATGAGGTGAATTGAAAAATACTATTTTTTACAGTGCAAATATTTGTAATAAAAATTTAAAGTGAGCACTGTACACTTTGTATTCTGTGTTGTAATTGAAATCAATATATTTGCAAATGTAGAAAACATCCAAAAATATTTAAATGGTATTCTATTATTGTGTAACAGCACGATTAATCATGATTCAGTTTTTTAATTGCTTGACAGCCCTAATTCTATTATTATTTCCATGACTAAAGTGGATAGGGATAATAAAATTATGGTCTAGATTGCTATTCCTGGTACAATTGTAATCACAGTTTGGCTAATGTTGTTCTCAGAAAAAAATCTGTCAGCATCAATTGAAGAAAACATGCCAGAATCCTGTGAGTTTCAGCTGTGTTCAAACACAGCTGAAACTGACCTAGTTCTGATCCCAACATGATAGGACAAATGTAACATGTGGATACAGGTTACCTGATTCTAAGAATTCCCCATTTGGTACCCGAGGAATGGCAGTGGAGGCAGCCATTGGGTAAAAGCTTATCATTCTGAATAGAGAAACAATTGTGGATACTGCTTTTGCTAGTTAAGAAGAAATAGGGAGCAGAAAATAATTTAGGGCTAGTGAAGAAAAGTAGCTTAGAGAAAAGTTTTGGTCCTAGTATCTTCATTCAATTGATAATGCTTTTTTATAGCCCCCAGAATTTTCTGCCTGTCCTTTAAACACTGATGAGGAAGTGAATAATTGGCTCAATTTTTTTGAAATGAGGGCTCCATTGATTTGTCAGCCAGTACTAATTTCCAGAGATCCAGTAAGTCACTATTTTGTGTTTGTCTGAGTTACTAACTTGATGTGTAATGATTCTGTCTTGGATTTGTTTATTTTTATTTTTTTTCTGTTCAAGAATGGGAATTATTTATGGATTATATTAAAGTCTTTGAGGTGTTGGAATGGGTGGCTCAGGGGATTGGTAATAGAATATAACTAAGCCTTTCACTTTTCACTGGTTTGAATTAAACCCAGGTCAATAGTGACTGAATGCTGATGCATGTTCAGTAACAAGAGTAAAATGTTTGTTCCCAGTCCAGTTCTTAGTGTGTAGGTGTCTGCATCCCAAAACAACCAGCACAACTTGCATTAATTTGGACATCTGTTTGGCACTCAGAAGAGAGACCAAGGAATGAAAGGGGATGGAGACTGAATTATCCTTACCTTCATGTGGCCCATTCAGAAATGGGTTGGGACACTTTGGCAGTGCTATGTGGGGAAGTTGCTATTCGCACTGCACTGTATTTATAGTGTGAGCAAATCAGAGCCTTACAGCCTTGGATATCAAAGTATAGACTGAGCATATTTCACAAGCACTTAATTCAATAGTAAAAAATATTAAAAGTATGAGAAAATCCATGTTATAAATAAGACTAGTGTCCCTATCATTAGGAATATTGTTACATTTACATTAAAGTATATACATTAACCAAGAGTCTTGGGAGAAAAACTAATTACCATCCATATTTTGTATATCTTTTAAACAAATTTATAACAATTTAAAAAACACTTCTGCCAAGTGGTGGGTACGTTAGTGGGACATGGTGTTGGTTTGCACATACTCAAGTGCCTTACTCCATTGGGTCTCTATTTGGCAGTCTTTGGGCCCAGTGCTCAATTGCATATAGTTTCCCAAAAGCTAGTGATGAGTATTATAGGAATGGACATATATCGACAGCTGTTAATGGAATATTCTTCTGAATAAAAGCATCTGACATGTAGGTGCTGTTTTTATATAATGATTGCTACTTCTTATTTGTATTAAATTAGTGCCCAGAGAAATTAAGAACCAGGGCCCATTGTGCTAAGCATGATTTGTTTGTACAGAGACTGTCTCTGTCCCGGAAAGCTCATAATTTGAGCGTGACAAGATGCAAAAGAAAGGAAAAACAGACAAAAGGATGGAATGTGTATTGCACAATGCCTAGCAAAGTGGGGTCCTGGTGATGAGGGCTCCTGGGTACTATGGTAATACAAATAATAATAAAATGGATACATTTTTGCCTAATAGCTAGTAGTCTCAATGTGCCACCAACTTAGCTGTTAGGCCTAATCGCACTAATATTTTTGCAATATAATAATGCCTTATATCTCTAGAAGGCAAATAGCATTGTGCCAATGGGAACTTCTTCATTTAGGCAGCTGGTGTGCAGAATCCAACACTTATCATATCATTCATTATCATCTTATTGTTACCTGTGCTTCCTCCTGTCAGTACCTACCTGTTATCTCTCAAAATTGGGCCAGACACTATCTTTTGTTGTTGTTGTGTTTGTACAGTGTGTGGCACAATGGGGCCCTAATCTCTGATTGTGGGCCCATAGACCCTACCTCAACACCCATACTAGAGCCTGGCTTAGACCAACTGGATTGCATGAAAGAACGGTTGTGTGTTGTAGTGCAGAGCAGGGGCTCTCAACCTTTTTTTCTTTGAGGACCCCCCCCAACATGCTATGAAAACCTCCATGGCCCACCTGTGCCACAACAACTGTTTTTCTGCGTGTCTAGTAGATTAAAAGCCAGGGCTAACGTTAAGGGGTAGCAAGAAGAGCAATTGTCTGTGGCCACCCTACATCACAGGGGGTCCTGCAAAGCTGAGTTGCTTGGGCTTCACCTTTCTACCCTGAGCCCCACGGAATCTAATGCTGGCCCTGCTCTCTGGTTTATTTTGGCGGACCTCTTGAAACCTGCTTGCAGCCCCCCAGAGAGCCCCAGACCCCTGGTTGAGAACTGCTGGGTAGAGGATTGGGAGTCAGGACTTCTAGATTCTACTTCTAGTTCTATCACTGTCTCAGTGTGACCTCAGGAAGTGACTCTTTGCCTCAGTTTACCAGTCTATAAAATAGCGAGAGTACTAGGTTACTTCACGTTGCAAGTCTTTAAATAATGAAATGTTTGTAAAACACTCTGAGATCCATGGAAGAAAAAATACAACATGAACTGCAAAATACTGTAGCATTACTGAAATACTTTCTTTAAAAGAAAATGTGCTCCCATAACATAAACTTGTCTCTTTTCTAGGGGTTTGATCTGCGAGTGGAGCACACCCATTGTTTCAGTCACCATGGCGAAGGAGGACACTACCACAATGACACTACACCAGATAGTGTGCAGTATCTGGGATATTTTTTGCCTGCAGAACTTCTCTTTCGTATTGATAGACCCAAGGAGTCTCATATGGTTGGGAGAGATTAAATCCATGGATGCACACTTAGTTTGGAGTGTAAGGATAGCCATTAATTTTTAAAAATTAAATATTGGATTTGATCAGTGTTTGAATTGACATCAAGCACACACATGAAAAGTTTGCATTTTATTGCAGTCTTAGCCTTTTTAAAGAATGGGACACGTTCAGAGTTTAGATTGTTTGTTTGTGATTGAAATAGTTATTTGAATTCAAATTAATTTTTATACAAACATCAAAGCCAAGCAGTTTGTATTAATGATTTATTTTGTTCCATATTGATTACTTTAGGCAGGCATTACTAGGCGATTTTCTCTGGCTATAGAGAGCCACCACTGAATTAATGAGCGCTACACATTCTAAATGGAAGAGGAAAAGAGATGCCAATCAAGAACCATGTAACTACACTACAATTCAGAATCTGATATTGACATGGCTGTGTGCCCTTCTAGCTATATGTGCCCTAGTGGGTTATATGTGGGTAATGGGATTGGCCACTTATTTTAATCAGTAATTACAAGAAACTTGTTTGAAATAAGAGGAAGGCACTTGTAGTTCCGCTCATGTAACTTCTAGCTCAGCAGAACTACAGGGTGGTGCAATCATACAACTACAGGGGTCAGTGGCAATTCCCCCATTGATTTCACTGTGAGTGAATGCAAACTTGTCAAAAAGGGACTTTTCTCATTTTTACTGGTGCTTATAAGCTAGCTAACTACTTAACAAGCATAGGACCATTTCTAGGATTTTAAATGTTCATGTTACTATCATGCCATGTGTGCTTGATTATTTTCTCATACCAGTTTAAATGAGGAATAACTTTATTGAAGCGAGTGGAGTTACAGTGGGCTGACTGGAGGATCAGGCCCTGTTTGTTTCTAGTTTTGAATAAGGCTGAAATACAGGAGCACTTTGTCAGCATTCTTTTTTTTTTTTTTTTCCCTTTACACTCTGATGATATTTGTCATTTGTCCTGCCAATAAAGTTTTACTGAATTGAATTTAAACTGTCTTACTTGCTGTCAAGTGGGATATTTCTAGGCTGTGAATAAACCCTGATTAGGAGTTAACATTTTAAGTCTGAGCCTTGTTATATTTCTCTTTGTGTTTTGTAGCAAAAACACACTAAAACTGTAGATGTGAAGTGTATTTAATATTTTTTTAATATTCTGCCTGCTATGCACTGAAAGTAAGACACATGTATAAATCACTAACATACATATAATTTAAAGCTACATAGTCACCAGCCTGCCACATATATGAACAGCAATGCATATACATAGTACAGTACACCCATGGTGTGTTAATTGAAATAAAGAAAATACAGAACATGTGTTCTGGGCCTTAGGATAGCACAAGTACTTGAAAAGAGAGCTGCTGAAGCTGTCAAGCACCAGTTGTGGACAATTTTCTAGCAAACCTGCAGTAATGTCTGGTGCAAACTGCTTTGTGTAGCATTAACTCCTCTGTATCTTGTAACCCCCTTACTCCTCGGAAGGAGTGATAACTAAGTATGCCCACTGACTTGGCTATGCTGCTGCCAGCATGAGTGTTTATAAAGTCTCAGGGCTTTTACTCAAAAGTGTTCTGGACTATCTGTGCCTGTGGCAGGAGCAGCCTACAGATCCTTGCTGATCTGAAAATGCCAAGCCACACCACCACTCTCAGCCCGACTCCTGCTGGCTTCCCCTATCCCAGCAGTGCAGGTGGCAGCAACTCAGAGCTTGGCTACACTTGCAAGATACAGCGTATTAAAGGAGCCCCAGGCGCACTAGCTCACTACCTGTCCACGCTGGCAAGGCACGTAGAGCGCTCTGACTCCGTGCCTAGAGCGCTCCTGGTACTCCACCTCGGTGAGTGGAATAAAGTTTTGTGCGCCCCTACTGGAGCACCGCAGCAGCAGTGTGGACACCCTGGTCTGTTAGTACACTCTGATTGGCCTCCAGAAATGTCCCACAATGCCTGTTCTAGCCACTCTGGTCATCAGACCCGCCCTTTAAATTCTCTGGGAATTTTGAAAATCCCCTTCCTATTTGCTCACTCCAAACTGTTTCCTGTGCTGAGGCGGAGGAAGACACCCCCCCCCCCCCCAGAATCCCTAGATGCATGCAGCCAGGAGCTGTTCTCAAGCCAGGAGGAAGGTAGCCAGTCATGGCAGACGGTGCTTGGGAAAGGACAAACACTACAGGAGGTTCCCGATAAGCAGCTTTTATTTTGGGAAGGAAGTTATTCAGTGCAGGCTCTTGGGGTGAGGAGGGTTAGAGCTGCATGCATGTCAAGATGCAAAATAAGGCATTGATGTGCTCTCTCACATCGCATTAATCGGCTTCAATGATCTCTTCAAAGGTCGCATCCAGAACTTGGGCAATGCACTTGCACAGGTTTCTCAGGAGAGCCACTGTGGTCTTTGTCTCAGTATGGCTAACTTGTCTGCGCCACTGTGCTATGAGGGGCAGGGGGGACCATTGCTGCATATGGGCCAGGGCAGAATCTGCATTGCAGTAGAAGACCCTCCCTTGCTTCCCAGGTCACCTCCGCAGTGAGGTATCTTCCAGGACGAACTCCTGTGGAAAATGTGGGGACAGTGTTCAGAATAGGGGCCCCCTGCTGCTGCTGGCTCTCCCCAAGACACAGAAACCCAGAGGACAGTACAGCTGTGAAACAATCAGTCACGCTTGACCCTATGCTTACTCACCATTTTGTGGCTCCCGTGGGTTATGTGCGCTCGCTTTGGGACTGGCAAATTATGGTATTATGTAGACTGTGCTTGCCCTTAAGTACAGGGGAATCATTGCTCTGTCTGGTGTGAACAATGCTGCCTCTGTTAAGTGTTGCATTTTGCCTTTACAGTTACAACCTTGAGATCTCAGCTGTCCCTGTTATCACCAGCGGAAAGACTCCAAAGAATCGGAAAGAGGCCACGTAGAAGCAAGGAAGACATGTTGCATGAAGCATTCAAGTAATGAAAACCAAAAAGTGCAGTTTCAGGGACACTGAAAGGAGATTCCGCCAGCAGAATGAGGAGCGCCGACACAAAAGCGCGGTGCTCCAGCAGCAAAGCACGGATCGGCTGATAAGCATAATGGAGCACCAAGCGGTCTTTATCCTGGCGCTCGTAGCCAGGCAGGCAGAGCACTATCTCACCCGTCCCCCCCGCAGCCCTTGTCCCAAAACTTTCCCTTGTGCCCCCATGTAACCTCCAACCCACTTTCCCCAACATCCGGGTTCTTACTGCTACCAGCTGCCTTCACCACCCAGCCCTGAAAACTATGACTCTTACCCACTCCACTCAACCCCCATTACCATGCAGTATAGCCATCCTGAAGTGCAGCACTCATTGCACAGCACTCCACACAGGAAGGCTGAGTATAACAGGACATACGTAAATCTGTGATTGTACCGTTCCCCATCCCAGCCCCTTGCCCTTTCTGTTTCCCAAGCACTTGTGTTTCTTTTCAATAAATGGATTTTTTGGCTTTGAAAACATTCTTTATTATTGCATAAAGTAAAAGATACCTTAGCCCAGGAACAAAACAGGCACTTCAAGTCAGTGTAGCAAACACAGATTCCTACTAACATTGGAACCACTGCACTTCACTCCTGTGCAGGGCACCAGACATTACTGGTGGCTTTCTGCCTCAAATTGCTCCCTCAAGGCATCCCTAATCCTTGCAGCCCCGCGCTGGGCCCCTCTAATAGTCCTGCTCTCTGGCTGTTCAAATTCAGCCTCCAGGTGTTGAACCTCTGAGTTTCAAGCCTGAGTGAATCGTTCACTCTTCCCTTCACAAATGTTACGGAGGGTACAGCACGCAGACATAACCGTGAGGATGCTGTCATTGGCCAGGTCCAGCTTCCCATATAGAGAGCGCCAGCGGCCCTTTAAACGGCCAAAAGTACACTCCATGGTCATTTTGCACTGGCTCAGGCTGTTGTTGAACCGCTCCTTGCTGCTGTCAAGGCTCCCTGTATAGGGTTTTGTGAGCCACTGCATTAAAGGGTAAGTGGGGTCTCCAAGGATCACAATGGGCATTTTGACTTCCCCTAAGGCGATCTTCTGGTCTGGGAAAAAAGTCCCAGCTTGCAGCTTCCTGAACAGGCCAGTGTTCCGAAAGATGCATGCATCATGCACCTTTCCAGGCCAGCCTGTGCTAATGTCAATGAAACTCCCACAGTGATCCACAAGCACCTGGAGAACCATAGAGAAATACCCCTTCCGATTAATGTACTCGGAGGCTAGGTGGACTGGTGCCAGAATTGGAATATGTGTGCCATCTATCACCCCTCTGCAGTTAGGGAAACCCATTTGTGCAAAACCATCCACGATGTCAAGCACGTTACCCAGAGTCACGGGCTCTTCTGAGCAGGATGTGATAATGGCCCTGCAACCTTGCATCAACACTATTCCAAGGGTCGACTTTCCCACTCCAAACTGGTTAGCGACCAATTGGTAGCTGTCTGGAGTTGCCAGATTGCAACGGCTACCCGCTTCTTCACCATCAGGGCAGCTCTCAATCTCGTCTCCTTGTGCCACAGGGTTAGGGCGAGCTCCTCACACAGTCCCATGAAAATGGCTTTTCTCATCTGAAAGTTCTGCCGTCACTACTTGTCATCCCAGACTTGCATGAGGATGTGATCCCACCACTCAGTGCTTGTTTCCTGAGCCTAAAAGCAGCATTCCACGGTGGTGAGCATGTCCGTGAATGCCACAAGCAAACTTGTGTCATATGCGTTATTCGAGTCAATATGATTGTCGGAGCACTCACTGTCACTTTGGATCATAACAAATAACTCGACTACCAAACGTGACGTGCTGGCGAGACTCGTCAGCATACTCCTCAGCAGTTCGGGCACCATTCCCGCAGACCGAAAGGGAAGACAGAGCACGCAGTACAAAACACGTTGAAAGATAGTGCTAAATGTGGGTGGAAGCGCTGGGATGCGAGCCGATGCATGACGGGGCATTGGGACAGGATCCAGAATGCCCCGCACCCCCCCACTCCCTTCCCACAAGCCACAGCGCCAGAATGGGACGAGGTGCTCTGGGGGACAGCGGCCCACAATGCACCACTCCCAGGGCCGCAAACGTGGCCACGCCCGTGCGCTGGCAGCTGTCAGTGTGGACAGACTGCAGGGCTTTCCCCGCTGCGCTCGCCGAAGGCGGGTTTCACTCACAGCGCCCTACATCTGCAAGGGTAGCCGTGCCCCCCCTGAGTGTGCTGAAACTTAGACCTCTCCCTTTCCTTCCACAAAAAAGGGTGTGTGTGTGGGGGGGGGGGGGTGAGGCACCCACCTTGGCCAGCATCCCCCCTCCCCGCCGCTAGCTGTGCTCGGTGGAAGGAGCTGCGGGCGGGGCTGCCCAGCGGCGCTCCAGCGGCCTGAGGCACTGCACCGCCCTCCCCACGCCGCGCCTGACAACCTGGCTGCGGAGCGCCGCCCAGGCCGCCGGGTCTGGCCCCGCCCCACGCCCGGACCAGGCAGCGCCTCCCTCTGGTCTCCACTTCCCCGCCCGGACCCGCCAGTCCGAACTCTCCCGAGGTCCCTCCGGAAAGAGCCGAAGTCCGCGGCGGCCGCTGGGTGGCGGCCGCGCCCCTATGCGGTATGTCCCCGGCCGCTGCCCGTAGCGGTGGTGCGCATGCTCGGCGGGGCCTGTCCGCCGGGGCTCGGGGGGCTGCGCGCTCCGCTCTCCCGTGGCCAGCGGCGCCCCAGCCGCCGGGAAGATGTCGGGGGCGCCGGCGGTGCGGATCAGCATCGAGTCGGCGAGCGAGAAGCAGGTGCAGGAGGTGGGGCTGGACGGCAGCGAGACCTACCTGCAGCCGCTCTCCATGTCCCAGAACCTGGCGCGCCTGGCGCAGCGCATCGACTTCAGCCAGGGCTCCGGCTCCGAGGAGGACGAGCCGCCGCCTGGCGCGCAGGCCCGCGACTGGGCCGCGCCCGGGGACGCCGAGGACGAGGAGGGTGAGAGAGAGAACGGGGCGGGGGGCAGCAAGGAGACCCCCGCCCCGCCGCAGGGCTCCCCACCCGCTGCCCCGCGCTGGGACCCGGCCTCCGGGAGGCAGCGCCTGTGCCCCTCCTGGATCCCCACGCCGCGCCCACCCGCCCCGCTGCGCTCTGTGACTTGGGGCCGGCCAGCCCCTAATGGGCCTGCCGTGTTGGCCCTGACCCGAGAGCTGCGCAGCGCGGGTGGCCCCGCTGAAGTCGCTGGGATCCTTGCAGGCCCACCTGTGCGGCAGGGCGGGTAGGATCCATGCCACGAAGTGGTTCAGCTGCCATGAAAATGCCACTCCGGGACTAAACTCGCCTTCGGCAGAGTCCGGAGCTGTCATGGTCCATGCCCTGCCTGAGCCTGTGTATGCTGACCGCTAGTGTTTGCAGCCAAGCGGTACTAGGGTGGTGGGTTCTACATTGAATGTCGTATGAGATACCTTCCTCCCTCAGTAGCTGAGCCAACTATGGTGGTCACTCTTTCCTGGGAGAGACATACTGGTCAAAACGTGAGTTTCGGTGTCCTGTCATTGCAGTCGCCTATATTAGCCCATTGCTAATGTAACCTGGTCTGTGCATTTGAGGCCTGAAGCAGTTCAGATCCTGAACAAGCTCCCACTTACATGACTTGACCAGTGCACCAGAGACTCCAAAGTAAAAAGCATGTGCTGCTTCATTTTGAGCTGAAGAGCTATGGCTCTTTAGCTGGGGCAATAAGACTCTTATTCTCTCTGGATTAGGCTCAGAGGAGGACGTTTAACATACACCTACATAAATAAAAGGTATATTTTAAAATGCAGAATTTTCAGATTATTTGCAGACTGTTTATGCCCTGTTTCAGTTTAAGGACCAGTGTGGTATAGACACCGTATTTGCTCTTGGAATATAAACCTTTGTTTTGTTTTTGTGCTTTAGGGTTGGTAAAGTTTCAACCATCTCTTTGGCCTTGGGATTCAGTGAGAAACAATTTAAGAGGTGCCTTGACTGAGATGTGTGTGCTCTACGATGTTCTCAGCATTGTCAAAGATAAAAAATTCATGACTCTGGATCCAGTTGTGCAGGATCCGCTTCCCCCAAAGCAGGTACAAACCATCTTATTGTTTAATACATCCTGATAGCTTAATACTGAAGATCCCATACAACTGGGACTTCTTATATAACCACAAAACAGGTATAGCCTAGGGCAAGCCTCCCCATGCTGTCCTACCACAGTGCCTCATCTTCCAACGGGAGGGACCACTTCTCGGGGGAGGAGGGTAGCTCAGTCTCAGTGATGTATCTGCTGGGACTGCCAACAAGTGTGCCAGTTATAGTAGTGTGATACCTGCATATGAAGCTAAGGGTTTGTCTACACTTACATTTTATAGCATTCTAACTTGCTGGCTCAGGGGGGTGAAAAATCACCCTCCTGAGCGCAGCAAGTTAGTATGCTTTAAAGCATCAGTGTGGACAGGCTCTCTCCCAGCGCTCCTGGTAATCCGCCTCCATGAGGGGAATAGCTCCGAGCGCTGGGAGCACTGCTCCCAGCACTTGGAGCCTGTCCACACTGATGCTTTAAAGCATACTCTCTCCCAGCGCTCGCGCGTGACCACACTCACACTTCAAAGTGCTCCTGTGGCAGCACTTTGAAGTTTCTAGTGTAGACGTAGCCTAATTTCAAAAGAAGTTACTAAATAGCACAGCAGATAATAATTTTTAGGCACTACTAGTTTCCAGTCATTAGAACTATGAAGATTTGTTTACAACTTAAAAATATTTACAACAGCTCAAAATTGGAATTTATTTTCATATTTCCAGAATCCTCAGACTTTACAGTTAATTTCAAAGAAGAAGTCACTAGCTGGAGCAGCCCAAATCCTGTTGAAAGGAGCAGAAAGGTTATCCAAATCAGTTGCAGAAAACCAGGAAAATAAGAGACAACGAGATTTCAACTCCGAGCTCTTGAGATTGAGGCAGCACTGGAAGCTGAGGAAAGTGGGAGACAAAATCCTCGGGGACCTGAGCTACAGAAGTGCAGGTATGGCAGGTCACCAGTTATCAAGAATGAATCTTAAATCTTTTATTTCACTAAACCATTTTTGATGATTAATTGTAAACACCAAAGTTGGAAAGGAATGATTGAAGTGGTAAAATACTATAAGTACTGTGAAGGAACTAAGAAAAAGGAGAACTTACATTTAATACCAGGAGAAACATCCTGATATTGAGATCTCAAAGATAGTGATAAAGCTGCATCACTTTTGGTACATTAAAAGTAGACTGTTTGGAGAAATGAAAAGGTACTTTTAAGGATCAATCCTGCATTGGGGTGGGTTAGATGAATAGTAATTTTTCTTCATCTCTGATTTCTGTTATCTAGATTTGTTTTGTAAAAATTGTTCAAAAGATATTTGGTCACTTTTATTCTTTTCTGAATTGACATACAACCCCCATATTCCAAAGTACAGACTTTACAATACTAAAATGTAGTTTATGAAGTATTAAATGAGAGATGATAAATGTTATTGATTAGAACATACTAGAACTCTTTCCCAGGTTATAGTACGTAGTACGATACACAAAAGGTGGTTGGTTGTGTTGTTGTTCATACAAGGTTAATAATGTCCTAATGTCTTGATTCAGCAAGTAGTTAAGCAAGTGATGAACTACACACACACAAACGTAGTCCCTTTTGAAATCAGTAAGTATACATGTGCTTAGAGGTAAGCCCTTGTGTAAGTGTTCGCGGCCTAAAGGAGAATGTGGCATCACCATGACAAAATGAAAGAACCACTTTATTGTACCATCTAAAAATCTGTGTATTAATCTGTGTTAAAAAAATAAATCCAAAGAGTTTTAAGCATTATGTGGAAACATAATATGATCATTTTGAGCTGGGAGTAAAATATTCAGGTGCAGTGTCCATTACTGGTAAAATCACAGGTACTATTACATTTAAGCCAACAACTCTCCTCGCATTCTCTCTTACCTCCCCCACTCCCAATGCCCAGAAAAAAGGAAAGGAAACCATATAGCCCAGATCATATTGTTCCACTGTATTTCTCAGCGATAACGCGTAGAGCCTCTTCAATTGACAATTATGGGGTGGAGATAAGACATTTTACTGAATTGAAACACCCCCCCCCAAACAATGTTAGTCAAATGTAAGCAATATCTCTCATATGATGCAAAGATGAGAAGATTTCTAATCCATAAAAACATTGTCTTGTGAAAGCTTTTAGATGTTTTCATGATATTTTCTGTTTCCCTTTTTAGGATCCCTCTTCCCTCATCATGGGACATTTGAAGTGATAAAGAACACAGATATTGATCTGGATAAGAAGATACCAGAGGATTACTGTCCTTTGGATGTTCAGATTCCAAGTGATTTAGAGGGATCAGCCTATATAAAGGTTTGCCTGAAGCATTTGTTGGATAGCTTCTGTACTATCCATGTAGTTGTAATACAGAACACAAGACAAGTAACATTCTTTTTCATTTTCTTGTATAGGTTTCTATTCAAAAGCAAGCTCCAGACATAGGTGACCTTGGCACAGTTAACCTATTTAAAAGACCTCTGCCAAAATCAAAACCAGGTACATTCTTTAAGATCCGGTCTTAGGGATTGAGTTTGCATTTGACACTAAATTGGTGAATCTCATATTATGGAGAAATACTCGAGTAGTACCTGAAAATAAGAACAAAAGGGGAAATAATTTTCTCATTCTTGGTTTAGCTGAAATTCTTCACCTAAATGCAAAATGAGACTTTGCAAACGTGACCCTTTCAAAATGTACATATGGATATGATGCTATTGAAGGTGTTAAAATTCCTTCAATGACTCTAATGCACATGCTTGGCTTCTGAAATGAAGATGTTAAAACCATATTTGTTTAGAAGGAGAGTCAACCATCTAACTTGAGATTAATTGAAAATCACTTACATAATATGGGTTCTGTTTAAACCCTTTTCTCAAATTATTTTACTTATATATTTTAAGTATTCCAAATATACAACAGGATGAACTAAGGTATAATATTCGTGGTTTTGATGGGGAGGAGCAACAGGGAGAAAGAAGCACATCACGTGCCTTCTGTAGTTCATGGAGCTGAGTAGCTAAATTTTGCCTGAAAAGGTTATTAATGGTAACTCAGTTTATTTAATATTCTGTTTCAAGCCAAAATTTAGATTGAGACGTTTGATGTCAGCTCAGACCATTTACAGAATTGTTTAAGAAATTAAGAGCAAGTTTGTGAGATTTACTTATATGAACAGGACAGCCCGTATTTTACAAATTAATTGGGGATTAAGGAGCTCATAAAATTGATCTCAGAATTACAGTAGGTGCGGTGCACTGCTTTCGTCTTGTCCTTTAACCCATTGCAAAGCAATTTCCAGTGCACTCTAAAGGCTTGGAATGTGAGGGCATATTGACTTGTTCTTCATCGACATCACTTTTGTTACGTGATTTCACATGCACTCACACTCACCATCCCCCCACCCCCCCAGTTGCAAAGAATGATCTTTATAATTGTTCATTCGTAAGATCGGTGTTCATAAAATTGAGATTCTACTGTAAATTTAGTGTTTAGAAGATACCTGTAAATTGTGAACACACAGTCTATCCCGTCAATCTCTTGTATTGCTATTAAGTAAACGCAGGAAAAAACGCAGTACAATTAAAGAAAACTACATGAAATAGTCTTCATAGAGTTAAGTTGGAGTTACTAGCTTATGTAATAAGTATTATATTGCAAGTTATTAAATTCTTTGCTAAATGGAAATTTATATTAGATACGACTGGTACAATGTTCAGCAGTAGCCGCCCACTTATTTAGTGGTGTTGGATGAGAGGAGCATATTATGCCAGTTCTTTAAGGTCTGCATTAGTTGCCTGTGCAATTAAAGGTGTTTATAGAGTAATATTAAGTCCTGAATGGTCTGGGACCTGGCTACTTACGCTAGTGCATGGAGAGAGGCAGTCTCTTGACAGCTGTGGTCAGCTTGGATACTCTTGCATATTTCTGAGATTTAAATGTTTCAGGGCAGGGCATTTTAAGTGGGGAGTGCTCAGTGCTGGAAATAACTTTCCCATTTGCCTGACAGACCAGTGGTTTTATGTGAATTGATGGTATGCTCTCATTTGGAATACCATAGTCAGTTCTGGCCACTCCATCTCAAAAAAGATTTAATATGATTGGAAGAGATTTAAAGGTGAGCAATAAAAAGTACTAGATGCAGGAAGAGCGTGAAAACATTGGGAGTTAAGTCTAGCGAGGAGACAATTATAAGGGGAAATGATAGCAGTATAGAGCAGGTGAATTGGATGCTCCTATTTACCTTTTCTCATAATACAAGCCCAGGAGGACATCCAGTCTGAATGAAAGGTGATACTTTAAAAACTCATAAGAGGAAATGTTTTTTCATAACACTTACGGAATCTGTGGAATTTCTTTTCCATAAGATATCAGTGAAACTAAAAGCTTAGCAGAATTTTTAAAAAACTAGATGTTCTTATGAATAATGACCTCTACAATTTCAAACTAAGACATGAGATTTCATGCTTCAGAAGCCAGTCACTAAGTTTTGGGCTTAGAAAGAAACTTGGTGCTGGCTGCTCATAGACAGAACGCTGTACTAGATAGACCACTGGTCTGATCTCATATGGTAATCTTTATGTTCAGGGCATGAGGCCCATCTGTTTATTCAGGCCAATATTTTAAAAAATGGGAGCCTAAATTTTGGCTTCTAAATCCATACTGAAGCACCTCCCTGATTTTAAAAAATGTTGTGTGTTTATGTGCATGGGTTAAGTTTGCAAGTCTAAATGTACTGTTTTGAAAGTGTGCCTCAAAGAAATTGCAAACCAAGTAAGCAGACTGTCGTCTTAACTGTTTGTACAGTGCCCAGCACAGTGTAGCAGGGCTGTCTAGGTGCTAGTGCAATACAAATAGTTAATAAAATGCCCATGTAAGCTTGGTTAAAATTCACTAATGTTTTGTTTTGTATTATAACAATGTTCACTAATATTTTGTTGTTGTATTATAACAAGGTTCAGCTCAGGTGGGAACAGTAGGCTAGATTTTCCAGTCACACTGATCACCTGGTGCCTTAGTCATTCTCTAACAGCTAAGATGTGAATTAGTAAAATGGGTTGCTTTTTGTTGTTTCTTTGAAAACTTGGATGGCTCGTGTATTTCAGGTGCTCCACATTGGCAGACAAAACTGGAGGCTGCACAAAATGTTCTCTTATGTAAAGAAATATTTGCTCAGTTGTCTCGAGAAGCTGTTCAAATTAAATCACAAATTCCTCACATTGTTGTGAAGAACCAGATCATCTCCCAGCCTTTTCCAGGTAAGAAGCCTTGCGAGACTCTTGTCGTGGAACATGGAATTCACAGAATTGTCTATTTTAATCCAGACTTAAACTTTGATTTGTATGACGTTTAAGCAAGGTCAGTTGACCTCCTTGCTTCTCTCATTATACCAAATGAAGAATTGGATTAAAAGTAAGACTTCCCTGGAAACCACATTATGCATCTGATCTTTTCTGACTAAAGTGTTTTGTTTTGTTTTTTAAATGACTCTCATGGTGCACTTGTATTATTTCAGTAGTAATGGTACCAACAACAAAAGTTGTGGTAGTCCAGTACACCACCTTGTGGGGACTGGAATTTGAGGCTTTTTATCAGTCCTTCTCTCCAGAGGTAGGTTTATGGGAGACTACAAAACTTCTAATTGACTTGTGTTAATGGTACCTGAATAGAGAGAAGACTAATACCCTTCAATCAGGCTGGCCCAAGAATATGGGGACTCTGAAAGCATCCTCTGTGCTCAGAGTTGCCTTGAGAATCTACACCATGTTCTCCCTCCCCTCCGCTGAGAGTGATCCTGACTCCATCTTTTGAAGATTTTTTTGGATTGCTTCAAAAAATATAATGGTTGGTAAACTGGGTGATATGAGAATTATTTCTTCCCCAGTATGCTGCAGGGTCTCGACCTTAGGAGACTTTCCTTTTCTTCACTTGATAAGGAATTATAAATGAAAAACACCTCTTAAGTCACAAGTTGATCCCTGGGCACTTTATTAATTACAAATTGGCAAAATGATCATGTTTTCTTTTCTGGTTTGCACGGTGTGACATGATAGTTTGTTTGAATTTCTCTGAAACAACATTGGTTGCAAAGCTAATGATTCTGAAAGGGGATAAGGGGAAGAGAAGAATAAATTATCCTGTCTTGTTTCTACTTATCAGCATGGAAAAGTTGACAGTGTTTTTGCTTTTCATTTTCTTTATACAGGTTTGCAATTGTCTATTTCTTTGTGTCACTCTTCTAATGATAAGAAATCCCAAAAAGCTGCTTCTGAAAAACAAAGTCCAGAGGATCACCTCTATGTTCTGGAACACAATTTGCATCAGCTGATCAGAGAGGTAATGCATTTTTAGTTGAACACTGAAGTTCTCTTATTTCCCATTCAGAGTCTCTGAGCACATCATATAACTATAATAATGCCAGAGGCCAGTCATTTTCTATCCAGCTGTATAAGGCAGCCCCTGTTGCATATATGAGAAATGCCACCATTGTGTAGATATGCAAAGCTGATACCAGGAGTTTCACTTGTACCTTCATGGGATATTGTTTCCTGGATGTAGCCTCTAAGTTGGATGCTCATTTCAGGAGAAGGTCCATGCAGGCCATGCTTAAAGTAGAAAGAACAGTTACTTACCATAATTACGGTTCTTTTGAGATCATTCTCTTTTTCACTATTCTGAACTCTTACTATAAATTCTTGATTCATTAGAAGGAGCTGCATTGTGCTTGAGGCTTTGCCCCCTAATATATCTTTTTTGGGAGCAAGGAAAGCACAAGGACATGCATAGCCTTAAAAAACAGTAGAAAGTTCTACTCTAGAAAGTTCTGAGATCATATGACCAGGATATGTACATCTTCTTCAGCATGGTTCCAGTGAATACTGAAGCAAAATAGGCATTACACACCTCAGCCTTCTTGATGTCCTCAGTTATTTGCTCTTTTCCCCTCTGAGTAGAAGGCCTACACTTTCCTTTGTCTTTCTCTTGCTCCTACTGTATTTAAAGAACCTCTTTTGCCTTTTATGTCCCTTGTTAGGTGTAACTCATTTTGTATGTTAGCCTGATTTTGTCCCTACCTGTTTGTGCTATTCTTCTGTATTCCTCCTTAGCAATTTGTCCATATTTTCTCTTTGTTTTAGGATTCCTTTTTGGTTTTCTGGTCATTAAAGCTCTTGATGGAGCCCTATTGGCCTCTTACTATTTTTGGTATCTTTCCTTAACATCGGAATAGTTTTCAGTTGTGCCTTTAATGTTGTCTCTTTGAGAAACTGCCAGCTCTTCTGAACTCCTTTTATCCCTTAGATTTTCTTTCCATTTTCATTCCTACCAGCTTTCTGAGTTTGTTCAAGTCTGTTTTTTCTCAAAGTCCATTTTCCTTATTCCGCTGCTCTTACTCTTTGCTTTCCTTAGATTCATGAAATCTATCCTCTCATAATCACTTTTACCCAAATTGACTTCTGCCTTCAGATTTGCAACCAACTCCTCCATGTTGGTCAGAATCAAATCTAACATGGCTGTCCTCCAGTTAGTTTCCTAACTTTCTGAAACAAAAAGTTGTCCCCAATACATTCCAAGAACTTATGGGAAATTTTGTGTTGTCATACTATTGCAACAGACATTTGGGCAGTTAATCCCTCCCGCCACCCCCCCCCCCCCCCCATTACTACCAGGTCTTGTGTTTTAGATATTTCTGTTTTGTTCTAGAAATGCGTCATCGACCTCCTCTTCCTGATTTTGTTAGTCTAGCAGACTTCTATCATGATTAAGGCTATGTTTTAGTCATGGGTATTTTTAGTAAAAGTCATGGTCAGGTCACTGGCAGTAAACAAAAATTCACAGCCATGACCTGTCCATGACTTGTACTATATACCCCTAACTAAAACTTGGGCTGCGGGTGCTGGTGGGGGAGGTTGGCCTGGGACCCCCGCAGGTGCTGGAGGGAGGGAGGGTGGGTTTGCATGGCTAGCAGGCTCCCTACCTGGCTCCGCACAGCTCCCCAGAAGCAACCAGCATGTCCTTGCAGCTCCTAGGGGGAGGGAAGGCCAGGGGGCTCCACGCACTGCCCCCGCCACTGGCACCAGCTCCGCAGCTCCCATTCACTGGGAACCGCAGCTAAGGGGAGCTGTGGGGGTGGTGCCCACGGATGGGGGCAGCGCACAGAGCCCCCTGGTCCTTCCACCTACGAGCTGCAGGGACATGCAAGCCACTTCCAGGGAACCCCCCGAGATAAGTGCCGTCCTGCACCCCAGCGCTTGGTCCCCACCAAAACTACTGCTGCTGGCGGGGTGGCACACGGGGCATGGTGGCACAAGACTGCTCAAGCAGCGGCTGGTGCGGATGGCCACTTTGACCTTGTCCAGTGTAAATGGTAGAACTGAAATCTTCACAGTTGCAAGAGGCTCCATACATACAGCTCTGATTCCATCTCCAATTGACGTTCGTCTTATTTCCAAGTCAGGAAGTTTCTATATCAGTCATATTAAAAAAAGATTGTATAAAAACTTTACCTTTTGTGGGTTCCCCCCCTTAATCATGATGTCACTCCTATTTTTCTCCCCTTTTATCTTTACCCAGAGACTTTCAACTGGTCTGCCACTCATTTCCCTCCAGACCTCAGAACTAGTGTATATATTCTTGATGCATAATGCAGCATCTCCTCCCTTTTAGTTTTCCCTTCTCAGTGTGCAAAAGATCCAAATAAACAGGGAAGCAGACTATACAGGGAAATATGAAAGGACTGTTCGTAAAGTGCAGTCAAATGCACAAAGTAAAACTAGAAAAATGAATACTTTTCTTAATTTTTATTACTGTGATTATAGGTATTAAAATAGCATGCAGTTTTTTTTCCCCCAAGAAGTGTGACTTTTTAAAGTTATCCTTATAAAACATGAGGCAGTGTATTATAATTGGTTAGCGGCATGTATTAGAAGAGCACATACTTGAGATTTGTTATCTTCTCCTTCTGTCTTCCCTCCTAACTGCTTTTGTTTGTTGCAGTTCCACAAGCAAACTTTGAGCTCTACAATGATGCCACATCCAGCTAGTGCACCATTTGGCCACAAGAGAATGAGAATGGCAGGACCTCAGGCTTTTGATAAAAATGACATCAGTTCCTTACAACCAAATGAAGGGCTTCTGGAAAAGATCATTAAACAGGCAAAACACATCTTTCTGAGGCACAGGTATGCGCACAAGCTATTCTTGGTAAAGTCATAGTAAAACTAATCCTTCTGTGTTCCACACAGGCTGTGAATTAATTTTTGAAAATGTTCCCAAAACTTATTACTGTTGTTATTCCTGAATGCTTTTCTAAAAGTTTTGTTGGTGCCTAATATTAAAGATTAAAAATCCTGTCTCCAAGTACATGAGTGTAGTGACTCCCATGGAATGCAAACACAGAAAGTTCAATACTACTTGTAAGGTACCCATCTACAGGATACTTATATCATGATAGTTGTCTCTGCTTTAACAAAAGCACTACCTCAGTCCTTTTCAGTACTTTCCTCCGTACACTGTGTAAAAACACATAGCTGATCTCTATGCTGAGTAACATATGTTTATATTTTACATGCACCCCCAAAGATAGTCTTAAAGTGTAAGCAGATAACGCTTCTTTTGCAATTCAGGCACCAAAACTGTTTTGGTCTCCTTGTGTGTGCCCAAACTGCTTACCCTATAATGCAATTAAATGTAGCTTTAGGTGTCATAAAACTTAGTTTTGTGAAATAAGTTTATTTTACAGTGTAATTTACAGTACCGGCTAGATCAAACTGATGTCTACTCACTACCCTGACTTTATTTGGAGAAAAGATGGTGGCATACACTATCTAGATATCTAGACCATGATTTTATTATCCCTGGTTTCAGAGTAACAGCTGTGTTAGTCTGTATTTGCAAAAAGAAAAGGAGTACTTGTGGCACCTTAGAGACTAACCAATTTATTTGAGCATAAGCTTTCGTGAGCTACAGCTCACTTCATCGAATGCAATGTGTATGATAATCAGGGTGGGCCATTTCCAGCACAAATCCAGGTCGTCTTCCCCCCCCCCCCCCCCCCCCAACACACACACAAACCCACTCTCCTGTTGGTAATAGCTTATCTAAAGTGATCACTCTCCTTACAATTTGTATGATAATCAAGGTGGGCCATTTCCAGCACAAATGCAGGGTTTAACAAGAATGTCTTGGGGGGGGGGGGGGGGAGGGTGTTAGGAAAACACAAGGGGAAATAGGTTACCTTGCATAATGACTTAGCCACTCCCAGTCTCTATTCAAGCCTAAGTTAATTGTATCCAATTTGCAAATGAATTCCAATTCAACAGTCTCTCGCTGGAGTCTGGATTGGAAGTTTTTCTGTTGTAATATCGCAAGTTTCATGTCTGTAATCGCGTGACCAGAGAGATTGAAGTGTTCTCCGACTGGCTTATGAATGTTATAATTCTTGACATCTGATTTGTGTCCATTTATTCTTTTACGTAGAGACTGTCCAGTTTGACCAATGTACATGGCAGAGGGGCATTGCTTGCACATGATGGCATATGTCACATTGGTAGATGTGCAGGCGAACGAGCCTCTGATAGTGTGGCTGATATTAGGCCCTGTGATGGTGTCCCCTGAATAGATGTGTGGGCACAGTTGGCAATGGGCTTTGTTGCAAAGATAGGTTCCTGGGTTAGTGGTTCTGTTGTGTGGTATGTGGTTGCTGGTGAGTATTTGCTTCAGGTTGGGGGGCTGTCTGTAGGCAAGGACGGGCCTGTCTCCCAAGATTTGTGAGAGTGTTGGGTCATCCTTCAGGATAGGCTGTATCCCTATCCACTTTAGTCATGGAAGTCATAATAGAACTAGGGCTGTCAAGCGATTTAAAAAAATTAAATTACTGGGGTGTGGTTTTTCTGCTTTTGTTTTTTTAGAACTGCTCGAACCATTGACAGCCTAGCTAGTCGTATTGAGGATCCACAGATTCAGGCCCATTGGTCAAACATAAATGATGTTTATGAATCCAGTGTCAAAGTTCTAATAACTTCCCAAGGATATGAGCAAATATGCAAGTAAGTATGAAAACTGAAATATTCTCTACTTAGATAGATAGTTATCTCTTTTTAGCTATGGTGATTGAGTGCATATAACATTGTGTTGCTCCTATGAGATCCAGTCCAACTTCAGGCAGACCAACATGAGCTTAGTATTTGTGTATTTGCTTTATATGTTCAGGTATGGAATATTAATGTGGTTGCAGAGAATGAGAGAAAATTTAACTTTCCATAGATTAAGATAAGCTTGTCTTAAAAGTAATACTCTGCCAAAACAGCTTTCAGAAGAGAAACCCTAAAGTTAAAAGTCTATCTGCCTTCTGTAGCAAAAATGTTACATTCATGTAGGAATTTAGTACATATATATATATATTACCTTTTTCTTCAAATGTCTATGACTGTATTCCTTTAGGGGAAGAGTCAAATGTTGGGCCTGGTTACTAAAAGTGTCTTTAAAACGCTTTCCTCTACTTCCACATTAGTGGGCTGGAGAAACTGCTAGATTTCGGAACCAAGAGTTGCACCTTGTTAATATCTGTTGGCTTGTCTGTACCGAAACTGGAACTAAAATAATCACTTGAAATTCATGCCTTTAGTTATTTCAGTGCAATTCTGTGTGTGGACGTTCTGTAATACAGGTGTCTGTACACAGACTTGCACCAAAATAGACATTCATATTGCAGAATTGAATATTACATAATTAAAGGCATGAATTCCTACTCATTTAGTTACTTTGGTTCCAGTTGTCATGCTGGTAAGTCCTCAGTTCTGTGCTGCATTGGGTGACCCTGAAATTATTGAGAGCAGAGATGAGTCCCATGTGGGTTGTACTGGGTCTTCACCCTCTGCTGGCTCTGTTCTTTTAAGTTGACAGGGAATTGCAGTTGATGAGATTCTGTGCTCTTGGAGCACTTCAGCGAACAGGAATCTTACCAGCTAGAGTGGGATTGATATTGACAAGAATAGAGCTGGCTGGGAGAGAGCGGATGTATGTCATGTCACCTGCATCTCTGATGATAAACCAACATCCACTGTTCTAAGTTAATCAAAATATTTTAAAAACAGAATTTACCAAGCAACCTTGAAAGGTTTGTTAGGGCTCCCCCTGCCCTTCCTTGGTTCTTGTCACACAGACAGAAAGCAGAAGGCCAGAGTCCAAAGTGCAGGCAATGCAATGTTTATTGGGGTTACGAAGCAAGCATAATCCCATCTCTTTACACCAGTAGAGCTTTTCTTTTTTCCCCACCATCTCCTTCTTAACGGGCTTAATCATACCTGTAGTGCTCGCCCCTGGTACCACCCATTACAATTTATGGTCATGTTCCATTTTGGAGAGTGTTGAGTCTCTGGGTTTCAGTACCACCTCTTTTGTACCCCGTGGGAGGGATAGGGAGTGAGGTTGTGTACTGGCCAAGGCTACCTTTTCTTTGTTTTTTAGTGTTTCTTATACCGCCCCTCTCGACTGGGAGTCGAGGCAGTTGTATATTAAACTCCCACCATACAACACTTAAGCTCTGTTTCTTATCTTTTCTCATTATACAAAAAACCCCATCTGTAGGCAGAAGCAACACACAGTGTCTTTGTTCCTTATTCACATATCTTAGTAAGGATATAAGAATATCAAAAGTCAAACAGGCAAACAAAACCGAAAATTCTATCTCAGGCTAATAAACAGGCCTCAATACTATATTACCATATCTAACAAGGTTCATGCTTTGTTATTCATTCAGATAGAAGCCATTTCCCATGTCTGTCCTAATCAAGAACATGAGGGTGTCAAGATGGTAGCTTGCTCTTGGATTGTCCTTTAGCGTTTGTAAGATGCCTTTTAAAAGTGACTTTTTAAATTAGGAACTTTTATTAATGTAGTTGTAAACTACCAATTTCTAGATGACTTTTCAATAAATATACTGATTGTATCTTTTTGTTTAAAAGGTCCATTCAGCTACAGCTGAACATTGGAGTTGAACAGATCAGGGTAGTGCACAGAGATGGAAGAGTTATTACGTTGTCCCATCAAAAGCAAGAATTACAGGATTTCCTTCTGTCTCAGGTAAACTCACGTTCAATTCCTGGGACTTTTTCTTGCATGTGTTTGTCTTGTGTCTGCGATTGGGACGAACAGTAATAAGTAGCATGAGTGTATTTGAAACAAAAGTATTGTTTATTGTCAGATAGAAACTAGGTAGAAATTCCACATGTGCATACAAGAATGTCAGTAATTTTGCAGGTTTAGTGATGATTGACCACATTCTCCATAAAGAAATGTTTGTGTATCGACTGTGGGAACTGTATCACATTTTAGCCAGGTGGCTGTGAGTTCAGAAATACTAACAAAGAAGTTCATTTGAAATACATTTAAACGCATTGTTTGTGCTGTTCACCATGTGAGCCTTCAGAACACAGTGCCAATCTAATAAGCATGCTGCTTTTCTTAATCATAAGATTCTACTTGGTGGGAGCCATGTCGGACACTAAGGTGTTTTTTTTTATGTAAAACAAACTTGTTCTAGCCAAACCCCATCAGGAATGGAGTTCTTAATAGTTAACATGCCCTTAATTAACATCACTTTCAACATTGTGTCAGGGTTTCCAACTTTGCGTGTGACACTACTAAATCACTAATGTTTGAATGAACTGTGGTTTCTTAACTGTTTACAATGAGTCTTGTTGTTTTTGTTCATATGTGACAGTCTTTTCAATACACATTATGTAGTAAAGATGCAGGCATTGCCTTTTTACAGTTTATAATGTGGAATGCTCAGACAAAACAAGTTGGAACAGATTCTGTTGAGGGAGGTATTATTTTCCTCTAATAAAGTAGTTTTCAAACTGGTTCACAGAGACCTGGCTGGTTACATGGCATTGGCTCCTCTCTGTTTCCAACAAATAGATCGTGTTAAAAGCAAACTAAAATGCTTTTTCTTATAAACAATTGCTGTAGTTTCTACTAGAATGTTACACGGGTGTAAAGTGTGTTTGGTAACCCCAACTCTAATCTTCCCAAATTTGCCATGTTGGAATGATTCATTACCACTTTTCTGCATAATACCCTGTAAATGCTTCACAAAAAGGGTTAGGTGTCTCTCTTAATTGGATGTGGGACTAAAGGAAGGACACTTCTGAAACCTTAACCATATACAAGATTTTTGAGTAGCTTTAGAGACTTGTGTTAGTTTAAAATCCAGAACTTGTAAGAGAACCTCACAAAAACTATACGTTGAAAGAGTTATAGATGTATTGAACTGTGTAGCTTGTGTATACTGAATAACTCTATCTTCTCCACCGCCAAATGAGCTAGTAACAGGCATGTATGAAGTCAAATTTCTACTTGCTATTATATGTATTGAGGTATTTCTATAAAATGACCAATTCTTCTGAAACAGGGTGGTGCATTTCAGGTGGAAATCACTTATTTTTTTCTTAAATGAGTAATATAGGACAAAAAGAAAAGGAGTACTTGTGGCACCTTAGAGACTAACCAATTTATTTGAGCATAAGCTTTCGTGAGCTACAGCTCACTTCATCGGATGCATAAAGTGGAAAATACAGTGAGGAGATTTATATACACACAGACCATGAAAAAATACACATTGTAAGGAGAGTGATCACTTAAGATGAGCTATTACCAGCAGGACAGGAAACAAAGAACAGGAACCAGGGACAACAAAAACAGTAAGAGACAAAGATAAAAATAACCTAATCCTCTGTCTTCTTTCAGATGTCCCAACATCAAGTACATGCAGTTCAGCAGCTGGCTAAAGTTATGGGATGGCACGTGTTAAGTTTCAGTAATCATGTGGGTCTGGGACCAGTAGAGAGTATCGGCAATGCATCAGCAATAACTGTGGCATCGCCAAGTGGAGACTATGCTATTTCAGGTAGACTTTTGTATGATTTATAATAAATGTATGAGAACTTTCTAGCAGTTTGATTATAGAATCAATCCTGAGAGTTTATGGCATCATTATGTAACAGAGTACTTTATAAACAAGCTTTTTATTTTATGGGTAGCATTGCCATCTATGCAAAGTAGTGATTCAATCAAGTCGGCTACTCATTGCTGTTTAGTACGTGGGGTAATCGGCTTAAAGCATTTTTTAAAATATTGTTTTCTGATTTTGTTCTGTAATAAATGCAGGAGAAATAAATTGTTGCATATTTAAGATAAAGTAACTTTGCATTACACATAGTATAAGGCCACTAGAACTAATCATTCCTGGTCTTGTACTCTGATCACCAGCCCTTATGCTTCCATATGCACTGATATTGCTGCACTGAAAAGCTTTGTCCCCTCACTAAATCAGTTTGACTGTGCTATCTTAGAGAGAGAGCTAGATTCCCACAGTACTTTAAAAAAATGGCAAAGATCTCTCCGATAGTAGCTGTAACAAAAATGTTGGGAGACTTCATAATTGTCTCTTTGAAAGATTACACTGGAAAAGAATTCTTCTATAAAATCTTCTTGAGAAAGCCCACAAATAAGATTCAGACTTGGGATAAAGCTCAGTGGGAATTGTTGGAGACATTTTAGGATTCCTGTGCTCATTTAACTTTCCTGAATACAGTTGTTGACTACTGGTTTGCTCTGACCAGGAAAATGTAGTGCAAAAGAGCAATGAAAACATGCAGGGAAAATAGGAAAACTTGAGAGCAAGTCAGAAGAAGACTTCATTAGAAGTAACAGTGTTTTAATTATTTTTTTTTAGTTACAATATGGAAATGTACTTAAAGGAAAAGTGTCTGGTTAGTGTACTTTGTATAGGGATATTTAATATGATGAATTAAAAAAGCCGTAAAGGCTTTATACTTACGTATTTTCTGTTCATTGCAGTACGTAATGGTCCTGAAAGTGGCAGCAAAGTTATGGTTCAGTTTCCACGATGTCAGTGCAAAGACCTCCCCAAAAGTGATGTGCTACAAGACAGTAAATGGAACCATCTTCGTGGGCCATTCAAGGAAGTTCAGTGGAATAAAATGGAAGGGCGTAACTTTGTATATAAATTGGAGCTCCTCATGGCTGCCCTAACTCCATGCTAATTGCCTGACATCTTACTAAGTAGGACACTGGATTGCCACTCATTTGTAGTGGTATCAATGATCACAATAAAGGGAAACCTACCCTGGGAGACAATACATGAAAATAGAAAACAGTGCAAAAGTGTTCAGTTTTGCAGTTCTCTATAGATTTGTATCTATTGTGATTATGTCAGAACTATGTTATTTGCTATGTGAAATAAATGATTTTTTTAAATGTTCCTTACAATTAGTTTAAAAATACCATTAAAATATGACCTTATTTTTCTAGCTTGTAGTGTTCATATGATACCAGGGGTGGAGTTCTGAAGGTTGCTGTTTATTGCAGATGCCTAAAATTGCCTTTGCATTTGACTACTGAAAGTTACTGAGAGAACATCTGACTAATTTGTGTGATCAAATTTTTAAAGATACTTGAGCTAATAAACTACAAACATAATATAGCTTTCTGGTAATATTTTAGAGTGGTTCAGATCCAATTGGCTATCCCATTTTTCCTTTATAGTGAAGCTCAACAGCCTGTTCATTCCTGTATGGAAAAACCTCTGTTCATGTGTCTTTGCTATTTTCCTCAAAATACCACCTATAAGCTCTTCTGAGAGGTGATGATTTTTGGCCTTTAGAGAATATATGTTATGCTACCACTGAGCATTTGTGGGAGCAGTCCTAATAGTCATAGCGTGTTCAGTGGCTTGCTCTTTTAACTGCTAGTGGATTATTTGGATAGAAATAGACAATGAAGGGAACAGCAGAGCCCATAATGAATTATTAAAGCCTCATAAGATTCATAATTCATGTCCTCCTTTTGGAGTGAGCCTCTGACATGAGCCCTTAAATTGGAGTGTCTCTGTGGGACCCTACTTTGGTGTGGCCTCTGGACGTTCTTTCTCCTATTCTTTTAAGGGAAAAAAAGTTTGTTCACCCTGAAGGTATGGGCAAGTATATGTGGGACTGTATCTGTGGGAATGCTCTTCGATGCCTGTTTGTTGACAAATTTTCTATCACCAGTAATCATGGATGGAGGTCACTGACCTGGAATGGACCTACCTGGGTGTGATTCAGATTTTGGCTTTCTCCAGAAGTGTTTTTCTGTAGCACCCAAAAGAGGGCAAAAGGGAGGGTCTTTCTGTGTTTGCATCTGAAGGAAGATGCAAGAAGTCCCCTCTCCTAAACTGAATTTGTTTTGTATGGACCCCATGTTTGCAAATCCCAGACTAGGTTGAAGACTGGAACTGTTGTGATGAACACCTCTTGTTGTAATTGTGCTTGCAAGCTAACACTGTTCTTGTCTACTTTGGGTGACCTCAGTGTTCACTCACACAATAACTTTTTTGGGTGATTGGTTTTAGTGGTACCCAAAACAGGAATGAATGGGGGACCATTTCTGGTTAAGATTGACACCTCTCATTAGTTTATCTTTAGGTTATTGTGCAAAGCGTCTCTCTCTTGCCTGAAGTTGAATTGCTAGTGGTTTGTTTCGGCATCTATAAGTTCTAGAATTATGTGCATACTGTACACTGAGGTCAATTAGTACATCTTATAAATCACAGATAAAATGTGTGGATTGATTGAACTATGTTACTTCTGTGGTAATAGTGACTATTTCAGCTATCTTCCCCTGGTGATAGAGACTAGCTATAGCAACTATATATTAGACAATACATTCTGCAAATTGGTTTTTCTGTGTGTGTTTCCAAGCCAGTTATTTTAATTACAATATTAATCACAAATATGGAACATGGCTTTTTTTCAACACATTGAAGCACTAGTTTGTATCATAACTGATTTATGAAAATGAAAACTTTTCCTTTTAGCTTCTTATTGAAGGGACATTTCAAGGGAGGAAATGAAAAAATATCAATTGAAAATAGTTTACAGGTGATAGAAACCTTACTGGAGGATACATATGACTTCTCCATAACATAACACTAAAGGTACTTTTCCCCCCCTCTTACAAAGGCTTTACAAACACTAGTCATAGTCAGATTCCAGGTAGAGAAGGAAATATTATGTCTGCTGAACAAACTTCTGAGACCTTTGTCTCAGAGACATGATTTAGAATGAGGTTGTTCCCAGCTCCCATTCCTGTGCTCACACTACTACCCCGTGCTTCTCTAGTTCAATACAAGAAAATGTGAGATTGTGAGGTAGGCTGAAAATCACAGGACTTCCTTTGGAATGTAAGTTCACATTAGGGATACCACTGCACCCAGAAATAATGAACAAGCATTCCCTGATGTCAGATTGAGGTCACAGAGGGGCTACTTTTTTTTTTAAACTAATTTTGCTGGTTGCTACTTTTGTCACTTTGAAAAGGAAAGTAAATGCAAGGGAAACACGTTTTTGTAGGCACTGCACAAAGGACTTGTACTTAAGAAATTGGCCAAGATGTTGAGATTTGCATTTGTAATAAGGTGTCCACCCCATCTGAGGCCTGAAAGGGTTAAGATGGCTAGGTGGGCCAATTAACTGCCAGGCTGCACCTGGAGGAGGAGCCAGTGTGCAGTAACTTAAACAGTAAAACCTATAGTCAGTCACTGCAGTGTTTCTGGAACAGCAAAGGAGGATCAACAAAAATGATTAGGGGACTGGAACACATGACTTATGAGGAGAGGCTGAGGGAACTGGGGATGTTTAGTCTACGGAAGAGAAGAATGAGGGGGGATTTGATAGCTGCTTTCAACTACCTGAAAGGGGGTTCCAAAGAGGATGGCTCTAGACTGTTCTCAGCGGTAGCTGATGACAGAACAAGGAGTAATGGTCTCAAGTTGCAGTGGGGGAGATTTAGGTTGGATATTAGGAAAAACTTTTCCACTAGGAGGGTGGTGAAACACTGGAATGCGTTACCTAGGGAGGTGGTGGAATCTCCTTCCTTAGAAGTTTTTAAGGTCAGGCTTGACAAAGCCCTGGCTGGGATGATTTAATTGGGGATCAGTCCTGCTTTGAGCAGGGGGTTGGACTAGATGCCCTCCTGAGGTCCCTTCCAACCCTGATTTTCCTGATATTCTGTGAGGCTCGGATGGGAACAGGAGCTGAGAGCAGAAAGGGACTGACTACAGACTACTTCCCTGCAGGCCTCTGGGTGAAGGGAGGTGGGTTTAGGACTATGGTATGTAGTCGACAATTATTCCCTGGGAGGAGGGAGTTTATGCTTGCAGTTTATGCAGAGCAGTGCAGGGTGGTCAGAAAGGCTCAGGGGAAAAGCAGCAAGATTTAGGATAGTGCAGACCTTGGCTGTTGATCAGAGGGTCCCTGCATTGGAACCTGGAGTAGAGGGCAAGCCCAGGTTACTCTATCAGCTACTTGGGAAGTGTCACAGACCAGCAGTGGAGAGCAGAAAGCCTGGGATAGTTTGCCCCAAGAGACTCTGATACCACAGAAGGGGAGGACCACAGAGACCTGGCTGGAGGTCAAAGTCAACAAGAGGAAGCTGCAGCTCCTGGAGCAATAAGGGCTGCAGCATGAGAGAGGACAATGGGTGGAGAGACCACCAGAAGAGTGCACAGCGCCCGGCGAAGGAGCTAATCTCTAGAGCAGCCAGGAGGGAGCACCCTAGGATTGAGTGAGCCCCATGACAGGGTGTCAAAAGTTAGGTTCCTAAACCTTTAGTTAGACACCTTAATAAGAGCCTGTCTCAAAAGTGCTGAATTTCTACAGCTGTCAATGGGAGTTCCAAGGAGCCTTATTTTCACAAGTGCTAAGTACCTAATTTCAGACACCTAAATCTGAAAATTTTGGTAGTGTCTCCTTCATTTCTAAGGTTAAGCTTTTCAAAGCCATCTAATAGAAGTGGATGTTTTAATGGAAGGTTTCTTAATCCCCTAGATGGGTTGAAATGTTCCAAGCAGAAATCTTGCAATTAGTGTGCTGTGGTAGCTACATTCGTATATATCACACCTTTCAACTACTGAACCCCCCAACTATTTTAACCATAAAACTATAAATATCTTAATTATCCCACCATTAGCACCTGAGACATAATTCCGGTGTTGTTTAGCTTTGCCCAACCTTACTGGCAATGATGGTACATGCAGAGAAACTCTTATTTCATAAATGGGTCTCTCCATAAAGGGAGACCGACAGGTTAAATTTGGATTAAAATGTAGGATTCTTGTAAGATATACGGTAAAAATGCTACTATTTTTATAAACTACTGCAGCTACTCTTTAAATCAGTGGCTCTCAAACTTTTGTACTGGTGACCCCTTCCACATAGCAAGTTTCTGTGTGCGACCCCCCCCACCTTATAAATTAAAAACACTTGTTTACATATTTAACACCATTATAAATGCTGGAGACAAAGCAGGGCTTGGGGTGGAGGCTGACAGTTCACGACCCCCCCCCCCCTTTGAGAACCCCTGCTTTAAATATTCCTGGGCTGTTTAGAACCCACCCATTACAGTATTCAGCTAGTGCACTAGAATCTGGAAGTGGGTGACAGCACCTATAAGCAAAATTGAATAGTCGAGGGGAGAGACACTAAATCAATATTTCATTAACCAAAATGAAAGAAATGCAAAATTGTGAAAAGTTTTCATGCTGTTATAATGCATTTTAAATCTTCAAATTGTCCCTTTTTAATACTTCATCATAGCATTTTTAGTATTGTAACTCAGGTATAGCTGCAAATAGCCTTTCTTAGTGCATTACTGTACATATATGCATTTGCTGAATAGCCCCTGTAATTGTTAAGGGGGCAAATATCAGTCAATGAGATGACATTTTGGTATTTCCTATTTCTCTTATTCTGTTTTGTTCGCTGATGTCCAACATCAGTACTATATGCACTGGGATTGTCTTAGTGATCAACTTCACATTTAAGGCTTAAATCTTTAAGGATAAAGCCACAAAAGCAACCAAAATGTTCACACAACAAAAACTGCAGACTGTTCTGTAACGTTATCAATATTATGCTGTATGTGTACATGGTCACTGTAAAGCACTTTGTGAGGAAGGATGCTATACAAACAGACCAAAACTCCAGTCCTCTTTGTGCCATATGTTGTTTTTTCTCATAGTTGAAGATTTTCCCAGTGTATGGTGTACTTTCTGCAAGAATAAATTTCAGATACACTTCTCTTTTTTCAGGGGATGAAGCTCTAGGCACTACATCTCTGAAGTAATAACGACTTGTCCACATCCTTGCAGTCTATTGTAGCAGATATGAGGGAAAAAAGGAATCCCTATGATGCCCCCTGAATATGATATGTACTCAGTGGGTGCCAGTGAGGAAATGAATACAATATAGCCTGAAAGACACTGGTAGTTAAATCTTTTATAAAGCTTATTTGTGTGTTTTTCTTTTATGACTCAGATACTTTCTTGTAGGCCAAAATTTGTAGTCTATTTTCTAGTTATTCCTGGTTTGGTCTGCTCTACTTAGCTTTAAGAGAAGGGGCAGTAGGAATGTCCACAACATAAAAATGTAGCGCAATTTTATCATTCAAATAAATTTTGTATCTTATTGCTTCTGTGATTTTCACCTATAAATTAGGCACATATATTTGTGAAATGGATTTTAAAAGTAACAAATCCTGAAGGCTTCAGCAGTGAGAGTCTTGCTTTACCGATATTAAGGTGTGTCCGTGCTGCTATCGGGAAGATTTGGAATCACATTATCCATTAGTGAAACACAGTGCAGCACAATAGCAAGTGATGGATACTAAGAGTCCAGCCGAAACTTCAGGGAGCAGGCAAAACGTAATAACCTGAATTAGAATCTGGCTAGAACAGTAAGGCTTCCTCCTGTGTCTGTGTCCACCCCTCCGCTTTACAGAAAACGCCATGGGATTTTTCGTGACTGCACTTGGGTAAACTTAAAGTTTATGTTTCATCTGAAAGTTGGCAACTCAAGTAGCATAATCCTCCTCCCTGCTCCATGCTGGCATGTTGATTCAAAACCAATGGGGAAAAATCCTACTTCCTGAATCCTTAACAATACTTCCTATACACTTGGGTGTTGCTTGTAGGTCTGCCTGATTCCAGATCTGTCCTTACGCTGTGTGGTGGCAGGACTGCATGATGTTACATGTTTGTTTTTCTTTCCAAGTTGCTTAGCAGGTTACAGTTTTGAATGCATTCTTTCATGTGTTTCAGGTACCATCTCTACAGACCAGTAAGCAACTCCCCTGAAACTTACGACATTCTTTTTGTGGTGTTTCATTAGGATGATAAAATCTAACATGAAAGGAAGTTTTTTCTAGTGGTTAGGACACTAGTCCAGCATGTGAAAGACCTGGGTTCAAGTCCCTATTCTATCACAACCCTCTTATGTGACCTTGGGCAAGTTACTTAAGGCCACCTTTGTAAAGGTATTTAGATGCTTTAAGAAGCAGATAGGTGCCTACTGGGATTTTCAAAAGTGCCTCACTTCCATTGATTTCAATTTGTAAAATGGCAATAATAGCACTTCCCAATCTCCCAGAAGTGTTGTGTGGATAAATACATTAAAGAGCATGAGGAACTTAGATACTATGATAATAAGGACCATATAAGTATTTAAGATTATAGATATCAGTTCAGATACAGACTGATCTAGTGTGTCTCATCATTTTCAAGGTTTATTTCATAATGTAGTATTCCTCTCTTCTTACAAAAACAAGATACAGTACTGTAATTTAGAGTTTAATGCTTTTAAACTTACTTAAGTAAACAAACTTTTAGTGCTTTCTGTTTCAAAGAGCCAGTATTATTCCACCTAGAAGACCTATATAATAACCTTAAGTGCAGCACACAAATACAGTCCAGTATTTGTTAGTTCATTTAATATTTAATATTTGCTTACAAAAAATAAAAGCAAAGGACGCTTTGCTGTAATTTAAAACGTAAATTCTGAAAAAACACCACCACCTTGTTAAGCAGCTCTCCCATACAAAATAGACTCAATCGTTCCCTGGCCTGAGTTTGTGGAATCCATGGCACTTTGTACCGCTCTGGATTAAGCTCCATGTCACTTTTTGACCCCACCAGAAATTTTCTGACTGTTCTAATCATAGTCTATTGACGGTGTCACCTTCTGTACATTTGCATTGTTCATTGTTTAAGAACTTTCCATAAGATTGTTAAGTGTGCATTGAGATCATGGAACAATCATAGAATCACAGAACTGGAAGGGACCTCGAGAGGTCATCTAGTCCAGTCCCCTGCACTGAAGGCAGGACAAAGTATTATCTAGACCATCCCTGACAGGTGTTTGTCCAATCTGCTCTTAAAAATCCCCAGTAATGGAGATTCCACAACCTCCCTAGGCAATTTATTCCAGTGCTTAACCACTCTGACAATTAGGAAGTTTTTCCTAATGTCCAACCTAAACTGCCCTTGATGCAATTTAAGCCCATTGCTTCTTGTCCGATTCTCAGAGGTTAACAACAATTTTTCTCCCTCCTCCTTGTAACAACCTTTTATGTGCTTGAAAACTGTTATCATGTCCCCTCTCAGTCTTCTCTTCTCCAGACTAAACAAACCCAATTTTTTCAATCTTCCCTCATAGATCATGTTTTCTAAACCTTTAATAATTTTTGTTGCTCTTCTCTGGACGTTCTCCAATTTGTCCATATCTTTCCTGAAATGTGGCACCCAGAACTGGACACAATACTCCAGTTGAGGCCTAATCAGTGCGGTGTACAGCAAAACAATTACTTCTCGTGTCTTTTTTACAATACTCCTGCTAATACATCCCAGAATGATGTTTGCTTTTTTTCAGCAGTGTTACACTGTTGACTCATATTTAGCTTGTGATCCACCATGACCCCAGATCCCTTTCTGCAGAACTCCTTTCTAGGCAGTCATTTCCCATTTTGTATGTATGCAACTGATTGTTCCTTCCTAATTGGTGTACTTAGTGTTTGTCCTTATTGAATTTCATCCTATTTGCTTCAGACCATTTCTCCAGTTCATTTTGAATTTTAATCCTATCCTCCAAAGCACCTGCAACCCCTCCCAGCTTGGTATCATCCGCAAACTCTCTGTGCCATTATCTAAATCACTGATGAAGACATTGAACAGAACGGGACCCAGAACCGACCCCTCCAGGACCCACTCATTATGCCCTTCCAGCATGACTGTGAACCACTGATAACTATTCTCTGGGAACGATTTTCCAATGAGTTATGCACCCATCTTCTAGTAGCTCCATCTAGGTTGTATTTCCCTAGTTTGTTTATGAGAAGGTCATGCAAGACAGTATCAAAAGTCTTACTAAAGTCAAGATATACCACATCTACCACTTCCTCCCTATCTATAAGGCTTGTTACCCTGGCAAAGAAAGCTATCAGGTTGGTATGACACAATTTGTTCTTGACAAATCCATGCTGACTGTTATTTATCAACTTATTATCTTCTAGGTGTTTGCAATGTAAACAATCATAAAGAGACTGAGTGATGGAACTTCAACCATGTGGTCATTGGCTCAAATTCACTTTTGTCTCATGATGAATTATAATAGTCTTCAGAGGCTTCAGCGAATTCTTTTTGCCTGAAGATAGCAGCATAATATGTAGTATACAGTATACTGTCCTTAATTTTTTTAAATTAATAATTTAATACATTAATGCATAATTACGACATGTGAAAGAATGTTGAGGTCTAGTCTGCTGCCTATTTGTGATGGGAAACTTGCATTAGCTGGGATACTTATTAGCACAACAAATGTCTGTTAAGACCCTAACCAAGTCCTCTTTATATTTCCCAGTATTACGTAGCCAAAGTAGTATGATCGGTTTGTTTTTTTGAGAGAGATACAGGCTATAGATCTTATTATATAGACCATAAATAGTGCCCAAGCTCAACAAAGAAAGCAGTCTGTTCACTTTGACCTTGTCCAGTGTAAATGGTAGAACTGAAATCTTCACAGTTGCAAGAGGCTCCATACATACAGCTCTGATTCCATCTCCAATTGACGTTCGTCTTATTTCCAAGTCAGGAAGTTTCTATATCAGTCATATTAAAAAAAGATTGTATAAAAACTTTACCTTTTGTGGGTTCCCCCCCTTTCCTTTACCATTATTTTTTCTTGAGGTAGAAATGTTATTTGTTATGAAATGTTCTTGGCTAACACTCAATGGTTTGCAGTTCAATCTCTTCAGCTGTTCTTTCTGCAAATAAAAAAAGAAATGTATTGATCTGAAAATCAATTAGAAGGCCAACATTCCAAAATTAACAATCCACCTAATGTTAATATCAGAGCTGCTCTGAACCTTTTGTCATTAGTACAAACTTGCTCAGACATGATTACTCTGGGATTGTATGTTATTTTTTAAATTTAGTAAAGGTATTTAAAAATATTTCAGTTAACCACATACACTGCCCCTCACCATGTTTAAAAACATAAACGATACTGGTTTCTTCAAAGAGAAGACCACTAAGATACCATAACCTGTTGTGGCTGACTATACACTGTCATCCCCAAATTTGGCCAGCCAGATAAGGGTTGCACTTTACTCTGATGTTTACAAAGCTCTGGCTCTGGCAGAATGCCTGCACTGGCTGGTTTCAGAGCGGGTGGACCTTCTCTGAACAAACTCCTTAAATCAGGACTCACAGCAAAAATAGCATTAGATTGCAAATTCCTTGATGGAAGATGCGGGAAGGGGTGGAATCTCAGAACTGAGCTCTATTTAGACCATTCCCCTGGGTGAGGTCCTGAAGCTGATGGATCATTGGGTTGGTCTGATACAACAAATTTTGTTTGCTGTTGAGTCAAATATCCTATTTTCTGCATCTGTGCCCACAGGGAGTATGTTGTACAAAATGGCCGTCCCCTAAGAGGCTGAGTAAATGTTCAGCTTAGGTAAACCATGGCAATGTATATTTAGTGCACATAATGAAAGAGTTTTCAGCTGCAACAGCAGTTACAGAAATACGTTGTGTATGTATGAAAACCTTTTGGGGTCTTACAAGCATAGAAGTAAGAGATGAGAGAGACCTACTGGACCAAATTTATCCCTTCTATAACTCATTGACTTCAGCAGAGTTAAAAAAAAAGATGATTTGGACCACACTGCCTCAGAACTTAAACTTTCTTTATTTGTGTGGTAAAAGGTCTATTTTTCCTGCTTGGTCACAATTAAAAAATTTAAATTGTACCCAGATAGGCAAAAATACCGACTTTTTACCAACAGGAAAAAGCCACTGGAAGGTCTGCACTGAGAAGGAAGATGGTTGAGGGCCTCAAACTAGTGAAGGGTTGGGTAGGACCTGGGTACAGAAGGAAGCATATTCTCTGTAGCATAATCTGGTATCATCTCGGCTTGTTACTCAGCCAGTACAAAAGTTGCCTGAAGCGTTGCAATTCAGAGTTGTTCCTGACAGTACATTTCCTAGTGTTTTTTTTTAAAAAAGTCTAATTATAAGTAGGACTTTTAACAATAGCGAGCAGTCTTCACTGGCCTACATTAGAGGCTTGATCTTGAGGATCAGTAACTCTCATTGAAGTCAGTGGGAGGTATCGATGCTCAGCATCTCCCAGGACCAAATCACAAGTGAACAAATGTTCATAATTTAGGCATGGAAATCTCATTACATGATGATGTCCACACTCAGAAAATTACCTTTAAGCTTGTCTCTCTTATTCTGGAATAGATGCACAGATTTATTACAGAACCACATGCAGCAGACTAAAACTGCAGACACAGCAGTAAGAAATGCAAAGAAGACAGCTACAAAATGTAAATCTTCATAGATAATCTCTAAGGGGGGAAAAACATAACATTATGAAGTTGGTCATGAGCACATATATATTTAAATGGTAGAATAAAAGAACTACTGATTAGTTCATACCATAGACAGTTAATACGATGGTGCCGTAGATGTTGGTTCCCAACTCTTCTGTTATGGTGACAACATAATAGCCAGCATCTCTCACGCCTACATTCAGAAGCTGTATAGAGCCATTTTCATAAGTATTCACTCGGTCCTTGTAACTTTTGGATATGTTAGTATAACTCCCCGGTTTCCACTCCACAATTTTGTTGGTGCCCCAACTCGACACATGCTTCCACTCAATGGAGACTATGCCTTTGCAAGAATATTCAACAGAGAGGAGAATATTTTGTGCCACAGTGGCGTTTATGTTGGGTTGCGGGACTAGTAAAGATACTCCTCCTTGGGCTGAAAAACAAGGGAGGGTTGGGCAGTGAGTGCTGATGCAATACTACAGCAAGCATGACTTATAGTAAGGGCAGTTCATACATTATTTTAGAGTGATCAGCATGACAGTGGCTAATGGTCAGGAACAGATCAGATTTCAGACTAATGCCAGGCTTAAACAATACTGTCGCATTCCTCCTTTAAGGTAGAGGGAAGAGAGGTACAGATTTTCCTAAGTGACTAGTGATTTTATTATGTACCTCAGTCTTTGGGTGCCCAACTGGAGACACCTTGATGGTGCCTAAGGGTGGATGCTCAGCATTCTCTGAAAACTGGGCCCCTTTAAGGTGTCTCAAGTTGGGAAGCCAAAATCACTATTTACTTTAAGAAACTGTTATTTTTGCTTCCTGGTTTGTTTTCAGTTTATCTATCTTAGGAACTTACGTGGTCCCATCACGGTAGTATCAGACTGTCTCACAATTTTTTCATGTATTTATCCTCACAACATCCCTTTGAGGTACGTAAGTGTAATAATTCCACTTTACAGAGAGGGAACTGAAAGACTAAGTGACTAACCCAAGGTCACAAAGGAAGTCTGTGGTAAAGGAAAAAACTGAACTTGATTGTCCCAAGTCTAGCACTCTAACCCTGAACCACCCTTCCTCTCCATAAACACAGAATCAGGAGTTTTCAGGCTTTTCAGAGCGTGCACCACACCTTAATACACAGATTGTTTCATGTATGACCTCTCATTACGTCCGTGATGACAATCACATCCCAGTGGCAACTAGAGAAAATGCAGACATGCAAAAGTAATCTTAGGTTCATGTATTTTAAACTTCTTTTAATACAGTTTAGCAGCTGGAAATGAGGAAGATGAGGCATCACCAGGTGACCAGCCAGCTCTTTTTTGCAACGTCACTAAGTTCTTTGCTGACCACAGTTTGGGAACTATGAATCTATAGACTTTTCAATGTGCAATAGCTAGATGGCTCTGCTTCTCCTGAGGACTAAGAGAAAACAATTACACAAACAAAAAGCTTCAATTTTCCCTTGGATTAGGGATGGGTGCTGTTGTGGGGAGATTGTGGTGTTTAGAAGTTGCTTGTAATTATTAGAATTGGGAGCACTGGCTGCTGGGAGTCTGAAAGGACAGGAAACAGGAAGGAGGAGGAGGAGCTGAGGGGTTGGGAGAGAGAACAGAGGGTGCAGCAGCAGCTTGGTAACGAGGTTTCCACTTTGAAAATAAAATCCTGTTGAAGCTTGTTAGTACCTTGCCTGGTTGATACAGCAGAGATGCAGCTTCCTCTTAAAAATCAGATGCTCACGCAACTGATTAAGTTTAAAAGCAGACATTTCAGGTGAATTTCAATTTCTACTCTTCTCTCTCCCAATTGCCAGAGAAAAACAATCAGCAAACACGTTGTCTCCTTCCCTTTACAGCTCGAATTTCCTTCTTCTGGAGTTTGGCAAAGAGATATACATGCTTATGTGCTATACTGCTACAATTTTAAAATGATTTAGAAGAGATTTAGCAGACCAATTTGATTATAGAAAAAGCAACGGCTACCTGCCAATGGAACTGAAGTTAAAATCCATCCTCAGCAACAGTTAGGGAAAATTCTTCTATCAAAGAAAACCACCTGTGGATTTTCCTACTGTTTACAAATTGCACCACACAACAGTGAATCCCATTTCAGGTCATCGTCCACTTATCACATGAATATGGGTGTTGTGGCTTTGGCTATGGGATCTGGATACTGTGGATTTGGGGGGGAAGGGGAGGAAGGAAGCTGAGAGATCAGGGGTAGGGGAGGAGAGAAATAATCCAAAAAGCAAACATTCAATTGAATGGAGAAACCTGAAGACAGCACTGCCTAACAATGACTTTGGGCTGATACTGTGTGATTGTAATGTGATATAGCAAGCAACAAAAGGCCAATGCAATTTTGGGCAGCAGAGACAAAGGTATCATATTACAGAGAGGGTAGCGGGCGCCTTATTATTGACTAACTGGAGAGAATTCAGAGAAAAGCAACAAAAATGGTCAGAGGACTGGAGGGCATTTAAACCAAAATGGGACAGTGCACAAGTAATTGTACTATTCTAGGGAACAATCCTGCACTGGCCAAGGATGGGTCTAGGTCACCTACTGTAATAGTTTGATTCCCTCTCTATTTTCTACATCCAGTAACAATGACCTTCGATTGCTGTAACCAGCACTTTTAAAACTTTCCACCCAAAGGCCTCGGACAATAGGAGTTTCTCTCTGGTGTTTAAAACGTATATATTGTCTGGAGCCCGCTAAGAGTCTGATTGTGCAGCCCTTACTTGCCAGTGAGTATCACTTACTCATGAGAATATTCTCATCTTTGGGGATCAGCTCTGTAATTATGATCTGCTTGGTAGTCTTAGGCTGCATTTTCCAGCACTTCAGTCTCGATTCCCATTTGTTTGAAAAGGACTGAGGCCACGTCTACACTACAAACTTTGGTCGATGCAACTTATATCAGCATAAAGCCGCCGCAGGTCGTATATTGCTTGTGTGCATGCATACTTGTGGTGGCGCTGTGTGTAGTCCCCAGGAGTGCTTGTGTCAGAGGACCATGGTTAGGTATCCTGGTGTGCAACCTGCAACCATCCAGCTCACTGTCTTTTGGGGAATTTGGCAATGCTTGGTGGAGCACAAAGAGTAGCTCAAGGGCAACTGGGCACAAAGGGCCAACTTCTCAATGTGCAACTGTCTCCAGCACATAGTGTCATCTATATCTGTAATTTTTGTGCTTTTTAAAAAATCTCAGGAACCTGCAGAGCCCTCTTTGTGTCTGCCATCTCTGACTGAAGCATGGAGCCTGTGCAGTTCTGTACTATTGTCATAAGCATTGAAAGCACAGGATGCACAATCCACTAGTATTTTCAGAGCCATAAGACCGGAATCAGTGTGGAACATGACAATTTCTTGGAGGACGGATTGCTCTAAGACAGAGCAAGAACCAATTCAAGGTTGTTGGTAGTGTTCACAGAGCAGCTGCAGACAGTGGAGTGCCACTTCTGGGCCCAAGAAATGAGGAGTGACTGGTGGGATCACATCATAACGCAGGGGTGGGATGACGAACAGTGGCTGCAGAACTTACAGATGTGCAAGGCTACATTCCTGGATCTGGGTGCTGGGTTCATTCCAACCGTCCAGCACAAGGACACCAAAATGAGAGCTGCACAGACAGTGGAGAAGCGAGTGGCGATCATGCTGTGGAAACTGGCAATGCCAGATTGCTACTGGTCAATGCAAAATCATTTTGAAGTCAGAAAATCCACTGTGGGTGCTGTTGTCATGCAAGTGTGCAGGACCCATTAATCATCCGCTGCAATGCAGGACTGTGACTCTCGGCTTTGTGCAGGACAGAGTGGATGGATTTGCAGCAATGGGGTTCCTGAACTGCATGGGAGCAATAGATGCCACATATGTCCCTATTTTAGTACCAGACCACCTTGTCACAGAGTACAACAGAAAGAGCTACTTTTCTGTGGCTATGCAAGAACTGGTGGATCACCAAGGAAGCTTCACCAACATCCCTATGCCCAGTGCCCCCCGTACCCGTTATGCCCAGCACCCCCCCCACACAAATTCCCCCACCATAAAGGCACAGTGCCTTGCACACCAACACCGCTGCCCAACACCCCCCTATAGCCCCACCACAACTGCCCAACACCCCACACAGAACCACCCACTCCCTAGTGCCCCAACACACACAGATCCCGGGAATCACTCCAAACCCTTGGGAGCAATGCAATCAGCCAGGCCTCCTCTACCTCCGCCTCATCCTTGCTGTTCACCCCGGGGGCCTGTGGCTCAGTCTCCTTGGAGGTATCCGTGGTGGTCTGTGGGGTGGTAGTGGGGTCTCTCCTATGTATGTCATGCAGCTCTTTGTAAAAGCAGCAGGTTTGTGGCTTGGTACCAGATTGACTGTTGGCCTCCCTGGCCTTCTGATACGCCTGATGCAGTTCCTTTGCTTTCATGCAGCACGAGTGCTGGTCCCTGTTGTACCCCTTCTGCATCCCCCATGCAATCTGCTCATAGATGTCCATGTTTCTACAGCTTGTCCATACCTGTGTTTGTGGAGCCGCTTCTCCCCACAGGCGCAGGAGATCCAATATCTCCTGTCTACTCCAAGCTAGAGCACATTTGGAGAGTGTAGCCGGCATGGTCAACTGGGCAATTGCACGTAACAAAGGAGATCTGCTAGATGTGCTCGCCAAGCTGGACAATCAGGAAACGGCATTGCAAAAACTTGTGGGGATTTAAAGCAGGGAGCGAGGGGGTTTCCAGTCTCCATGACCCCTGGGCAATGGAGTTCACAATTGTGACCAGAGTGGTCAGCGTCAGGCATTGTGGGACAGCTGCTAGAGGACTGTTAGGGTCAACATAAGTAATGCAGTGTCTACATTCTCACTGCATCAACCTCAGTACATCACTCATGGCTCAACACCACTCAGGGAGGTTGTGTTACTGCATCACTGTAATGGGGTACTTACACTGGTAGGAGACAAATTAAGTGTAGCCACATGAACAATTAGGTCAATGCAAGGCAGCTTATATTGACCTAACTTTGTAGTGTAGACCAGGCCTGAATGACAATCTCCTGAATTTTCTGGATCAGAGGTGCCGGAGTCAACTTGATTATCTACTGTGTTGGCTCCTTGACATCTTTAACAGTTCTCACTTATAACTGGAAAAACTAGGTGTGGCTATAAACCTATGTAACTAACGCTATAATGTAAAAGGCTGTTTGTTTTGGCAGGCATGGGTGAATATCTGCCAGTGGGTGGGGTTTTCACATATACTCTCCTGGCAAACACCTTCAGTGTTTAGCTCATACCTTACACATATGTGGGTTTCTGCTTACACATTTTATCTACCATGTGCCTCTTGGTTGTCTCATTCTGAAACAGTTTACTATCTATTTCTTTAGAGAACAGATCATAGACTAGCACAGTGGCTGAGATTAGAATCCTTATGAGCC